CCCGAAGCTGTCCCTTCGGTTGAGTTTCCTTCCCTGTGCGTCCTTCGCAGGTTCTTAAGGCTGTGTCCAACACGAATTCGGAGCTAAAAAGATAATTAAGGTATTAAGCTTACTTACTAAATATATATCTAGCCGATATACATCCGCCTATCTATACATAGCCGAGAAAGAAATCGCCTTACATCTAGAAGGATTAGAAAGAATCGCTGCGCCTTATAAAGATTCTATAAAGAATCTTAAATAATTAATAAAGTAGTGAGAAGAAAGGTTCGGAACGATAAATTACTAGGTTTTATCTAGCTATTCCGATTATAAGGCTATCGATATCTCGAGTAGTACTCTTCGGAGCGCTCTACTAGATCCTAGATATAACGGATGAGTTAATTAGTCTTTCATCGATGCGGAAATTATAGTAAGTCGGAAAGAATTATATATAAGATATACTATTATCTTAGGCGCCGCGTTTCTTTTCTAGATTAACTAATGTAGGAACGTAAACGCACCGATGAAATTTAAAGCCTAGAGAAACGTCGACGATAATATAAGACGACTTATTATCTTTAACGACGACCTAATAGATAAAGGATATTATTAGCTAATCTTTATAGTCGATGAGATAATATAGTCGTACTCGGTTATTAATTCGACATAAGGTAGATTAGATACGACTAAGATAGTACTCGATTTCTTCGTTCGGTGATTAAAGAATAGCGTTTTTAGTATTTCACCCCGGGAAATACGCCTAGAATCTAATCTTTAGTAGAACACTAATAGTTATAAACTCTAGATAATTAAGAATTCTCTAGCGATTATTAATGCGGAAACTTATAAGACGGCTCGCTTATAAATGGCCTTATCTAACACTTAAGTCGATATCGAGGATCGTTTCACTATCGCCTTAAAGATCTATAAGATAATTATACGTAAACCGAAGCGTAGTGAAGATCTAGAGACGTTAAAGGGCTCGAGTCCGAAGGGGTTAGATAGGAGATAATTAAATAACTTCGTAGAGCGTTTAAAGAACATGAAAAAGAATTAATATTTCCGAGAAGGATAGGCGAAGATTACAGTTAAATCTTAAGCGAGGCCGTTAAGAAAGCGAGCGATAAGGGGAGGGATGTAATGGGAGAAGTTAGAAGTGGTGGATAGCGTTATGATTAGCTGGGGCGCCGACCCTAGACTATAGTTCTTCTTATATAGTTCTGGGGGACTATCTTTTATATAATACATAAGCAACCAAGTTACCAACAGAGAGGACTTCCCCTAGTTAAGTGTACGCGTTGAGAAGAGACTATACTCACCGCCGTACGAGTTAATGCCCATGGTTAGTAGCCTCGCCCCAGTTCAATATTAGAGTCTAACGTTACGTAGGTCTCTAATAGTGTTTCACTTTTTCGTCCCGACCTTACCTTAAGTTATAATATAGTGAAAGGTAATCTATAAGTAGCTTAAGCCGTGGCTAAGCCTTAAGTTTACCCTTAGTAAACGTGAGCTAATATAAGTCAGCGCGATCCTGCCTAGTCCTACCTCATTATTTAAGCCTAAGCTCCTTCTAATCGTACCTAATTTCATCCCTAAGTAATGAAAAGAGGCCCGAAATTAGGCTCGAAACTAGGCCCTATTAGCTTTTAGAGATACTAAGCTTATAGGATTAACTAATACTGTTTTAAGCTATAGAGTCTTTAGTGGCTTAGCTCTTAGACCCCATACACTGCTGGAGCTTTAACAAAGCGTTCTTATGCTTACCCGGAGCAGTGAAACGGCTCGCCCAAGACCCTACCGACATAGCAATGACTACAACGATAAAAAGCTCGATACCATAACCCTCGATCCGCTCACCCTTCCTAACCTCGATAAGTCACTACCTACACCATCGTCAGCACTCTCCCGGCCGTCCGGCTTGCAAAAATTCCCGATTTGGACATTATTATTGGAATAACCCGTATTTTCACGAGGCCCAGAATTGTCCAGTTAGTTGCAAAGGTAGTCACAAAGCAAGTTCGATTCCGGACTTTGTCTAGTTAGGGTGGATCTACTAGGTACCAAGTATATTGGACTGCTCCACATATCCATCACACCAATTATTCAACTTCGCCGATGAACTTTGTTTTTCTCATATCTTCGCACGTCTTCTTGCCTTAACATACCTCGGCACTCTCTCCGGTAACACGTCAATCATCTGTTCCAGCCATTTCCTCGTCGTAGCCGGATCAATCACACCGTCGATCTCAGCTGCCATAGCCATATTGAGGGCATTCCCTTCGCTGTACATGACCTCGATCATCTCCTGCTCCCTTTTCTTCCTCTTTTCAAGATCGTTGATAGCTTCTAACTCCTTCCTGTACGCAAGCCTTACAGCGCCTTCGATCCCCATGCCACCAAAGACGGCACTCGGCCACGCCACGCACATACTGTTCTTCAAACTTCCACCACCGAGCATCGCTTGTGCGCCCAGTCCAAAACCGTTTCGCAGTACGACTCCTAGGACGCGACCGCCGAGAAGGGCAAATTCTTGGGAGTTGCCAAACCAGTCACCGAAGCAGCGGTATGTGCTTCCGGCACCCTGAGCTTCGATCGAGCGCTCGAAATCGGGGCCGACCATGAATCCAGGGGTATCGCAGAGGCTGAGGAGATGCATGCCGCCGAGGCGGATGAGGAGACGGAGAAGGCGGTTGACTTTTGCTCCGGATGCGACGTCGATAGCGCCGCCTAGGGGAGATGAGGAGTTAGAAGCCATGATTGCGACTGCGTGGCCGTTGATGCGGCCAAAGCCTGTGAGCACAGAGAGACCCCACTCGGGAGAGAATTCGATGAAGCTATCGTCGTCCAGAAGAAGGTTGATCACACGACGGACATCGTAGGCTCGGCGACGAGATGACAGTGGCGGCACTGCGGTGCGTAGGCGAAGAGGATCCGATGTGTAAGGACTCTCCGCTGGTGGAAGCTGAGGATGTGTGAACAGAGCAACGATCTTGCGGACAAGCGGCGCAGCTTCGACCTCGGTGTCCACAAGTACATCAATGCCACCTGAGCGCATATGAACATTGACGGGGCCGATATGTTCGTGCTCGAATCGGCCAAGGCCACCGCCCTCGATCATTGCTTGACCGCCCATGCCGATCGTGGTGGACTTCCTCAGCGGCGCATCTTTTGATCCGCCTCTTGTAGCTACGACAATGTCGCACGTTCCCAAGAATGCAGCGTTGCCCGCAAAGCAGTAACCATTCACTACTGCAACAGAAGGTATCCCTCTTGCTTTGATCTCGCCCATCAGTGCGAATGATGGTGTCTTTAGGCCAGCCATGCCCAAGTGATCGGTGTCGCCTGGTCTTCCACCGCCTCCTTCGGCGTACAACACCAGTGGCGCAGGATGATCAATGATTGATTGGAAGATGCGGTCTAACTTCTGATGATGGAAGTGTCCTTGCGTGCCGGCAAGTACGAGGTAGTCGCCAATGACAACTGCGACTGGGTGAGAGTCTATCTTCGCCCAGCCCACGATGATACCATCTCCGCTTGTTCGAGCGATGAGATGGGACATGGGGTATCTTTTCCTCTGTGCCGCAACCACGAGGTCTCCATACTCAATGAATGAATCTTTGTCTACAAGTAAGTCGAGATTTTCCCGGCCCGTGAGGTATCCGTTTGCATGGCGCTTGGCCACGTCCTCTTCGCGGCCAGCGTACCGTAGAAAGGCCTTACGTTCGTTCAGCTCCGTCAGCTCCGGCCGCAGCCTCTCTGGGTTCTCAGTCTCGGCTAGGTCGTGTGTATTGGTAGACGAACTGTCGCCATCCGAGCGGATGAAGAGAAGAGCATCGCCGGCATTTACTTGTTGTCCTTGCGTGACGGCCACTTTCGCCACAACACCATTGCAGGCGCTCCGGACAGAATGTTCCATCTTCATCGCCTCAAGAACGACCAATTCTTGGCCAGCAGTGATCTTGTCGCCTCCGCTCACTTTGATGGAAAGGACAACCCCCGTGACAAGTGCGAGCAGCTCTTCAGAGCCTGCAGGTCGCTCAACTTTAGCGGTATCCTCCATTAGCGAGGTAGCTTCTTCGGAGTTGCGGTCACCTTTAGCCCGCAACGCGTCTTCGAACTCCTGCGTGGCGCTGTACAGCGCCTCGAAGTTCTCCTGGATGGTCAAAATGTTGCTCTTGCCCTCTTGCACGGTTTGGATATCCAGCAAGGCCATTAGGAACGCCTGATTCGTCCTGCATCCTACGATCCTTGTCTCGTCGATGGCCCAACGAGCCAGCCGCAGTGCGGACTCATACGAAGATGAGGTGACAATGAGTTTCGCCAAAAGGCTGTCGAACAAAGGGCTCACAGCATATTGTCGGCCTCCTTCAAGAGCTGTCTCGACTCGCACGCCTGCTCCCGTAGGGAAATGTCCTTGTCGAATAGTCCCCGCTTCAGGTTGCGCGGTGCCATCTTGCCTGAAACTTTCGGCGTTGATGCGTAGCTGTATGGATGTAAGTCGAGGTGGTGGGGGTTCTCGCGTTATGTACAGGTCTGCCAGCGTTCGTCCCAAGGCAACCTGAAGCTGTAAATCCACTAAATCAATGCCATTGATCTGTTCGGTGATGGTATGCTCGACTTGTATCCTGGGATTCGCCTCCATGAAATAATAGTCTTCGGTTACTGCATCGACAAGGAACTCGATTGTGGCAAGACTTCGCAGCTTCACTGCTTTTCCAAGTTTCACCGCTGCTTCGATGATAGCTCGCCTAAGCCGTGGCGTAATGGAATGCGAAGGCGCAATCTCCATGACTTTCTGGTTTCTGCGCTGAAGCGAGCATTCTCTTTCCCAGAAATGGCAAACTTCTCCAGTGCCGTCTCCAAGAAGCTGGACTTCAATATGTTTAGCACCGTGCAGATATTGCTCCGCGAATAACCTTCCATTGCCGAAGGATGCATGTGCCTCTCGCTGACAAGCTTCGTAAGCCAGGCGAATGGCTTGCTCGTCCGTATTGTCATCAATGATGCGGATGCCGCGCCCTCCGCCGCCAGCTGCAGCCTTCAGAATGATTTTGCTGGCTGGGCCCAGGCTCTTTCCAAACGCTAGTACATCCGTGATAGAAGAACCTCGATCGAGTACGGTCTTCGTGCCATCTAGAACCGGTATACCTGCATCTTTCGCCAATGACTTCGCGCTCATCTTGTTTCCAAGTTGTGCCAACTGCTCGCTCGATGGTCCGATGAACATGATGTCTTCATCCTCGCAGAGTCTCACAAACTCAGAGTCTTCGGACAAGAAACCATAGCCCGGTGCGATACCCCAGCATCCTTCTTTCTTCGCAATGTTGACAATATTTACCGCGTCCAGATATGCACGTGGACCTTCTCCCGGGAGCGCCACTGATGCGGTTGCAAGACGCACGTGTGTCGCATCCTTCTCAGAGGGGGTGAACAGAGCTACTGTGTGGATGCTTGAGTAGAGCGAGTATGTCCTGATGAGGCGGCATGCTATCTCGGATCGATTGGCTATGAGAATCTTGATGGGTTGAGAGGAAGACATCCTGGAGGCAACCCCCTAAGGCGGTCATCTACTGGAGAGCGATAGCCATCGCGTGTCACGCACATTAATGATCTTTGTCTCGTTTTCCGGGTGTCTGCAGTATTCATGAAAAGTGGACCTCAAAAACTGCTGCCCCGCCCCCTGCTCCTCGGCTTAATTCGGCAGTGTCGGCACAAGCGCCCCTGTCCAGCAAACTGAGTGCTCTGACCTTACCCTACTGTAAGTGAACTAATCCGTAATGGCCGCCATTCCAATGGAGCGAAGGGCTCGCCCCATTCATTCGTGAAAATACCCTGGAGAACCAGTGTGGTGTTACTTAAATAATTCAAATACTTTTGGGCCTTATTTACTATTTATATTGTAAATATATTTCAGTTATTTAAATAGTTTTAAATAACACTAAGAGCTATTAAGAATGGCTACACTTAATGAACTCACGCGAGCTGCGCGAGAACTTTAAAGACTACATTCAAAAATACTATTAGAGGCCTACGCAACGTAGTATGTACAGAGAATTGGAGTAGCTAAATGCCTTATTTTATATTACGTAGTCCTAGTAACAACGACTCAACGCTTAAGAAAGGAAAAGAGTTCTCTCTCACCCGATTCGGGTGAGAGAAAACTCTTATAGCTTCCTGTTAACAGTTAGATACAGCCTGTTAGATATAGCCTTAAAAGAGACCGATCACGAATTGCGCGAGCGCGACTCACCGCACTCATTGGGTATATGAAAGGATCCACAAAGAGAACATAGGTGGGTCACGTGAGATGCTCTGTTGGCTCTGTTGGCTCTGTCAATAGAGCGCACAGAGCACAAGCATTATAAATACACCCTCGTTACCCCCGACAGTTTACACTCCCTTCGTAGCTAACTCATGTTAGCTATTGAACCATACCGTTCTTAGTAACAACGACTGCTCGTAACTTGCGTCTCTTACTCCCGGTTCATACTATTAAGGATCTGTTACTGAGGAGCCTAACCTCGTTAGGCGATATAGGAGCAGCTCTAACATCATTCTCATAGATATATCTAAGTTCGCGATTCTTCTGCATTCACTCTTTTAATGCGTAAAATATAATTTTGATCGGATTTACATCAGCAATTTTTCCCGCGGCTCACGGTATTCTTATATACCCAGGGGGCCTAGGGAGCTCACCGTCGCTCACAGCTCTTATATCTAGGCTATGAGCGCTTATAGACTATCTATTTTTAGTAACTTTTATAATATATTTATTATATAATTTTATTAAATTTAAGAAGATATTTTCTATTTAGAAAATAAGGCATACGCTAAAAGCGAATAACTCGCTAAGTCTTTAACTTAGTAAATATTAACGCTATTAAGCTAATAATTTAAGATTTACTTCGAAATCTTATATTTTATATATATATATATATTCTAATTCTTATATAATCTTAATTAGTACTAGTTTAAACGACTAGTATAATTATATATTCGCAAAGTTATAAATTATTATATTAGCCTAGGGCCCTCTTAGACTAGCTCATAAGCTCTCTTGTAAAAGCCTAGCGAGCTCAGCGGTCTCATGGGCTGCGTAAGACGTAGACTTACCTTGATAGCCCAGGCCGGCCCAGGGCTCTCAGGGTCACGCGGGAAATTTTGCTAATGATGATCTCCCATAAGTTTACCCTACGAGCTCGTCGAATTTCGTGCCTCTTCCCTCGCTTCTGCTGGTAAACTCGAATCTAGCGCTCTCTTCACTGTCTGTGAAGGTAACGTTGTTCCTTTTGCTTTCCATACTCTCTGGTGAACCTCTTAAATTTTACTCTTGGTGGTGTGCCATTGGTTTCTTAAGCGCCTGTGCGTCGTGGCGTTTAGGATGCGTCTTCCTCGGTAGCCGACGTAATTTTCTCTAGGTCTGAGTCAGCGTCTCTGTTCTGTTGAAGCACCTTGGCACTGGGCTTTCTTGCTTCGTTCGAAGGTGCTCGTCGCTTTGGTGTCATCGGGGCTGTTGTACTGCGGGTGGGCGGCATCTTCCAATCGGGAGCTGCCGACTCTAGCGCGTCTCAGGCGCGTCCAGCTCGTTGGGGCTCTACGTCTCCCGCGACGCGTCTGATGCACGACCAGTGTAATCCAGTAGATGCTTTGTCGAAACACCCTTCCCCTGCAATCACGAGAATCCTCGCACCTTATTCTGTATAGTCATGTGCGAAATCGACGTCCGGTAGGCTACGAATAATTTTCTTTTTCAGGCACTGAGGTGGGTCTTTTAGAGTTCACACCTTACAGCGTTGGGTCAAGCCCCAAATAGACCTCTCTCAATGAGCTTCTAGTGTATGTTTGCTCCTTGAAATCCACGATACGTCGACAATAAACGTCTACTTGGTAGGTCATTTGAATGCAGCTGATTTTGTCAACACGTCGCAATCCTTAGACGAATCAGCGAAGTGGCTGCATGACGGCCGCAGTCAGAGCAGTTTCAGCCGCAGATCAGATTGATCTCGGCGGCTAGTTCGCCTTTGCAATAGGCTATGTGTCCCCGCGACTTTTGCGCCCAAACCCATTGTCAGCATGAGGCGTTTTCCGAGCTGCGTTCTTCGCCCATTCTTCAGGGTCTTTTACACTTGCCTCACATCGGCGCACAACTCCAGGCTGCGCGAACCATAGCCTGAGTCATGCTCGCAGAAGACAATAGGCCATAAGCGGTCCCGACAGTAAGGCAGCGAGCAATGAGTCTCCAGCGTCTTACTGTCTCGAAGTACTTGAAAAGTACAACGATCATTGTCCTCGATGCTCATAGCCAAAGGAAATCCCTGACAAAGCGATGCGGCTTCTTTATTCGAAAGGCGCTGGCAAGTACAGCCTCACTCGGGAATTTGCGGCTGACGAAGACGTTCCTGCATATGCGATCCTCTCACACACTTGGATTGATGGACAAGAGGTCACCTTCGAGGACATCCGAGGTGGAGGCGGACGTGGAAAGAGTGGCTATAACAAGATAAACTTCTTTGCACAGCAAGCCAACAAGGATGGCTTGGAATACTTCTGGGTAGATGCCTGCTGTATCGACAAGTCCAATCCTGCTGAACTCCAAGAAGCTATCAAATCCATGTTCCGACGGTATCAAAATGCTGCGAAGTGCTACGTATATTTGCTCAATGTCTCGAAGGCCGGTGGGAGGGATATGTCGCAACAAGAGTTTCGGCAGAGTCCATGGTTCACTCGACCTGTCTAAATTTGTTGAACAGCGTTTCTCCTAGATGCAACACCGCCAGACAACAGCAGCAGAGGACAAAGCGTATGCACTGCTTGGTATCTTTGGCGTTGAGATGAATCTGCGATGCGGGGAAGGATATCCAAGTGCATCCAAACAACTTGAGGAAAAGATTGGTCAGCTAAACAGTTGCCTTCGTGATTTGCGTATCACGGATCCCCGTCACGATAAACAGCGAATCGAAGAGACCAAGGGTGGCCTACTTGACGGCGTGTACCGGTGGATTCTTGAAAATCCTGACTTTCAAAAGTGGCATGACAACAAGGAAGATCGCCTACTCTGGATCAAGGGTGACCCAGGCAAGGGAAAGACGATGCTTCTCTGCGGCATCATCAATGAGCTGGAAAGTTCCATTAGCAGAATCGATTTGCTGTCATACTTCTTTTGTCAAGCCACTGACTCCCGCATCAACAGTGCTACGTCTCTCCTGTGTGGATTATTGTCTATACTCATCAACAGACAACCGCTGCTTATTTCCCATATCACAAAGAAGCACGATCTCGCAGGGAGAGCCATCTTTGAAGATAGCAACGCCTGGTTCGCCTTGACTGAAGTATTTATGAATATTCTTCAAGACTCTAGACTAACGAACACCTACTTCATTATCGATGCACTCGACGAATGCAGGACTGACCTACATCGGCTGTCATACTTCACAGCTCTGTATTCAGTCCTCGACTATTGGGAGGTTTCATTGCACTCTCGTCCTGAGACCCAGCAGCGCTCACCTCGTCCTACGAACCCTGCACACTGAATTCTTTCGTACCAGACCTCCTTAGACGACCAAGCATTGAGCACGGTTGTGCACGTGAGCTGGAATGGGGCAACAGAAGTCGCGACGTGGAATCTCCTGCACACCGATTTCTACGGCAAGTTCTCGGAACTCATAGCTTCTTCACCACGGCAGGGCTTTGAGACACAGATTCGATTTCAAGGCTTTGCCAAGCATGTCGTGCTCGTTGCTCTAGACATCAACGGCAAAAAGCTCGGCAGATCGAATGTCACCAACACTAAAGTCCATCCAGACTTGCAAAGCTTGTCGATTGCGTATAAAGAATCACAGTGGGTGGAAAATGCGCGAAATCAGTCCTTGTACTGAGAAGTACCTTACCAAGAAGCGAAGAGCAGCTTTTGGTCAAACTTTGAATGGTTCACTCTGGGGAATACTATTCTGTCTTCTCATAATGTGCGTCATTATCTTTATGGTCTTGAGGAGGAGCGGTATATTGAAGCCACCCAGAGAGTCGTGGTGGCGGACCGGACAGCAAAAGTATTCTGCCATCGCGCTTAGCGATGAGGCGTTGGAGCAAAGCGAGATGATGTTGCACAAGACGGGAGTAAGTGAATATTGAGATGTAGATTTCGTTGACTTCAAATACACACTTCTCCTGGTCAAGGGAGAGATTCTTCAGTAACACGCCCTGTCCTGTGGATGAGCCGTAGCCTGATCCCTAAGCGGCGTACCGACGATGTCGAAGCTGATTTTCCGCGTTACATGTCTGAGATCTTCGGGATCCATGTTGCGACTGTTGACACCAATCTCGTTTATGCTGTCTCGCTCGGGATACCAGAAACACCTGCGGGCCCAGTTAGGCTTGGGAAATCAGACGGAATCACTCTCCCGCTTAGAAAGCTCACGCATAGAGGCGATGATATGTGCATAAGTGAGAAGTCTTACATGCAGCCACAGTTGTCACAAAAGTTGAAGGAGATGTCTCGATCGCCCCAGACGTACTTTTTTACATCGCCAGCTTTGTGCTTGTTAATGGTGACCTCTTCGGGTTTGTAGTAAATCCATGCAGCTGCGTAGCGACGACAGATAGTGCATTGGCATTCATTGATCTCCTTCGGCTGGTAAGGGACAATCACTTCGATCGCGCCGCAGTGGCAGATTGATTTGAGGGGTGAGCTGGAACATTGGTCCGCCATGTTGAGCAACCCGCTGAAAGGAGAGTGATCAAGAGGCGATTTGTAATTGCAGCACTTCTTGTTTCTTTACTGCTTCGCACATTTATATGGCAATAGCTACAGCGACAAGCCATTGCTACTTGAGACTCGCGAATTGTTGCTAGTGCCAGGCAACCTTAGGCAGCACATGGCAACTGACCGCTAGCGCCCGCTCTTCTCCGCCAATCAGAGCCGCTACTTTTCACTTTGCCAAACACAAGGCATGAGAGCAACATGGCCGGCGATGCACCAGCGCCAACGGCCAAAGTCTCGGATGTATTCAACACTTATCGACCAACCCGCCTCTTCAAAGCACCTGCAGGTGCAAATTATGCATCGATCGACTTCAACGACGCTGGCGAATTCCTCCTCCTAAGCCGCACAGATGATATAATCCAACTCTTCAATGCCAAAGCCGGTGCGCACGCAAAGGAATTGAAGAGTCAGAAATATGGCCGTGCGCTGGCACGATTCACACATCACGACACTTGCATCATCTACGCGAGCACGAAAGTGGACGATGGCATACGGTACCTGTCGATGCATGATAATAGCTTTATCCGCTATTTTACAGGCTCATCAGTTCTAGCTCTCGTGCATCACCACGGGTCAAATGGATCATATCCAGCTGCCACCTGCCTGATATCGAGGAAGGACTGCAAAAAGCACAATTCAAAGTCCAAGTCGGCCTTGAGTTCAACTCGGCCTCCGTGTCGGCTACTGTCCATTTCTACATCGAGCACAGTGTGCCGGAGCTATCACGCGCTAAACAGTACAAAGAGGTGGAAAGAAGGGATGTGATGAAACTTTTGATCTCACATGCAGCCAACACGTTTCTCTGGGTAGCCATCGTTTGCCTGCGTCTCCGCCAGGAACCCCGACGAAGACTGCCCGCGATCTTAAAAGAGTCCCCTGACGGGCTCGACGCTCTCTACGATCAGATGCTGCAACAAGTTGGTGCTTCGAGAGATTGTGACCTCCTTAAGCAGATATTAGCCGTGATCAAGACCGCCTATCGCCCTATTACCATCCGGGAACTCTCACGCCTTAATGCCGAGATTGCAGAGATGATAGATGACACTAACGCCGTGAAGGAGTATTAGGGACCTACGTAACGCAGTAGGTACAAAGGAATTGGAGTAGCTAAATGCCTTGTTCTATTCACGTAGTCCTATTGACAACGACTCAACGCTTAAGAAAAAGGAAGAGTTCTCTCTCAGCCGGTTCGGGTGAGAGGAGACTCTAATAGCTTCCCCTCTTTCTGTCACGCGAAAAGGGTAAGGCAGAGTTAACCGATAGCCTTGTGCTTCAACCATCCTTTACCTTATCCTTTTCTTTCTATACCGTCCACCCGATTCGGGTGGAGGGCGTAGAGTACTTGGGGACAACGGTGGGCTCGTGACAAGGAGCTCGTTGGTTCTTGCGGCTCGTTCCTTACGATCCTAATGACACGATCTATTTTATATACACCAATTTACGGAAGACTTCTCATTCCTTGCCGACGAAGTTGACGACACCCATCACCTCATTTTTTCCAGATCACTCAAAGCTATGTCAGTAGGATTACGAGGCGACATATATAGCTTGAGTAATCTAGGATGTCATTTCGACTTAATGCAACCACCGAGCTTGAACGAGCTGGCTCCTCTGCAGTATGCTTGCAGGTACTGGATTGATCATCTTCGTGGCTGCGTTTCAAGCTCGGCTACATGCAGTGTCGACTCACATGACCACGAACTCGTTCATGAATTTCTCCGGAAAAAGTCCCTTTGCTGGCTCATAGCCCCTCAGTGTATCTCGAACTATGTTAGAAAGCGTGCTATCAATGGGTCGACTCTTCGAGCTTGTGAATGTACGTAACAACTATGCTGCCATGCATGATGAGTGCTGAGCCCTTTTACAGCAGACAAAAGAAACGTCACAGCTGGCCGAGCTTATTCAGGACATGTGGCATTTCATGCTCACCTGCAAACCCAGTTATAGAGAAGTATCCTTTCCGGGCGTTCGCATCAGCACTCCTATTCTCCCCAAAAACAGCTTTACACGAAAGCTTTACGAAGATCAGGAGTAAAGCTGCATCGTGGTGAGGCCTAGCGTCCAGGACGAATGGAACAACTGCCTTAACGCTTAAAGGCCACAGTAACTCGGTCATGGCGGTGACGTTCTCGCACGACTCGAGTCGTCTGGCATCGCCATCCCGCGATGAGACGGTCCGGATCTAGGACGCCCATAGTAGCGCCTACCTGTTAACGCTCGACGTTGGTTGGCAATGTGGTGAAATATCCTCCGCCTTTAATGACTCTTATCTCACGACTGACACTGGTATCATTGACATCAGCGCTCTATTAGGTCCAATAACAGCCTCTTTCGATTCCAGACCGTCGTCGCAGCGCTGTCGCTGTTTAGGTGTCAGCGCAGATCGTCAATGGATCACATTTGATGCAAATAAACTTACGTGGTTACCTCCTAAATATCTACCAAGGATTTCAAGCGTCACATCAAATACTTGCGCTATTGACACTGGACGAGGAAAAGTATGGATTATCAGATCACAGTTGTCTCGTGCGCGATCGTGATAGTTAGAGTATACTAAATCCGCGCGTAATTACTGCCACTCTATTGTACTGAATGTACGAAAGCGTATGTCTAGCTCCATAAAATAGAGGACCAAAGAGCCACCTAGGTACTTATTATTACTATAACGTACTACTGGTTTTAAGGTATAATCACACATTAGAGGCTCATTAGAAGAGAAGCCTATTTGTGGCTTAACCTAACACAGTACGATGGAAACTATAAAAGACCCATCTAAGTGCCTAAAAAAGAAAATAATTCGTACCCTACCGGACGACGATTTCGCACTTAACTATATCTACTACGCATTCACTACGATACTCCTAAAAGTGTCAAAACTGTTAAAAGATAATCGTAAAATTATTAGACACAGCCTTACGAATAATCGGTCACGGGTTACACAAGCACGGCCCACCACACTCATTGGATAAATGGAAGGACCCACAGGAGAGTAAGGCTGGATTACGTGAGATGCCCTGCTGGCTCTGCTGGCTCTGTTGGCTCTGTTGCGACAGAGCGCACAGAGCGCACAGAGCACAGGCAATATATATACACCCTCATTCCCCCAGGTAGTTACACTCTCTTCGTAGCCAATTCATGTTATCTATTGGACTGTATAGTTCTTAGTGACACTGACTGTTCGCCCCTTGCGTTGTTCACAACCAGCTCATGCTATTCAAGGATTGTTACTGAGAACCCTAACCTAGTTAGGTTCAGTAGGAAACCTTAACAATGAGGTATAAAACTCTATAATAAAATTTAAACGACTTCCTTAGGTACTTTAGTAGCTCACCATCTAATCTAGAGCGTCATAGTCCCGACGAATTCTTCTAAAATAAGAAAACTATATCCTAGTTCAGCGGAGGGTTAAAAAGCGTGGTCGAGCCGAGTCGGCGAGGGCCGCAGGTTAATTGAAGGTGCGTCAGAGTGCAGAAAGTACATAGGGGCCAGCGGGTGTGCCCGGGCGACGCTAGGTGGGGCTGGAATGGAGCAAGGGTCGAACCCAGAATGACATGTCTCTCTATTTTGCTGTTCTAAGCGTGGCCGTAGCTGGTGACTGTATTTAGGTCTGTATCGTGACGGGCTATGACTACCATATAAAATATTAGCTAGACAGGATGTTACAAACTAACCTAGATCTGGGGGTGATCGGTACAGAAAGTTTGATGGTACGTGGTTAGGGCACTACCTGTTGCATCGTCATGCCAAGACCTAAGCGCCAAGCCTATAGATCACGTGATCCACTACTGTCCTTTTAGCCTAGGTTTAGTGTTCTCCCCTTTTCCTTGCAACCTCTACCGAGGCTTTACTCCGTATAATGTATTAGATATACTAGCAACGGCTCTGAGTCAGTTTTGCTTAGACTTGAGACTAGCGACAGTGCGCCACCTTGTACACCGGCGAAAAATCACGTGATCCTTCTCATCGGGGTTGATAGTTTCCAGCAATGTCATTGCTGTTCTTTGATGATATGCAGGGCCATGAAGTGGGGACGGAGGACCACGGAGTGCCAACACGGAGCCTAGCCTGATCCATCGGACCACGCCCGTTTTCGGCTACGTGCAGAAATGTTTGCACAAGTCTGACGACAAGCCGCGGTTCGTCTACTTTCTTCAGGTGGTTAACAAAACTTACGTAGGCGGTTTAATGATGTTCACGGAGGATGATTGTATAGTTTAGTGCAAGGATATAAGCTGAAGGCAGGGGGCTTGCTGGTGGTTCAAAGATGGACTCTTCCTGTATTCGATACTTCACTCTTCCCACCATTACTGATTGGTACAAATTGACATCTCTGCCATCATCATACCTCCTCATCTTTCTGAGAATCAAGAACATCTGGAATATATGGAGACCAACAGACCCTATACCACTGAAAGTCGTATCAATTCCGTGGACAGACCAGGCAAGCTTGACACCACGACCTCGAATGTTCATCATATTGCTTCATCCAGCTCCACAGCTGGATTTTTCCAAAGCCCTCCGCAGGTCCTCAACCAGTATGAAGACGATACGGCTCTACGGCGCGCGATGAAGCTCTTCCTACCACACGGAGTGCAAGAGGCATTAAAAGCCGATCTCTCTGCTTTTGGTGAACGTGTGCTCACTCGTCAGACGCTTGGCTGGGTTCTTGAGGCTGAACGCAATCTTCCTTACGTCAAATCGTGGGACACCTGGGGCAAGCGTCGTGATGAGCTCATCACTAGTGACGGCTGGAAGAATTTGCAGCGGATGGGAATTGAAGCAGGTATCGTTGCTATCCCATATGAAAATTCCTTTCAGGAGTTCTCGAGGATCTACTGGTGCACCAAATACATCCTATGGTGTGGAAGTAGTGCGTGGGTCAACTGTCCGAGTCTCATCGTTGACGGGGTCGCGAGCTTGTTTCGCGAACATCTGAGTGATAACACCCTTGGAGATGAGAGACAGGTCCTACAGGATGCGTATACCAGATTGGTATCAAGAGACGGCGAAAAAGCGTGGACGTCAGGTCAATGGATGACAGAACGACAAGGCGGAAGTGATGTGAGCATGACCGAGACTGTTGCAACATATGCACCAAACTGTCAATCAAATGAAGAAGAAGACGCGCATGGAAACCCGCTTGGTCCGTGGTGTTTAGATGGATTCAAATGGTTCAGTAGCGCCACGGACGCGAACGTGGCTATTCTCCTTGCTCGGACTCAGAAAGGAATCAGTCTGTTTTACGCACCGATGAGACGAGCGTTGAAGGAAAAGGACGCCATGGGTTTTGGGACTGCGTCGAACGGGGTTTATATTCAAAGGCTGAAAAATAAACTCGGAACGAAAGCTTTACCAACGGCAGAACTCGAGATCAAAGGGATGCGGGGTTGGTTGGTCGGCGAAGAAGGGAGAGGAACGAAGGAGATTGCTACGGTTCTGAATGTTGCAAGACTTCACAACGCAGCGACGGCTGTTGGACTCTGGGGGAGAGGCCTTGGGATTGTCAGAGCTTTTGCTCGTGTTCGAGTGGTGGGTCGAAGACCACTGTATGAGAGAGCAGGCTTTATGCGGAACCTTGCCCGGATGCACACTGAATATCGTGCCAACGTTCTGTTTACTTTCTTCGTCTCTGGACTGCTTGGTTGTGCGGAGCAAGAAAAAATCGCAAAAATGGCTGGTGAGCAAGGGAAAGGAGTGAATAAGATGGGAAAATTACCGAACGTGACAGACACCCCGATGGCAGTTTGGCTCTTACGGATTTTCACACCTCTCCTCAAAGGGCACTGTGCAAAGACTGGAATCACCGGTCTCCAAGAATGCATGGAGTGTTTGGGTGGAGTCGGCTACCTTGAAAACGACGATATGCAGTTCAACATCGCCCGACTCTATCGTGATGCAAACATTGTACCCATCTGGGAAGGGACTACTGATGTGAGTTTGCGGTATAATCTCGTCAATCTCTGTACCGATACTTACAAAGGTGCTGTCCAGATGATGGCTGACGACGCCATTTTACGCGTCTTGTATGGCAAGAATCGAACAGAGGTAATGAGAGCCTTGTCCAAATGGGTTACCGAAGTGTTGGAACAAAATGCCAGCCAGGGGTCTGACATCAAAACTGTGGCGAGTTGGTGGACAGACTTTAAGCAGACATTGATCGATCTCCCAAAGTCAGACATTGAGAGGCATGCTCGCGACATCATGTCAAGGCTTGTTGACATTGTGCAAGGCTTGCTTCTAATCATCGACGCAGCAACAGATGGAAATGATGTGGCACAGTTGGTAAAGGAGTGTTGGTTTGCCGACAAGTGTGAGGGTATGAGTCTCAAGCCGTCTAGTAGGAGGAGTTCCACCAATTTACAGACCTCAGACATGAGGATTGTCTTCCGGCAGGCCAAGCTTGATTCGCTCGGCGCAAAAATATAGTTCCTTTTTATAGGAATTTAGAATTCATGAGTTTGTAAATTCACTCTCACTCCAATGATATTTTTTCTACGCCAGGCATCAAGTATTCCAATGATTGCGTGAGTCCGTCACGGCCATGTTGGTCCGCTGGTACCTATCAATGCGAAGAAGGGTAAAGTTAATATAGGAACTTCTTTATACTCTCACAAAGTTCTCTTGCCGCAATCGGCTTGTTTTACATTGCAAAGGATGTCAGGGAAATGCTGAATTTCAACACAACCCGCCAGTGTACCAATGTTTGTGGAGTATTGCTACACATCCCAAAATACTGATACAGTGAGAAAAGTAAAGTTAAAGTGAATGGTTATTGAAATATGACACAGATAGCCTCATTAATTGGTGGCAAATAATGATAGTTGTAGAGCCAAGTGTCTCTGTTGAATCACAAAGAATACTACCTAAGACAATAGGCTGGCTACCCCTTGTACCATCGCATGGTTTCTTCGGAAGGATAAGCCACAATCATCCTTATGCCCGCATAGCGGCTTCGTTATTCAATAAGTGTATTTAAAGCCTTCTGGGACTCCAGGAAATCTCTTTCCGTTCTCAGCCAACTTGTTTTGCCACCTGAGTGTCAGAATGGTGACGATGGCAAGCACCACGGTGAATGCGTTTGGTGCGATGACAGCGATGATGCCTGGAATATAATCGGGTGCGTCCTGCGACATTGTTAGTATTTCTATTTTCGACAACGTTCCTTTGTAGCTCAGACCAACCTGTTGACGGAAAACGAGGGATGAATAAATACCACCCACAGCGCTCGTCATGACCAAGACTGCCGTGGCCACTGCTCGCTTAGCATCACCAACAATATTGTTCTGTTGCCAGGCTATTACCGTTGGAATCATTCCATTGACTCCTGCCATGCCTAGGAATGTTCCAATGTACCTCGGGGTTGGGCTCTTGACAAATGCCATGACGCAAAGGCCGGTGATGGCAAGGCATGCTTGGAAAATGACAAAAAGTCCTCGAGATTGCAGCTTATCTGCGAGCCATGCAACAATGAATGCTTCGATAACGGCGAAAATGGAAGGAGGCGCTGAGAGCAGGAAGGCGAGTTCCAAGGAGTACGATAGTCCACGCATGAGGATAATCGGAAGGAAGAATAAGAAGGCGTATACTCCAATGCCGGCCGACATATACATGAGAGAGAAGGACCACACCTTCCAATCCTTCAATGTATCCAAGATCCGTTGTGAGGAGACTTTCTGTCTTTCTTCTGTTCCTCGATCTTTTGCTAGTCGATCTAATGCAAATTGCTTCTCTTCTGGGGACAAGAATTTGTTGCGCTTTGATGCTGGAAAATCGACGATGACGAACCAAGCGATGACGGCGAAGAAGCTGGTGAGACTTCCTTCGATGATATAAATCCACCTCCAACCTTTGTACGTGGTTTTGTTAGCAATTTGAATAAGACCGTACGCAAATATGTTTGCGAAGGCTGTTAATGCCGTTGAAGTTAGATAGAAAAATGCCAATCTCTTCTGGACTTCATATCGTTTATACCACGATGCGATCAGATAGACACATCTGCCATGATTAGATTTGCATTCTACAGCAGATTGATTCGGAACATCATACCCAGGATAGAATCCAGCCTCAAATATACCAAGAACTGCACGGCAGATTGCCAGACCAACCCAATTCGACAAAAAGCCAATTCCAAGGGTTACGAGGCCCCAGGCAAATGTGATTCCAGCAATCCAGTTTGCGACTCCGGCACTTTGAATGACCATGTTGCTTGGGATCTCAAAGATGATATATCCAATGAAGAAGACGAGTAGAGCAATAGAAGCTCGATTCCCTTTGTCCAGGTCCACATCCTCATCAAGACCAGATATTCGAGCAACCGATATGTTGCTACGATCCACCAGAGAGGCAGTGTAGAGTAGTCCAAGTATGGGTACCAGGCGTATATCGATTTTGCGAATGACCTTTTTTTCAATCTCCAGCTCTTCAGAGCCATTGAAGCGAGATCCATCTTCGGCCTCGCTCATCCCTTCCCGATGAATACTGGCTTCTTCACAATGGACAATACTTTCCTTCTCTGACATTGTTATGTAGAAGGAAGTAAAGGTAGCTTGTGTGAGTCTGTAAATAAGCTGAAGGAGTAGGACCCAGTGTCTTGATACTGAGTGGTAAACGGGTAACTGATGATTGCTTGATACATACCCCAGGTATATATATGTGCGTGTGCGTGAGTGTGTTTCCAGCATTTGAGCTCGTGTATCCCTGGCACCCCGCAAAATCTCCGCCTGTTGGATACAGAGTCCCGCAAATGCGGAGGATACAAGACAAGGTTTCTTAGTGCACGGACTTTATCCTCATCAAGAATTAGACTGCATGCAAAGAGACGGTCAGCTACAGGCCTAGAATATGCATCAATGAACTGAGGACTACTTCTAAAGTCTAACAACTACGACCTACATTTTGGAATTGAAATGAAAAGTTGAGGAATGCCAGGCTATGCCGTCTGCCGATGGAATAAGCGATGCTTCGCAGCGACTGGGCCGTTCTGCAACAGGGGTGTGCTATGCCTCAAATTCTATTCGACAGAATGATCCATGGAATGGACTCTTGATATGGAAGTGTGGGGACGGCGTGGTGGCCCTTTTGGGCCACACAGACGGACACCAAGACGGTGGCCAAAGGAGTTGCAGGACGCGCGGACCAAAACGTTTGACCAATAATATTTAGCTGGCTTGCGATTGTTGCGTTAAACCACCAGCGATACATTGGAAACACTGTTTGATCAGCCAGAATCTTCGCAAAGGTAGTCGACAATGAGTGAACCAAATGAAAATCGAATGGACTTTGCTAGTGAATTGACACGAAATCGCCCCGGCTTTTTGTCCGTGGTGTGACTCAAAGAAACGCACTTGACCATAAGGTAGCATTCAAAACGCTAGATGTGTTCTGACTCTATAGATATCCCATCTCTATACAAATGAAGCGATATTCCATATATTATATCTCATCTTTCCTCCGATTCAGAACATAACGCAATTAAATTGTCTATTACTCCGTACTCCTAATCACAATGGCCACTTGTACAACAGCCGGCACTAAAACAACAAGAAACTATTTGAGCTCCGACAAGCTTGAAGCTCTAAGCTCAGCAGCTTCTGTCACCAATAAAATTACGTCGCCGCGGAATGATACCGAGACAAAGAAGTTATTCATTCCATCACCTCCCAAGTTCACGGATAAACTTGAAGAGCGCGAATACCTAAAGGGACGCCTGGCACTGGCCTTCCGCATCTTTGCTCAACATGGCTTCGACGAAGGCTTTGCCGGACATATCACTGTGCGCGATCCTGTCGATCCTACTACATTCTGGGTGAATCCTTTTGGCGTGGCGTTTTCAATGATGAAGTCTTCAGACCTGATACTCGTCGATCACGAGGGACACGTTATTGGTGGCGGGTCAAACCGACTCCTGAATACGGCCGCATATCTAATCCACGCCGCAGTGCACAAGGCTCGTCCTGACGTGGTCTGTGCAGCCCACTCACACAGTCTCTATGGTCGCTCATTCTGTGCCTTGGGCCGGCCAATTGATATAATCACGCAGGACAGCTGCGTGTTCTATAATGATCTGGCGGTGTATAATCAATTCAAGGGCGCTGTGCTTAATGAAAAAGAAGGCGAAAATATCGCAAAAGCAATCGGAAGCAAAAAGGCATGTCTTTTGCAAAACCACGGGATTCTGACTGTCGGGCAGTCGATAGAGGCTGCGGTCTTCTGGTTTGTGAGCCTCGATAAGTGCTGCCATGGACAACTCTTGGCTGACGCTGCTGCTGGGGGGCGGGGTGAGGTCACAACAAAGATTGATGATGAAGATGCAGCTTTTACTTATAAGGCAATTGGTAGTCCTCGAGCTGGATGGTTTAGTGCGAAACCTTTATTCGATGCCATCGCCGAAGAAGTCGGTGATAAATACAAGCACTAGAACCTCGGGTAGGATCGGTCGCTTTGCTCCTGGGATGTATTTCGCGGAATGCGTACATAAAGCCACATTTCATCACGAATTGGCAATCTGAAAGGCGAAACTGCTTATTATTAGTGCTTTTGATTTTCGGCTGCTTATGTATTCTTGTGTTTTTATTCCCAGCAACACGTCTTCCCGCTTTCTCAGGGCCTAGGCATCAAACACTGCTGAGCAGTAAGAACAACAAAATTTTCATGGCCGTACAGGTCACTCGACTATTAATTTCCCAATCAGTTCCACAACCAGACATATTGATGGCGGCGAATCCATAAATGAAAGCACGTAATTGAATGCGATCGCAGATTTGATAGGAGCCTAGGCCCAAGCAGTTCGAACTGCTGTTCTACTTGCTGGCAATATCTGTCAAACACCCGCACTGCATACGCATAAAATTGATTTTAACAAGGGCTAGTCAAGATTCCACTGTGTGCTCTCTCCGATGAATATTCCGGGAGTAAAATTGTCGAAAGAATTAAAATTGAGGTCGAAGAGATCGGGGGCATCAAGACCGGAAGGGCTCAAAAGGGGGAGCTCCGTCCCTGGCTGACTCATATCTTCAGACGCTGCTCTGGTTGATTGTGCGCTATAATCAAGGAGCCTGTAAAGACGACCTACATCGTCTTCGTCGAGAATATGTTCTTGATCACCGGGATCGACCAAATACTGTAACGCTTTTGCATCCTTCTCAAATTTCCTAAGAGCCGCCAACTTTAAGAGCCAGTGTAAGTAGGTTTACAGGAGGGAAATAGCCACCAAAAGAAGACCTACCATTTGGGCCGAATTTGCATATAGTTTGGCTTGTCTTTCCAGAAACAAAAAGTTCATCTGAACGGCTAATTCGGACATTTTCTGCATGTTTTCATCCGTCGAAAGACAGTGGAGACAGTTGATTGTTCCGGCCACCAGCGAACAGTAGGCGTAGAATGAAGACCAGGTGGGCATGTTTTTCTGAGTGGTATATGATAGGGTATGAGTGAGATCTTGCGCGTTCTGCCAATTTTTTTGGAGGCTATCAGAGAGAAAATCGCTCGGAAATGGAGCATCGTTCGGGCGGTGTCGCCGTTTTAATACGAACGGGTGTTGTAATATACAATAACAGAGGTGATAAAGAATGTGTGAGAATATGCACAGCGCGATGTCGTTCGAATCTTCGCGGCCACCAGAACTCCAGCTGGTTGGATCAAACGGCTGACGTTTATCAAAGTAAGTTGAAAGTGAGTTTAGTCTTGTAATCAGTTGAGCATATTCTGAGTTTTGTGTCGACGGTGGTTCCATTTGGGCTTGCCAGCTCTGCTGAAGAGAGAAACCCGCAATACGGCTTAAAGTTGATGTAAGCAAGATAACCCTCGCTAGGGCGCCAACGTTACCAAGCTGATCTGGGGGGCTCTCATTTAATACTTTGAGTGTTGGTGAATCGTTCGGCGAACCGTCTCGAAAAGAATTTTCGGGGCATGGGAGGCGAACCCTCAATGCCGAATCTGGAAATAACCCGGTGCGATTTGTACCACAAGTGCCCAATCTATCCAACATATAAATTGACCACAGTGTCCTGCGGTGCTCTTCTCGGGTTGAATTCGCCAAATTGGGCGGCTCACTCATCAGGTTGAGCGACTGCGCAATGCTAATCGCCATACCAATACGAATCCACGCACTTCGATAGTTGCATCCTAGCTGTGTTATTTGAGTGAATGCCCGATTACCCAGGGAGGGAGCTTACCGACAAATTGATGGACGGCAAGAAGGATGGTTCCTTGTACGGTACGATAGTCCGGGCCACTCTCGCTTTCAAAACACTCCACAAGGATAGCACGCCAGGCCTGTGCTGCGAATTGATTGGATGCTGAAGATAGATTGTCCTTGTAGCATGGATCGTGTGAATATCGAAGGGTACTGGCAACAATTGCAAGTATGAGATATGGAGGTAGAATGCTTCGAGAAAAGTCGGACCGGAAGGTCTCCTCGTGAAACATCGAATACGGTTGACCATGACAACATTTGAAATATGTATCAACCGCGAGTTGTTGGCTGGTTTTATTTAAGGGATTGCCCAGCACAGGAGAACCTCCCGGCCCTGTCGCGCATGCCTGCCCCTCAGTGGGCCCCAAGTCATGATTGGATTCTGTAGCAGGAATGAATGAGGTTCGATTGAAAGAGTTGGAATGAAAGTGATCAGCGGAAGAGCCGAGTTCGTTTGGGGCTATATCGTTTGGTAGACACCGGTCACTAGATTTAAGTCACCATCAGCAAAAAATCTTACTTGAGTGAAATCTTATTACCTTATTCGATCCTCTTCAATGAGAATTTCGCTGACCTCTTGACCGTCACCAATATCAAAAGTCGGCTGTTGAGTAATCAGCAATCCCCTTGGCGGCCAATATTTCGCATTGGGCTCACGAAGTAATGATGATTCTGTGCCGGAAGTATTTGCGATAGAGGAAATCTTGGCTGCATTGTTGTATGCTGAGGATAAATGCACTGTTGGCCGAGACGGGCACAGAAACCACATACTGGCCGTTCCCCGTAACAACGCACTTTCTTTCGTCTATTTTATTCTTAGAAGGTGGATGACAGCGAGAAGAGCAGATTTCGATAAGCCTTAGATCGGGGGCAGCCATAAATCAAATCAACTAACCGACAATTCAAGCAAGCTCGATGTGGACGCTTAGCGCCAATTGAACTAGTAGAAAACATGTTCGAATATGAAAAGACTTTCGATCTGAATGTGTTTGTCGTCGTCCTTGTACCAAAGATTGGCTTGGGAAAAGAAAGCCGGGATTGTGCATGTACATTTAAGAAATCAACGAGGGTGTGCCGAGGGTGGCCTACCCCGCCTTCCACCCTTCGTAATTCTCGCTTAATTATGATTTGGAAGGGATTCCCGAAAAGCGTCAACCTCGCCTGTTGTACCTCGTACTGGAAGGATATTCCCAGTCAAAAATATCGCAAGTTAAAACGTGACTACAAAGGCAAACCAAACGTTGGGGAAATTTTTGATGGCGCTAATATCAACTATTTAGAGATTCTAATAGACAAACATCAAGTTAGAGAATTGCTAGACAAGAGTGCACAAAGGTTCCAACAGGCAGGGCCAAAAGTTGGGATTCTTGATCCCCGGCTATTGCTATCGTTATTTTCTCTCCAAAATTCGCACTTCCTCCTGAGTATCAAAAGCCCCATGTTATGAACGGTCGTGGACTTATTCCATGTGCAGAGCTGTCATATTCTGGGTCTTCCATCTTTCCATTCCGTCTTTCTTAGCAAGTTTCTCTGGATTTTTCCAGATATGGTCTTTGGCAAGAAATCCGAGTCGACGAATTAGATCTTGCGAGGATACTTGTAAGGGGCTGCGTTTAATTTGTAAAATTTTTGCAACTCGTTTATTAGAGCGTCCAAATCTTGCTGCGTTGACATTCTCTGGGAATATTCGTCTGTCAAGACGACAAAAGTCTTAACAACTTCGCCCCTCTTGGGATCAGGTGAGGAAATAGCGGCAGATTCTGCCACGACAGGATGCAGCTTCAAGGTCGATCTAACTTCAAACGGACCTAGCACATTTGGCTTAACTGTTTGTTATGCGCATATAGACTTTGCGCAGGACTTACCTATGCGGTAATCAGCCGAGTTAATCACATCATCAGCTCTCCCGACAAACCAGAAGTAGCCCATTTCATCCTTCCTGCCCCTATCCCCGGTGAGGTACTAGGTCTCAGTCTTATCATTCACAATAAATTGGTGCTCTGGCCTGAAACGCAGCCGTTTTCGTCAATGTAGCCGTCAAAAGATACCGAAGAAGCTCTCAGCTTCGTTTGGCGACTTGATTTTCAGGGCGGTATTGCCTTCTTCACCTGGGGCACATTCTCTCCTATCCACGTCGATTACATTTAGCGGGATACCGGGTGCGGGTTTCCCCATTGGGCCTGGCTGAATAGGGCAATCTTTGAAGTTACCGCAAAGTAGGACAGTTTCGGTTTGTCCATAGCCATCATGGATATTCAGATTTGAGAGTTGTTTCCATTGCCTGATTACTTCGGAATTAAGAGCTTCAGCTGCTGCCAAACAGTGCTCGAGCGACTTTGGTGGATATAATCGGTAATAATCTTTCGAATCTCGAAGCGTAAGTTGGCGCCATACCAGAGGAGGAGCACAAAGCGTGGTAATAGGAAACCGATTCAGAATGTTTAACAGGCGGTGGACGCTGAAAGGTTTGCGGTCGTCGAAGATAAATAGGGTAGCACCGCAGTTCCACGCTCCAAAAATGAGTATGCTACCTTTCCCCAACCTAAAGAATTGAATCAGAGGCAGATCACCGTATGAATCAAAATTGGTGAACACACCCTAGTCCGCTGTATTCCAAAAGAGCTTCCCGGGTTCTAGCTGCATCCAAAATTTACCGGTATTGCCGAGTGCTGTCAAATCAGTAGAGAGCCCTAAATAAAATTTTCCTTTTCACTTACCCAGTGGAAATGACACCTGTTTATGAATGACCATTTCGGGAAGACCAGACGTTCCCGAGGTAAAATATATTATTGCCGGATGATCCCAAGGAAGAGACAGAGACTCAAATTGGATGCCCGGAGGGATACTCTCTATAGCATTGTAATAGTCAAATGTGTCTTCTGGAATAAGTCCTCCCACTTGTATAACAGTCTTCTCGGAAGGGCACCGCGACCTAACCGTCCGAAACTGCTTAACCGTGGTCTCATCCCCAATAATCGTAGTTGCTTTGCTCCAATTAAAGCGATACTGAATATCGTATTCAGTTATCATCGTAGCTGCCGGAGCGAGAATTATACCACGTCGAAGAGCCGCTAGTCCAACCTCCCACTTTTTTTTTTCTTGTCAGCTCCGATATCGTCTATGATTCTCCTTTCTGTATTCACTAACCATGCTGAAATTCTAGGTAATCGAACGATTAAGACTTCGCCTTGCTTTATACCTAGTTTTGTAAGCATGAAAGCAACGCCCTGGGACTGGTTCGAGAAATATTGACACGTCATTGAACGGTGAGAAGTCATGTCTTGGGATACCCAAAGCATGGCAACATGATGCAGATTATCGTTTGCCCATCTCTCGACAATATCGGTAGCGAAATTGAAGTATTCTGGTCGATGAAGGGACCAATTTGTTGCCTGGTTTGGAGGCAAATCCTCCTTCGCATAAGGTGGAAGCTGGTGATGAGTTGTAGAGAGCCGTTTGCCAGGATTGGCCATGTCTACGGATGGAAGATTATGCTGTGCTCGGAATTAGCTGGTAAGCGTGATGCTTGTGTATTTACATTTGACACAATAATATTGTAATGTGACTGTCGTTTTCAATCAGACAGAAAAATATTTATGGATAATGCTAGCGCTTCACCATCCTGTTAAATAGAAGTTATAAATCCCAGGAACATTACTGGAGGAATGCTTAATCTTCATACCCTCTCATGAATTGCGGCCATTTCTATGGAAACCTACTAACTGGATGTAGAGAGGAGCAAATAGAGGCTTCCAGCCTCGCTAACATTTTCCAATCAAGATGATCCGACCCCCTTCATGCCGTCCCCACTGTCGCTAGCAGTTGCGAGAGGATATGACTGGGTGGTGCACCGCCCCCACCACGGCGGCATATACTAGGGTGCCTCCGACAGGACCATTATCGAAATCAAGATGGTTCTAAACTCCCCGGATACATGTGATCACACAATTTGGAGTGAGTCAGCATCTATTTCTAGCTCTATTCTCTGAGTTTTAATCCTTGGAACACATTGGAACTGCAAAAATCCGTCCGATGTGGGGGGTGCTTTCACCTTCCAAGCCCCCGTCGACGAACAAAGTTCTTCTGCCCCTGTTAATTATCTTGCCCTCCAAGAGGCAGCAATGCTTGATATTTTGTAAAAGTTTCAAGGTATTAGTTGAAGGAGCCAGCCTTCGTATGTCGAATCGCCATTTAATCATTGCCTCAACAGCATAGAAACACAATGCCAAGGTGTCTTGACGTGCTCCTCTATGGGCCAGGTTCCATCGGAGCATTTTATGCTTTTATCCTTCATAGGTCACCGAGAGTCCGTCTATTTGTTGCTGCACGCTCTGGCTACGAAGCAATCAAGTTGAATGGAATTACTGTCAAGAGCGACTCTCATGGAGAACATGTTTTTCGGCCAGTGCAAGTGTTCAGACAGCCGTCCGATGCAAAGCGTGTCTTTGACTATATTGTATGCACTAACAAGGCTATCGAATCGGAGCGAGTGGCTCGCGACCTTGCACCCGTGGTGGACGTGGGAAGGACCACATTTGCGCTGATGCAAAATGGCATCGGGATTGAAGAGCCTTTTAGAAAAGCGTATCCCACTTGTCCAATTCTTAGTGGCGTGGTGAGTCATTCCTTGGTATGCTGACGTTGTTGAGGCTGAATTGATATCATTACCTTATCCTCAAGACAATATATTAACGCTCTGCTTTCAGGTATGGGTAGGAGGCGCTCAACTGTCTCCGGGCGTTGTCCACCACTATCCACCCGAAAACACGGAGATTGGCCTCTTCGAAAGCCAGGACATCAACGCGACCGTGCAACAAGAAAGCCTCGATCAATTTGTATCATGTTTCCGCGAGGGAGGAACTCCAGTACAGGTTCTCCCTAACATCCAGACCGCTCGCTGGAAGAAGACAATCTGGAACATGGCTTGGAACTCTATCACAACTCTCACATCTTGGAACACAGCGTCATGGCTCTCATCATCCACTTTTGCTGTTCCGCTGACGAGAACGTTGATGGCAGAGGGAATCAGCGTGGCGAAGGCATTACGAATTCCCGAGGTAGATGACGATTTACTTGATGAATTTCTAATGAAGATCAATCAGTTGGGGCCTATCTACAGTAGTATGTACTACGATAGCAAATTTGGAAGACCAATGGAAGTGGAAGCGATATTTGGGACTGCGGTCCGAAAGGGGCGTGAGCTGGGTGTCTCAACTCCAACCTTGGGATTAGTTTACGGGCTTTTGCTCGCCATTGATGCCAGAATGGCGTTGGATCGCAACAAAGGGGAGGAAGCATGATAATCAAGGACGACATTGAAAAGTTTGCGAGCATTCTCACCCATTGTAGCCTTTGAACCCATCGTCAGTGTAGGAGAGCATGGCTTTCAACCGTTTCTTTTCTCAAGAGAGACAATAGAATCTATAGAGGCTTATTTTAATCAAGTTACGGGTTTTTTGGTAGTGAACTATCGGCATGGACGACACACTTGCCACATGGTACAACTCAGTTATGAGTGAACTTCATCCGGCAATGTCGATGCAAACCAAGTTTTGTATTTACCACACTCGATACCAGTTCGGCTAGCTGCACTCTAGGCAAATCCACCTGTTATCTTGGGGCGTGCCAGCGGGAGGTTCAACGATCTCGGCTGCTACCGAGCCACTTTGAAACCGAGCCAGCACCACAGCCCTGTCTTCCCCAAGTGTGTCCTGAGCTCGCACAAGTCTGACTGCTCTGTGTGCAACACGGAGATGTTGGGAGATATCCTGAAGTTCCCCAAGTGTGCCAGTAGAAAGAAAATCCCACTGCCAACGAAAATGACAGAAATCTTTAGGTTTGGTATACTATATGTATTTATAAAATTTGCTCGTCTCTAATGCCTTAGCATGTTCGCAAACTCGAGTCGCATCCACATCCCCCTCCACACACCTGATTTAAAGCGTTTTCCACCCTCAATCCTTTGACCCAATCCGCGGGACAAGGATGGGGAACTCCTGCATGGAGTCTGTGACGTAAGCCTTCAAGAAAGCAGCACACGTCCTTTGCGACGTCATCATTCCGACAGAGGCCAATCAACCTTTATTTAGGTCTAAGTCCCACCACCAAGTTTTGTGCACCAATCCTATTTTACTCCACGCGTTCTACCACCCCACCACCTCTTTACCAACTCAATCAACCAACTACCACTCAACTAATTCGCCTTTAATCACGCGTAAATGGCCTCAAATCGAGAAGCTAGGATTTAGTAAGCAATCTCTAACTATCAATCACATCGATATCCGAGCATTCGCGCAGCCGCAGCCGCGAACAATATCCACCACATCAGCAAAATTTCCCGCGTAACCCTGAGAGCCCTAGGCCGCCCTAAGCTATCAAGGTAAGTCTACGCCTTACGCAGCCCATAAGACCGCTGGGCTCGCTGGACTACTCTAAGAGAGCTCATTGGCTAGTCTAAGAGGGCCCTGGGCTAATATAATAATTTATAATTATACGAATATATAATTATACTAGTGAACTGGGGCGAGGCTACTAGCCATGGGCATCAACTCGTACGGCGGTGGGTATAGTCTCTTCTCAACGCGCACACTCAACTAGGGGAAGTCCTCTCTGTTGGTAACTTGGTTGCTTGTCTATTGTATGAAAGATAGTCCCCCAGAACTATATAAGAAGAACCCTAGTCTAGGGTCGGCGCCCTAGCCAATCATTACGCTATCCACCACTTTAAACTTCTCCCATTACACTAAGAGGTAGCGGCTAGGGCAGCGAGCGCCTAGCACGGTGACGGCATTGAGAAGTAGGAAAGCGCCGATGAAAGCCTCAAGAATAGGTAGACGACATCGAAAACAGGGAATACTCTGTTAAACTGTAAAGATTGGCCGCCTACCAGCACTATAAACCGTCCTGCTCCCAGCGATCTAATTAGGTTTGACATGTGACCTGACAGACCTCTGCCCTGTCAGTTCACCACCACCCCAGCACTGCAGAGCCACCTTACCTTGTTACAATATAGTCGGTGGTAACGGTAAACCCGTGGATGGACTTACTTATGGAGGAGAGCGGGCTCGAGTCCATGGATGCACTCATATATAAGGACTGGAACATAACGAAGCCCGTAATTAGTCTATCGGGCTGGACTTTGCCGGCTAAACTTTGAGAGGCGCGCGAGAAACTACTTAATTGCAGCCGCGACCAGTCACTCGATTAATATCCTGTATAAGCGCGTCATAGTGGGCCCCGTCTCGATCCTGAAAATGGATAAGTATATAGATAATAACTTATATGAGCTGCTGTTACGGATGCTAAGACGCCAAGGCTCTAGAAGACTACATGTATATAGCACGGGGTCGCAGATCATCCCTTTGAAGCTCTTTAGCTTCGAAGTCGCTGTCGCACTGCGCCTATAGATAGGCAATATACTTCTTAGATAGCTCGCTGCCAAGCCATCCATGACAGCTGCTAACTAGGGTCTAGTACGAGTTTAGGAACTCGCGAAGCAGCCGCAACATAGTGTAATGGGAGAAGTTGGAAGTGGTGGATAGCGTTATGATTGGCTGGGGCGCCGACCCTAGACTATGGTTCTTCTTATATAGTTCTGAGGGGGGACTATCTTTTATAGAACAGACAAGCAACCAAGTTACCAACAGAGAGGACTTCCCCTAGTTGAGTGTGCGCGTCAAGAAGAGGCTATACCCACCGCCGTACGAGTTAATGCCCATGGCTAGTAGCCTCGCCCCAGTTCAATAGGTATCAACTAGCATAGGTGGCTGCCACGATAACGATCACGGACCCCAACTTTAATATGAGTACTGAACCGACTTAATGAGTATTAAATAACAAACTAGAGATTCTTCTCGAAATACGACATCCAACAATTTTTCATTTTCGCTCTTCTATCGCCTCCAATCCATCGCAGTTACTGAGCTCTTAAACTAATAACGACGATATCTAAGCCCTTAAGCTAATCAAACCTGCTTCTCCGAGAGCTGAGTGCGCTCCAGATAGTCCGAGAGCCGGGGACAACTGCCCAGCCCTATAATTTTGCTAAGTAGGTCATGGGTAGGGTAAAGCTCATTCAGACGTCTGACTCTGAGACCACTGCCGAGCCCAACGCCTAAGCCTCTAAACCGGATAGCTGAGCTTCGAAGCTAGAAGTTAAGGAGATATACGCAGACGTAAGTTCCTATTGAACTGGGGCGAGGCTACTAGCCATGGGCATCAACTCGTACGGCGGTGGGTATGGTCTCTTCTCAACGCGCACACTCAACTAGGGGAAGTCCTCTCTGTTGGTAACTTGGTTGCTTATGTTGTCTATGAAAGATAGTCCCCCAGAACTATATAAGAAGAACCATAGTCTAGGGTCGGCGCCCCAGCCAATCATAACTCTGTCCACCACTTCCAACTTCTCCCATTACACTATGGCCCTCCATGTCTAACTAGCTCCAATAATCACTCCCAGACCTAAATGTGGCCCTTAATAACATCGGGCAACTTTTATTTATTAATCTAAGCGTCAATGGACCCCTTCTATAGCTGGCTATGGTCTAGAACTTAGTTTAGATATACGATATAAAGAGGTGTACTTATGTTTTCTCATACTCCGTCATAAAGTTAATATGGCCACCCATTAACACTACAATCCAGGAAACTCGTCATAGTTAGTGACGAAGTCTATAGAAAAACCTCTCTCCTCTCCCGTTTCACTCTGGGATATTTTCTATCTTGTTACGTTCTAAAAGTCTTTCAGCTTTATATAGTGAATTGCTAGGTCGATAAAATATTAGTGCAATTAACTCTATGGGATAGAACCGAATAAGAAGATTACGTAAGGCTATATTCGCGCGTATACGTATAAGTATATGTAGTAGTTATTATGTTTAGCGTCGACGGTTCAAAAAGTCTAAAGAAAATATAGTATATATGAATTACAGAGGTAAGAAAACTATATCCTAGAACCCCAGTCATCTTAGCGGAGTTGAGAAAGGAGATTAGGGAAGACACTCTCGCCATAAGCAAGAAAAGCTTAAACTTTGTTAGCTAGGGAGAAGCAGTCGAGATGGCTAAGTTGTGTGCCGCGAAAAAATATCTTAAGTGCTCGAGTGTAACCGGAGAGGGTGTTGATGATGTGTTCGAGGCTGCAACGAGGGCTGTGTTGCATCTGAAAGAGGAACAAGACAGTAGTGGGTGTTGTGTGATGCTTTGACGCAGTTCGCGGTAGATTCGGAGTCGCTTATCTCCTTATTGTGACTATGGTCGTTCTTATTGTCCCGAGAGGAAGCCCAACAAATGTTGAAAAATTAGGCTGAGGTGGGACGTAGAGTTGCGGTTCCGCAGGTTTTGGGATACAGGCTGTTGATGCTATTTCAACTCTGGACAACACTTGAGCAATCTGTACAAGGACCTAGAGTAATTATATTGCTAGCCTAAGTGCCGTGCCGCGACTGCCCAACGTATTTTTTCCCCCTTCTACAGTTCCTCGGTAAGTGAGTAGAATAGTTGAATTCCAAGAGTACACATTCGACTTTCCTAGATGGCAGTCGATGAGTTCAATCTTTGTCAGTCCTAGGAATTTTATTAGCAAACATCATAGGCTCCTCTATCGGTCCACTAATCTTGTAATAATCCTAACATCGGAGTGCACTCGTTGTACACCCTGATCATGCATCTCTACGTGAGCTTTACCCAAGAGATTCATAACTTCAGTCCATTGTCCTTCTTCTTTTAGTGTTAGAGATATAATCTAATTCTAGGAAGGCAGTGTAGAACATACCGATGATGGTACCCGTGTCGTGAACTTTGTATTCGAGTCCACTCTCCTTAGCTAGAGTTTCGAGCCTATTAATGTAGCCGGAGATTGAGGGAGATGCTGTCCCAATCTGAGGCAGTCGATTTGAGACTCAGCATAAGATCTCATTAGGAAGACTTACAGGATGGACGCAGATGTCGACTTTGCATAGAGCTGGGGTTGAGTGCGCAGCAGTAGCCATAGCTTTCTCCAGCTAAGTATCCGGGTTAAAGCTGTCACAGCGTAGAATTCAACAAGGAGAGGTCTTCAGGAGACATGATTTAAGGGTCCTCCAAGCCTAGCTATATAATATCATTCTCATCTCCCGTTGCAAGTGACAGGGGTGCCAAGATATTTAGCGAACTGATGGACCCTGCGTGACTTGCAGCTGGGATCCTAATGTCTACTCGTCTGGGGTGATCGGCGATCATAATGTGGTTCTGGCCTACATGCCCACTATGGGAACCATCAGCGCCGCAACCGTTGCAGGATCCTTGCGCATAAGCTTTCCCAACATCAAGCTGGCTCTGGTGGTGGAAATGCTGAAGGCCAGATGATAGGGTCCGTGCGTCTTGTGACACAGGAGGGTGGGATGTTGTCGACGATCGAGAGCCAACCATTTCGCAGGTAGCAATACCAACAGGGAGGCAGGAAATGTCGAAGGCAAATCGTTGGCTGGTGTTAGCACACCACTGAGCGAAAGTAGGTATAGTCTGTGCTGCACTGTACTTAAAGCCTTAAATGCCTCACTATTCCTTTCTCGAATAACATGTGGATGCATATGACGGAAGCGCGTGGACTTGATGGATTCTAGAATTTTGCCGTTCCCCAGGCTACCAAGTTTCACAATACTGGCCGAAGGAAGGGAGATCTGTAGCTGCATAATTCGAGCGCTCCATGAAGTGTCGGTCAATCACCTGCCCCGCAGGGTGTTCATGGTAGTGTAATAACTGTAAGTGGAATCGATGCCGGCGGTTGGAGATTTTTGGAGCTTAGAAGGTTAACTCGAGGATAGCGAATGCATCCTAGGTGACCATCCAGTGTTGAATACGAGTATAATCCTCCAAAATATGGAGTAGACGGAGACTAGGACAGCCTCGTATAAGGCGGAGGTCCGCCCCAACAGATGGATGAGTACACGCTAGAGTCAGAGAGCCTAGCCGTGATAGGACGAACATATCGGTCAAGAGCAGTCGTTGGATTCGATGAGAATTACCCTTCGAGAAATTATCTGCCAGCACGAAGTTCATAAACGATGTCTTGCTCGCCCAACGGAATTTTACATGTGCTTCTGCCGAAGTCGCCATCCTCCTTCCTAAATCAACTTGAAGCTGACAAGGCAGGCAGCACAGAAGAGCCTCATTGGTGCTGAGATAGGGTTCGACACGGAGTAAGTGTAAGTGTCAGTTGATATCGGCTTTGCATTACGACTCATTCAATTATCATTTTGACATGTGAAATTTCCGACTGGGGAGTGGTAGGTCTAAAAATATGTTTACCTGAATGAAATAAATAGACTGAGATTTCCAAACTACTTATTAAGTGAACCAGAACCACCCTGTCTTACACAACATCCAACACAACATCCGCCAATTGAACTCGCCTACAGGACCAGACATCTCAAAATGACCCATGTCAAAATGCTCTCTTCCGATCCTGCACCCAAGGATCTTCTTATAGGGGCCGTCAACCCCTATGCTTTCGTGGAAGCTCTCATCGGCAGAAAAATGGACAGGAAGTCATTGGATGCGCCTCAGATTATATCTGATGTTCTGCAGACTGACTACAATGAGCTGTTCGATATGAAGTACAACTCGGTGCTCTATGCGGGATTGAAGCTCAATACTAAGGAGAACACGGCGGAACGGCTATCGGCCCAGGATATGCATATCTTGACTGAAGACGACCTCGAAACCCCCGATCTTTCCAAGATTGAAAAGGTGTCGGATCTTCATGACATTGGGCTGAAAGATATCCCTTCAACCAGGGTGAAGCAGGCCTGGATCCAAAACGGAAATCTGAATCTGGTGCTTAACCCGCACCCACTGGGCAAAACCCTATCTAACTCGGCTGTGACCAGCTCCATCTCTGAGTTGGTGACCCCCTTCAGGCAGGCAAAGGGCCCATGGACCCCTCCTAACAGCTCATGGCGGGATATGGGGGACTTCTTCCGGGACGTTACCGAGTTCAACGATCCAGTGCAAGGTGCTGTCGGTAACAGCTGGATGATCGCGGCCATTTCTGCCGTGGCGTGGGCTGATCCTTACGCCATTGTTCATCGTACTCGGGCCACTGGCGAAAGCGAAACCAAACGAGTCAGTGCAATTCATCTGTACAGCAAAGGAGGGAGGAACGATGCTCCCACAGCCAAAGTAGAAGTTACTGGTGACATCGTCGTCAACAACTCCAGCAACCAGGTAGTGTATTGCCGCTCGAGCGACACCGGAGAGATCTGGCCTTCATTGTACGAGAAGGCGTTCGCAAAATGGATAACCCAAGAACGTTCCGATCACCCAGACATCACACAAACGGGTGGCGGAGATCCCGTCAAAGCAATGGCACAGATCAACAACAAAGCACCAAATTACTACTATACACATTCGCGCCCCGCTGGTGATCTCTGGGGAATTGTTCGGGCTAATTGCATGGGCTTCAGAACCATCAATCCCATGACAGCCTGGACTTATGCATCAGGCGAGATGTACAGAGGAAGCAACATCGTAGGCAATCATGCTTACACGGTGTTGGGCTGGACCTCTCAGGGGGGAAAACAATATATTGTCCTGCGCAACCCCTGGGGCGTTACTGAACCAACGGGCATGAGCACCTACCCAGGTCTCCTGAGCTTCTTCGATACCAGCTTCTGGCGTCCCATTAACATGCTTGGTAACGACGGAGTGTTTGCCTTGGAGGCGTCGGCCTTCAAGAGCTATTTTGCAGGGTTGGGTGTGGCAAAATAAGCGCGAGTGGCGTTGACTGCGCCATAGCCCAGGGATTCTGAATCTCTTAAAAGGGAATGAGAACGCAAAACAGTATGGTTGAGTTAGGGGATTGAAGGTCTTACAAAAGTGATTTTATTATGTTGTTTCGTATTAACTATCCAGTTTCTTGTCAATCTAGTTATTAGCATCTGAGCTCGCGGTTTCCTCGCCTTTTAGAGCAGTTCTCCATCGTAAGATAGGGTATACTTTCTTTGAAGGCCGAGGCTTGAAGGGGTTCGAACGACTACAATAGCCTTTCTAGAACGCACGACAAGATCGGTGAGAACGGTTTTGCTGAGGAACCCGGAGCCACCCAAACCGTAGGGAGGTTTTATCCCTACAGCCCCAATTTTAGCAGTACCTAAAATCGGGTCCGGGGTTAAATTGCGGGGGTTTCTCAACCACGCAAGTGCTGAAACCCCCCCTCCTCCCACCCCTCTCTTCCTTTCACCGCCGCCCCCCAGGAACAATGCTCTTAGCTCTTACGGAGGTACCAGTATCGCCGCAAGAATTGGATTAATCGCGAAACACTCTTGCTCTAAGGGCAAGCGTCCAAGTGGAAGTGCCACCGTAAGGAAATCAGTTCCCAAGGGGAGGGTCCTGTTACAGTCTCTGCTGCCTGGTTTCGGAGGAAGTGAGCTGCTGAATCCGCCTCAACATCTGATGTCATCAATGGCCCGATATTCTCCTCGACCCTTGCTGTTGCCTCCTTGCAATCTAATGAGCAATTCCCTCACTCAAGAAGGTGTCAGGCGAGTGCATCGCGATCGATCTGGAATTGAGGCAGAGGTCCGGATCGGACTGTCATGTTAACTCAATGTCTAATTTATTCTACTAAGGTTACAAACTTCTGCTATCCTTCAACCTGGAAGATATTAGAGTAATTTCCAACACCGAGAGTTAAGAAGGACGTTGCCTGGCAAAAGGGATCAACTTTGAAGGGCCTGGAGTGCGGCAACCTTCTCCAAGGTGTCGTCCGACAAGGAGGGTCGATTTTGAAGGATGTCGCGGGCTGATTGCCTGACGTGCTCGTCTTGGTGCTCGAGCAGTGCGAGCACCTTCTTTAAGGTCTCGTCCGATGGCAGATCTCGGACCTTAAGGGCCTCCATTTTCAGTGAACGTTGGCACTCTTGGATGGGTTTAATGACTAGTTCATATGAGTTGATTGGACCGAGATACCTCTTCCGCCTTTATGCCCCCCCAATACTGAAGTGACGAGTATTTCCAGCGTCACCTCTCCGGTATATGGATTGGTCCCCAGATTCCCACCTTTTGAGATTAGCTCACCCAGCTGTCATGGATGGCTTGGCAGCGAGCTATCTAAGAAGTATATTGCCTATCTATAGGCGCAGTGCGACAGCGACTTCGAAGCTGAAGAGCTTCAAAGGGATGATCTGCGACCCCGTGCTATATACATGTAGTCTTCTAGTACTTTGACGTCTTGGCATCCGTAATAGCTTCCTAGTCCCACTCCTATTTCACCAAGTAAACTCGGTTTACTATCGCGGTGACACATCACGTGGCAAAGCGGTTCGTAACAGAGCTCTCTTAGAGTAGCCCAGCGAGCCCAGCGGTCTCATGGGCTGCGAAGACGCAGACTTACCTTGATAGCCCAGGGCGGCCCAGGGCTCTCAGGGTCACGCGGGAAATTTTGCCGGTACAGCGGGAACTCGCACAGTAGCATAGCTAGGCGCGTATCCTTGAATTTCTAGATTAAGTATCCATCTCTTCAATAGTTCCTCCTGTATATTCGACAATAACTGCTGTGGTTCATGGGCGAGCCTAGCCGATTGAGTGCCTTTCAGTCTGCGACTTAAGGTGGCGTAGTTGACATCGTTCGCGGCCGCGGCCGCGCGAATCGAGGGATATTTGCGTGTTTGAAAGTCTAGAATAGCCTGTTGGATTCTGATCTCTCGATTTGAGGCCATTTACGCTTGATAAATTAATGGAATAGTGGTAAGGAGGTTGGTTGTTGAAGGTGGTCTGGTGGTGGGGTGGAATAAAACGCGTGTTACAACGCTAGGGTGTTGCATCAAGTGGGTGGTGGACTTAACACCGAACTACGGGCTCCTCCGAATTCGGTTAAACCTGCCTCCCGGCTAGATATCCATTTTGCCTAAGCCTCGATGACCTTCTCTCAGCCTGGTTTAGCGTGGACTGATTTGTTTTCGAGGTAACAGTAATTTGCACCACGCGTTCACGCCTAACAAACCATAACCGTCCACGCCAAAAAAGTCTACCCCTTCATTATGACCCATCGTACATGACTCATATGCAAAATGACTCTTACCCAAGAGGGTAAATCGAGAGCATGCACAGATTGCAGGCGAAAAAAGACCAAATGTCTCCATCGAGAAATTTTGACTGAGCCTTCTGGGAGCGCAAATATTGATTTCCCATCGAAACCACCAGAATTCGACGACCAACCTGAACTAGATGGGCAGCGAAATCCTAAACGCAAAGCTCTGCTCACGGATGAAACGCGTAACACACGTTTGCGTTCTGTACGTCCTTCGAACAACCCGAACGATCCAAACGTATCCTCCGACGTAAATCCAAGCAATCTGCATGAAAATACACGGGGTTCCACTTGCCGGTTTCATGAGGCGATTGATGTACTTAAAGAACTCAAGCAGGACTTAGAAAATAGGGCGGTGCGAGCTGAGTCCGATAAAAAGCGGGCGCTAAAAGAGAAAGAGTGGGCGCTAAAAGAGAAAGAGTGGGCGCTAAAAGAGAAAGAGCGGGCGGAAAGGGCCAAAGAGCAGGTGGAAAGAGACAACAAGCGATTAGGCGAACTGCTGGAACAAGCCGAGAGAGACAAACAACAAGCAGAGAAAGATAAAGAAAATCAAGAACTTAAGTTGCGCAGTCACATAAAGGAGATGGAAGAGGTGGTAGAGATCGAGCGAGTCAACCGGTGCGAAGAGGTCGACAATTTGAAAAGAATACATCGGGAGGATTCCATTCTGATCGAAGATCTCCGAAGCTGGCTTCGAAAGTTTGTTTCAGACCCGATACTGAGGCGCTTCGACCCAGACTACGGTGCACCGGGCGAGATGATGGGGAGGTTATTACATTGAAGTCGATCAGAGGGATCACGACGTCTAACTCATCACGGACGCCGAATGTCCGTGAAGTAACGTCAGATTGGTTTGGCTCACCGTCATCAAGGTCAAGGATAGGCAGGGGTGTTTATTCATCTGGTTGAATATGGAAGCTTTCGGGTTCTGTGCAGATTATATGTTATTGGCTAACGGCGTCTGATTTCTTCGAGATGCAGCTAGTATTCCGTTGTATCTATCTATTCTACCCTAGACTCTTGTGGACAGTACGGTTCCTTCTGTCTGGTAATGTAGCTCGACGGCCACCTTAAAGGGCACCTACGCAACATGAAAACTGAATACATAAGATGTGTTGTACACAAATTGAGAGTAGATCTATCTGCTTGATTGTGCTCTGTCCCCCTGGCTATTCAGAGAGACTCTGCCTATTTATATATATACATTCGCCTGTAACCCATAAGAGCATTCCTGAAACCTCCTACTCCGTCGCCATCCTATCACAGGTCTGTAGGAACAACGAGGTTGAGGCAGTTTGCGCAGTTGGTGAAGCGCCTAGCGTCTCAGGTGGTTTGCCCCAGTGGTGCTCTCGCGACCCTGTCAACATGCACCTATTCTGATCGATCTAGCATCCAACAGTACAGAAACTTGAGGTTTGAACCTCTGTATTCAGAGGGGTCTAATTTTGCGTAATTAGTGGGTCCCGTTAGCACACATGAGCTTGCTTGGCTCCTTGGAGTTGGTTCAGCATCCTTTACAATCAGGAGCCTGTTTGTGATCCTGACTTACTTCCTGCCAAGGCTTGAGAGGTTTATCACAGTTTCTCTTGGAAAGGGGAGCGCGGCCGCTTTAATTAGGCACGTAACTGAGCATCGCCGGCGTTGCGACTTGAATTGGAGGACATGATAAATTTCAAAGGGGTCGGAGGAGACGCCTCTAGCATCACTGAGGCCTCGGCCGAGCACGATAACTCAAGGGGTACGCAACAGCTACAGCAAGTCCCTGCAAGAGGACAGAGCCAATCCCACTCCTTTGGCAACAATAGGGCCTCTAGGTTGTCCCATCAAGATTGCACCGCGAGTACTCCGTATAGTCAGCGGGGATTTGGCCGTGACTAGAGCGTCGCCTACCAACGCCCGAGAGCGCGTTGTCTGCACGTGCCGACCACTTCGGGAAGACGTGCTGGTACATTGCGACTGGGATCAGAGCTCGGGTTCCGCTCCGATGGTAATTAGCTCTCGGCTTCATTTTGAGCTTGGGACCTACCGAGGACCCACTCAACCCTTTAGCCAATACTCTGCCTCCTTGACCCGTATCTCTCGGCCCTCCTCTTTTCTTGGGAAACAGCGTCCGAGGCAAAATCACCCTCCTTTCGGGGATGCTGTTCGGAGCCTTGAGGGCTGCTCTCCACCTCCACATAGTGCGCCACACTCCATTCGTCCCCCACGTGCCCAGATCTCGACTCCACGAGACCCAACTTACAAAAGTCTGCCTTCTCCTTGCAAATCACTCGACTCAACAACATTCAGTATCTAGATCAGCCATGGACAACTTACACCATGCAAAGAGTGCCACAAATGCAGTGGCTGAGCCTGTCAAGCCGAAAACTGCTCATGTCGAAGAGATCGCAGTTTTCTCGACCCTGGTGGACAAAAAGCTGGACGTCGTTGGGACGGTGAAGTTGACAGATGGACAGATCGTCTATATTCCCACCCCTACGCCAGATCCACAAGGTATGTCGAGTTCCTACTCGAAACCATGACTGAGTTACTGACCGAATTGCCAGATCCATTGAACATGCCGACATGGCAAAAATGTGTTGTACTTGTGGTGGTCTCAGTCTGTGCGAGTTGAACAAAACAGAATTCATGGGAAGAACTGCTCACAAGTGACACAGTCTCAACGCTGGGACTGTCGTTAGTCTCTGGCTTTGGAGGATTGTTGTCATTCTACATTCCTGAATATGTGGCAGCCGGAAAAGACTACGCCGATATCACCGCTCTGATGACGTATCCCTCACTGTTCATGTAGGTTACTCAGCTCGAGGTCGAGTGATGATCTGACTACTGACTGGACTCTCAAGGGGCATTGGTAATCTGGTTGGAATGCCACTTGCAATCGGGGTTGGCCGTCGTATCGTCATGCTTGGATCTTCGGTGATCCTCGTCGTCGGTGCTATCCTGTGTGCTTATGCCAAGTCTTACGAGTGGCATTTGGCTGCTCGAATGGTCATAGGGCTCGCCGCTGGCCAAAGCGAGGCCCTTGTTCCCATGATCACCCAGGTACACGATGGCGAAACGCCGAAATAATTGTCGGCCAAAATGCTCACGCATACAGGAAATATTCTTCCTTCATGAACGAAGCAAGTCACTCATGGGCCAACAGGCAATACAAGTCAGCCTGACAGCCGTCTGGGTCTTGTTTGCCAGCCCTATTGCCGGGCACATCACTCCCCAGGGCTGGTACGGCCTGGGTGCTGGGCTCGCTGGACTGTTGCTTATCGTTGCCTTCCTTTTGCTTCCAGAAACGAAATATGAGCGCTCTGCTGCATCCTTTCAAGAAGCTCCCTCACAAGTGGTAACGGCATCTACGGGCGATGCCGAAGCCAGCTCACAGAAGGAAACCGCACCGGTTGTGGAGATCTGCACCGTCCGCCCCGCGAAAGACAACGTCAATTATCCGCCCCGTACATGGAAGTCAGACGTGCGCCTGATCGTGGGCAAACCCGAATGGAAGAAAGTCTGGATGGTCCTACGGGTAAAGCCTCCAACCGCGCACACTAAAGCCCTTGTACGGGCCAAGCTGACCACATCCCACTCCAGCAAACTTTCGAGCTTCTATTTTTCCCTAACGTCTTTTGGGCTTTGTTGCTGAACGGCCTCACCATCGGCGTTAATATCGCCATCGGTACCACTTATGGCACGGTTCTCACTGGTGCACCATATCACTGGTCGAACGACACGGTCAGCTACGTCAACTGTGGACAAATCATCGTCGCGCTGCTCGCACTACCTCTCCTGGGCCATGGCTCGGATTGGCTGGTCGAATACATGGCGAGGCGAAACGGTGGCATCCACGAACCTGAAAACCGCATCTTGCCGCTATTCTTCCCAATCATCGTGGGCGTCTTCACCGCAGTCTTGTATGGTCAGGGCGCAGCCCACCCAGAGAAGTATTCTTGGTTCGTCTATGCCTGGGCCGTTGCGGCTTACTACTTCGCATTTGTCGGTGCTAATATTGTCGCCATTACGTACCTTTTGGACAGCTACCCACAACGCGCTGGACCGCTGCTTGTCATCATCTGTGCATTCAGGGGGATCATCTCCTTTGGTACTAGTTATGGCACCGCACCGTTTGTTGAGCGTCGAGGCTGGGATGGTGCGTTCAACACTTTTGGCGGTTTGACTGGAGCCTTAGGAGCTCTTGGTATTCCGGTCTACTTCTATGGCAAAAAAATTCGTCAATTCACTACTCGTTTCGTCAAGGACAAGACGGAATGATTTCCGAAGGCGAGGGTCGGAACCTAAATTGATTAAAGGAAGGGAAAGTATTGAGTGAAAAGGTCCACTATACGTAACTTGGACGAAGAACAACGGCAATATAGCAGTCAGTAGATGTTGGAGAGCTTACTTCTGACGTTCGAGCGAGGTATTTAAGTATCACGTGCACCCCTAGCACCTATTGACAAACTGGAAAGAGTCGCATATGGGGCCGACTTGGGATCTTGGTTCACCCAGAATTATTACGAATAAATCATGACCCAATCTATGCCTTGGCTTAAAGTACACGGAAAAGAACAAGCCGCTGTTTCGACGTCCGTCATAGGATCGTGTAAACAGACAGCAAGATATTAGATAGCTGGATGGAAATTGGCCTCCCAGAGGTACCATAGAAGTGCCAATGTTAGTAACAAAATTTCTAATGTGGAATGTTCTCCAAATGGACAACGTCTTATGTTGGTTCTACTTGTTCTAGTCTATAGCGTCTATATTGTTGAGTGCGCCACCGCGAGGAGTGCCTGGCTCTATGATGGGTTCTAGCTTTTGCCTTGAGCCTCCGGGGCCTCCACCGGTGCGACACCTTCGAAACCGCTTTCCTGGTTTTTCGATTCATTCTCTGTTTGATCCGGCGCTTTCGTGGCTTTGGAGTCGACAATCAAGAAAGAGAAAACCATCATCAATCCAGCGATACAGGTATAAAACATCCACATGTGCTTCATTGAAGCCAGAAACTGCTGTGGCTGGGTGCCGGACGATTTGTCGTTTCCCTCATTGTTGCCAACAGGACTTCCGACTACATTGGTCAAGCCGCTGGTCCCCACACTTTCCTCTAGGATGGCGCTCCCCAAGACGATAGACAGAGAAGAGAGTAAATTGCGCAGAAATGACAGTGCTGACGTTCCGGCGGCTACATACTCCTTTGCCAGAAAACTTTGGAGAGCAATCATTGGTGGAACAAAAAGAAGTCCAGCGCCTATACCAGCGATGACCTGGAATATCACCAACTTTGCCAGTCGTCGGGATGGAGGCAGGTCGATGAACAGTCCTGTCCCAAGTGTCATAAGCAAGGTCCCTGCCCAAATGATGATGCGGATGCCCCCTGTTTTCTTGATGAGTGGACCTGTACTCATGGACATAATGCACAGCGGGAGAATCAGCGCGAATATGTAGAGACCAGACTGGATTGGTGAGGCTCCCAGGAGCGTTTGAAAGTAGAGAGGGAGGAAATAGTCATAGGCGAAGAAGACGAAAGTGTGGGCGGCGGCAACCATTAGGCAGGCGAAGCAGGCGAGGTTTGCCAGCACTCTCACCGGGAAAACAGGAGAAGTCGCCCAGTACCATTCATTGACAACGAAGAGGATCATCAGGGCAACGCCGACAATCAGCAGGCTGAGAGAGGTCGCAGAAGACCAGGCGTGGTGGCCGGCAGCATTCTCGAGGCCATAGAGAAAACAGAGTGTTCCGGCTAGGATCAAGGCGGAGCCAGTCCAGTCAAAGGTTTTGAGGGCACGAACGAACGTGGTCTTCGGTTTGTTGACTTTTAGAAACAGCAGCAGGATTATCAAGGACAAACCGTCGAACGGAAGGTTGATGTAGACTAGAAATATGTCATGTTAGTCATCGGTACAGTGTATACCAAATATGCTGGGAAATTGGAGGAGACGCACAACACCACTGCCATCCAATTGCTTGTGTAAAGACGGCTCCCAAAATTGGTCCAATTCCGCTGGAAATTCCGTAGACAACCCCAGAGAAGCCATAATATTTTGCTCTTTCGTGAAGCTCGAACAAATCGCCAATGATGATAGTGACCATGATAATAATACCGCCACCCCCGAGACCTTGAAGAGCTCTTCCTCCGATGAGCGTCGTAGGGGAAGGACTAAGAGCAGAAATGAGGCTGCCACCCATGAAGACAGCATTTGCAAGGATAATGGTGGGCTTCCTGCCGAAAATATCCGAAAACTTCACCCAGAGTGGCGTCGAGGAAGTTGAGGCAAGCATGTAAGAGCTGGCGAACCAGGCGTACTGCGCACTGGTCGAATGGAGTTGACTTGCAATGGTGGGTAGCGCAACACTGACAATAGTCGCGTCTAGAGCTGCCAGGAACTGGGCCAAAAATAAGGAGAAAATTGTGAGAAAATTGCGAGACTTGGCCGCCTTGTTAGATCTCACTTCATTTGTTGAGATACAACCGACATGTTTCTCAAGCACGTCGGGAATCAAGGTTGGCAAAGCGCCTATGCTCTCGTGTTCCATGTCTTCGTTGTCCAGCCCGATGAGGCGACTAAACTGAAATACATGAGAAAGATGATGCAGAACACGCCCTCTCTTGTTTCGAAGCAGCCAAGTTACACGTTTTGAAGCAACAAGGTACCAACTCTTTTGAAAAAAAAAAAATGATTCGGCGGTTCTGTATTGACCGCCAGGAAACTTTATGACCGCCGATGTGGCGGTAGAGAACACACACCTTATGGCTCGGCAGGGAGGGGTCTCGGACGTCAGGACGAAGGACATGTGCTAACTATCTTGGAGGTCCCGAACAGCAAGCCTCTCGCTATGAGCGATCCGGGGACTAACTGCCTCCGAGCCCAATCAAATTGTGCGGCAATAGATGCCAAACCGGCGGTGCAAGGTACAGCGCTCGGATTAATCTCAGCACAAAAGTACCATTAAATGTGACTACAATGGAACCAAAGAGGAGGTGGACCGGCCGCTATTCTACAGCACTACTATCGGTATGCTCTTGTACCAATGAGCTGGACAATGTCTCTTAGACGGGCCATCAACTGGACTAGGTTCTCCACCAATGGCGGCTGCAGAGAAGGACGACCGGTCTGCAGCAGACTGAGCACCATGTCCATCACGGCTCGGGTGTCGTTCAGGAAAATGGGGCTTTCCGAAGATCCTGGACACAAATCAGGAGTGTCGGGGGAAACCGATCTGGAAGCCTCTTGTTGAGGCCGGCGAAGACAAGGCATACCTATCCCTAGTGAGATAAACCGTTTGACATTATCAGATTCGCGGCCGTCCAGCCAAATCACCTGGCTTTTGTCTGGGGAAAGTCGAAATGGGCCCGCGGAGAATGATTGCTTAGTAGCGGCGTCTCTTTCCTGTCGGGCTCCCTCAATATGCGGTTGAATATCGGGCAGACCAGGTTTAGATGACGCGGAAAAGAGACCATAAGCCCAGCAAACCAGACTTGCATGATATACTGCAACAGCGAGGAACGCTTGCAACCAATGTTTAGGAACGCACCTGGCATCGCGAAGGAGTTGTCCGGCATGCCATATTGCCTGCCTTGAGCTGGATTCATTAATCCATTCTTGCAAAGGAACAATGTCGTCTGCTTCTTCTCTTCCATCAGATCCAGCGAACACCTGGATATGTTCCAATGACATGTGCAGATGCATAGACACAAACTCCAGGGTAACGTCAAATACTGCGCTTTGATGAGTAAGGAGAAAGCCGCGGCAGCTGATGCGCAAGTCGTGTAGGAGTCGAGTGATCTGTTCACCTGATTGGCTTCGAGAAGAGAAACCAAGTTGACGATGATGCCGGACCATGCCCCAGACGTAGTACAGGAGAGCTGAGCTGGTGCACTGCTTGTCAATAATGCAGTTGAATGAATTGAGTCGACTGAGATCATCAGCGCACTCTCTCAGTGAAGGTACAAGTCGTGGAGAAGATCAAAAGGTTTCTAGGTACAGTTGTTTCCAAGTCCTGGCACTGGGCGCCAACCAGATATCTCTAGGCTCAGGCAGGGGTAGCAAGAGCTCTGTATGGGAGACCAAGGGTCCGGTCAGGAGGCAGAGAGTGGAGGTCGCATCGTGCTGAAACAAGTGGAAGACTAGCCTGCCAAATCCGATCATCTGAATGAGCGACATTCAACGTAAAGATGCCATTGCCGCCCGAAGTGCCATATAAGGAAAGGAAAGGACTGCAGGAGAGAAGGCGTTGAAATGCATACCGCTTGAAAGACTCTTGCTTGATCCAAGATCTCCATTTCTGCTCAACCTGAGTCATCCTCATCGACCTCAATTGGAGGATAAGCGGACCGATGAAACTTGGCGCTCCGTCGCAACATCTGGAAGAAAGTTACCTTGTCAGAAGTAATAATTTCAGAGTCTAGTGAGTCGGGAGAGTGAAGAAATCATGTGGAGTGCCGGTCGGTGCGTGCCCCGATGGCAGGGGACTGGAAAGGGAGAAAAAGAGATGGAGGCAGAGCAATCCATACCGCTACCAGAGGTTATAAAAACATCTGAGCGATCTCGATCTTGCGGCTATTCCCACTCCAGTGACCTATCTCCAATAACACCATGAGGCCTTGCACAGCCTCCAGATCTCTTGCTCGAGAGTTATCATTCTCAATCTGATGAATTGTCAGCAAGAACTTCGCAGGGCTAGGAGCGTCCCGACGCCGCATATCGACAATAGAACTCGGACAATGATGCTAGTATTCGAAACATACAGCACGTCCCAAGAAATGTCGCAATTCTTCTTGAATCGCAAACCCCCATTTCTGTAGTGATTTGTCCGGAGTCGCTACAGCACCAGTTGCAATCATGGAGGGCAGTAATTCAGGCGGTTTCTCAGTACCAAAGCCGAAGCTGGGTATATGAATCCACTCCTCCGCTCGAATGCATGCTGTAGCGAAAAAGTCGTGAAGTAAATAGTCAAGCAGGTTGACGGAAGGGAAAGCAGAAGCCACACGGATCGCATTTGAGGGTCTGCATGTACTCAAAATAATAGCTATTATCTTGTCTCGGAGGGACTGAGACAATCTCAAGACTATGTAGCTGAAATGCTGCAGTCGCGAGCCCGGTCTAGGTCCGTTACTAACTGACAGGGTGAGTTTCTCCTGCTCCGCGGCGCGATGGTTCTCCGGAACGGGGTTGCAGCGCTAGCTAGAGTGGCGAAATGCATCGACGCCTAATGCAGCCTCGACTCTCGTGTTTGTGGACACTATCGAGGGCGGACTACCCTGTACCCCATCAGGAAACATATCACTAATGAAAGCAGGGGCTGTGAGGTTGTAAGTATTGAGAAATACCAGGTCATCGTCGTTCAGTTCGATGTCCATTCGAGGCGAAAACCGGCAAAGCCGTGACTCGTCCATGGTGCCGGTGAGACCACCTGAAGTAGTCCAGGAGCATGGAGAGCAGTTGGCAGAGTGCCTGTGCTGCCATACGACTGCAACCCGCCGTCTAATCCGTCGAGAAAGATTTGCCCGTGTCCGTCTCCGCCGACAGGTTGTTGTAGTTCCCGGGAAGTGTTAGGGGGCCAAATGTTAGAGCATTGTTCAGAACAGGATCGATATAGGAGACCATGGCGTTCCTCAGTTCAATCTGCCGGGACGACTAACTGCCCAAGATCTGGTTAGAATAGCGCCACTGCCCAGTCACTTCTGAGACTGAGTGTTGAACCTGTGATGGGTCACTCAAAGTCCAAGGCAGACACTCTGCTTGCGCTGCGTCCGTCGTAACCGCCGGTTCGGGATCCCGTGTCCGAGCATTATGATGGAGCTGGAGCGAACCTCTTGAATGCGACAAAAGTGATTCTTTCGTGGAGACCTCAGCGCAATTTGCAATGTTCGAAGTGACTGTCCCTTGGCTGTTCTCCGAAGATCTGACGTTCCCCTCTCGATGCTGATTGTTCGATGGGTTATCGAGGTCGGAATAACTCGTCCTGGAGAGCGAGTCTTCTTTATGGGAGAGTGTTCCAGCTCTGTAACTTGCTGGCCCTCGTCTTGCCCGTATGCGACCGGATGGCGCGGTGAAGCTGCTCTGGTCTGCTTCCTCACTGCTTGGCCAGCAGTACTGGCATGACCTGCTTTGTGACGCTTGAGCAAATTCCTGAAGAATGGCACGCGGAGATGAGTAAAGAGCTTTATGGCGACACCGACTCTCAAACAACCACGACGGTGTCAAACTCACATCCGAGCAAATTTCTTGGGGCAAAATGGGCTTGCATATGGTCTTTACTGAGTGTCTGTGTCACCATGTGGTAAGTACGGATTCGGGACCGCAGTAGAACCTGTTGTGTCTGACAGCAACCCTGGCAACTTACAGGATCGCAGGTGCCGCGTGAGATGGTCCGCTCTCGAGTACAGTAGACGCTGACATTCTCCGCATTGGTATGGTCTCCCGGCAGAGGATTGCCTGGTGGACGTAGCGGCGCCATCTTTGGCATTTGCGGATTTCTCCCGAGCAAGTATCCCCGCGTTTCGCGACAGAGGACGTTCATTTCTGGAGCCTCCAGTTTTCAGAAGTGGATGAAGGATTGCGAAGACCGCAACTGAGGGAGAGGAAACGAACAAATATTGGCAGGGCAACTAATAAGTCTTGCAATGATCAAGGACAGCAGGGGAGAACTAACTTACAACTACGCGATCTTTGTGGCCTGGCTCAACCTGAAGGGATGAGTTCGGGGCATTCGGGGCTGCTTCTCGGTGGCTGTCGGAGCTGGGCGACGGCCTCCCTTCTCGGTTTTGCAGACAATTGATGCGCTCGTGATCCTACGATGGCTGACCCTCTCTGCCTTGGACCAGCGCTAGGTGCGACCTCGAACTAATACCGTAGGTTGTAGTACGCTGTTTTTCCCCAAGGCTATCGTCTTCCTTGAACATATTCCATCCTTCGACCAGTCCCTTTGCGTTTCTGCTGTGCTTTTCATGTCGGAGACAACAATGCCCTTGACACCAGTCCACTTCTTCTCTCATGGCTCGACCATGATGCTTGGAGAGGAGTCGACCTCGGCAGCATACTGGAAAAGCTCTGGTGACGAGGCTTTGGCGCATGGGTTGAAGGGAGTCATTATGATGGTGAGTGTCACTTCGCGTTTTGAGTCCTCGCTACTCGCCACCACGACGATGTCGCCAACCTCCTAGCCAACTTCTAACGCGCAGTTCAGGGAGCGCATTGGGATGCCAAGGGGGACGCCATTGAAGTCGCTACAAACCCAGATCCCGGCAAGTCGCCAGTCGCATACGTCCATCCCGAAAAGTACCTCGACTACAAGCTCAATCCGGATGTACCCACGTCGCGACGATGTGTCCAAATACTGCGCGACGGTGGATTCGACGCCCGTGAGAATCCCACCTTCGAATGGATCCATGATACTTATCTCATCCTCATCCGAATGTTCCCGGACGGATGTCCGCCTACGACACTGATCTCGACCAATGCGCGTTACGACCCGCACTTCCACATGAAAGTAGGCGCCACGTTACGACCATTGCGACGAGAGGGATATTTGTTGATAGGAAGTGGGGGCGCTGTACACAACCTTTACAGGAATATATGGGCCCCAATGCTCAAGTATTCGGACAATTTTGCTCAAGAGACCCCCCCGGAACCCTGGGCTTTGGACTTCCGTCAGTCGGTAGAGGACGTCCTCACAAAGACAAACGGCCCCAAATTGAGGAGAGCAATGACCAGACTGATGAAGCACCCGCAATATCGCGATGCACATGCGACTGACGACCATTTCATGGCGGCTATGTTTGTGGCAGGGGCCGCGGGAGACGAAGAGGATGAGGCGCTGGGATCTTACGGAAGGCTAGGGGCCGAGACCTGGGAATTAACGAACATGTGCAACTCACAATTCACGATTGGTCGGTGGCCCGAACCGCCCGTCAAATGGGTTGCGGCAGGGTAGTATGCCGAAAGACGAGTTGCCCGGCTAGATACATATATCTTCTGGGGCATCGATATCTGGCCATAGAGTATTGGATCTAAATAAACTAGAGACTAGTCATGGACTTGAAACGGTGAGTGTATCTGCGACGCTGCGATTTGTTGAGATGGTTCACTTCGCCGTGCATTCACACCGACAAGTCTTTTTTTCTATTTTCTAATGCTGGTCATAACGTAACGTGCATCGACATCTCATGGCTTCCGCCGCCATGAATTCTTTTGGTCGCATGCTCAACAACGGCTTCACTACTCCTTGGGCGGTATGACCGGGAGAGTGATGTAGTTCTGAAATCTGTGGCTGAAGTGAATATGGTTCGTGCCTCCAAACACTTCTGTCGACCTATGTAGATGCCAGGCCGCTGAGCCAATGCCTAAAATGATATAAAACAGCGAAGGAAGGTGTCTAAAACATACCTGTCTTGAGGATCGTCATGGGTAAAGATACCACTTCCCTGAGTATCACCCGAAGAGACCTCAAATAGGAGCTTGGCCCCCTTTTCGACAACGACGTTCGTGGGCCACACCTCGATATCGACGGCGTATACTTCACCAGGAATCACCGGGAGCACATCTGTGCTGAGGTATTCCCTCCATGGCAAATAGGGGCGCCACTTCGGATGCTCAGGATTCGTCTTGCGCAAGCTGACACGGAGCCAACCTTTGGTGAGAGGAACGGGATCGCCCGCGGTGCCGGTGTAGAAAACTTCTTGACCTCGTGGTGAAATGTACCTCAGTGTCACAAAGAGGTCGATATCAGAGGGGGTAGAGCCTTGGGGATCCGGGGTCACGGACACGTTCAAGTAGGCCACAATATATCCAGTGATTTCCGTCTCGGCCTCAAAGGGTGCTGTTGTGAACTGCAACAGCTGTGGTTTGTCTAGCGTACCTAGAGCTCGGTAGGACAACTTTTCCCGGCCTGGGGGCGCTTCCCGACTCATTCCGAGGTCTGGTTTGAGATAAAATTTGGTATATTGTGTTCGAGCGATGGGCCACTCCTGCTCAAAACGACGCTTGTACTGCTTTTCGGCTGGAGGGTCGTTGAATCCAACGTCACCTTTTCGCAAGACTAGATCGACGGGCGGAACTTTCCCCGGAACGGACCATCCAACAGAGTCCTCGCCCTTGAGAAAAGCATCGAGGAAGCTACGTTGGATGTCCACCTCTTCCGAATAGTAAAAGGGTAGATCGTGTCGACCAACAATCATGCGGAGGTATTTGAATGTTGAATTGGCATGAGAATAACCTTCAAGGTTGCCGCGGAGGTGAAGTAAAATACCACCCCAGTTCCCCACGGACAGAAGCGGTACTTCGATATCCCCCATATCATATTCTTTCGAGGCGTAGTACTTCTGATCTCGGAATTTGTTGTCTCGATTGTCGACGACCTGATCGCGGCGGTTCTTCTCCAGGCTAAGCTCATCCAGGTCGCCTTCGACGGTATCAGGGCCCCAATTCCGAGCGCTCCGGCCGGGACGGCCGTATTGGTTCGTGATAACTTGTCTGTTCCACCAGAACTTGATGAAACCGTTCGAGTAAATACCACCATGTCGACACCGGTCTCTATAGTAGTCTGACATACCCTCCCACGGCACAATGGCCGCCAGACCTTTTGGTTTTCGAGCGGCGACGCGCCATTGGCTTCCAGCGTAGTAACTGATTCCCAGGAGTCCAACCTTTCCAGATGACCAGGGCTGCTCCGCTGCCCATTCAACAACGTCAAAAAAAGCCTCGCTTGTCCCACGAGACATGGTATCCAGTAGCCCAGGAGACTGGCCCAGTCCGCGCTCATCAGCACGCACGACGACGTAGCCCTGGGCAGTCCAGTAACCCGGGTCCGGCGTTTCCCACGCAGAATGAGGTGAATGATGTTCAGGGTTGACCTCGGAGTAAGACTTGGGCTGAAATCTGGTAGTTATTTTTCAGTAAAAGTAGACAACTCCCGCTATCGGATTGGCGATCGCTTACTGTTCATAGTGAATGTCCTTGCCATATGGCCCGTAAGTGACGAGCACGGGAAATCGTTCATTGTCGGTCTCGGGTTTGGGCCGATACACATTGCAACGGACCAGGCCCTTGCTTGCCTTCAGGTGGATTGTAACATTTTGTTCGAAGATGTACGGGAATGATGTCTCGTCGACATACAACAAGTCCTTGAACATAGCAGGAGGGGTCGCCATCGTCAGCTTTTCCGTCCAATCACGCAAGAGTGAGGACTGGAGAGGATTTGGGTCAGTTACGTTTCCTTCCTCGTTTGTTGTATTTCCATTATTTTGAGCATTGTCGCTCGGGGATAGATGTAGTGGACCACCGAACCGAGGAGTATGTTGTCTAGAAGGGCACCTGGTGGATGCTGCGCCGGTCACCTCCAATAGGCCCAGAATTGGGCAGCCGAGTACTCGGCTTTCGGGCACGCATCTACCATATGAGGTTGGCACCACGTCAGTAAAATGCATCGGTCTCGCGCCATTCTTCCAAACTGTTGCTGTCGCCAAACTCTCTCGAACGGTAGACACACTCGACACACAAACGCACCGCATCCCAACGAGCTTCCCGCTGTAGAAGGTGGCGTCCGCGACCAGAACTTGCGAGGACTTAAGTGATTCAATTGCTACCACGCTCAGAAAAAGGTCGAAGATGACACAAAATAATAATCTCCCATCTATCAATCGTTTCGTCACTGACCATGATGATAACGGGAGAGCGATCTTCCTGAACAACCGGCAGCTACCAGAAGCATTGCCTTTCAAACCTCTGTCCGACGGTGCCGCTTCTTTCGGGCTGGGCTACGTCACAAAGACATTCCCCGTCGAGCTACAGGACCGCGCGGATGTCAAAACGTATCAGACATACCTCAAATCTGCGCCAGGCTTGACCGTCTCGGGAGGAACGGTCTTGCGATACGTCGACATGCCTCCTGGGTCACTCTCCGCAATGCACCGTACCATCAGTCTAGACTACGGCATCGTGATCGAGGGCGAGGTTGAGCTCGTGCTCGACAGCGGTGAGACGAGGTGCATGAAGAGAGGCGATGTCGCCATTCAGAGGGCTACGAAGCATGCGTGGAAGAATGCAAGTACGGACTCGTGGGCGCGGCTAGCATTCATCCTCCAGCCCAGTCAGGTTTTGGAGGTAGGAGGCGAGAAACTGGGCGAGGACCTGCATACTATGCAAGGTGTTCGGGTATCCGATTAATCGGCGGCGAAACAAGATATTGCAATTCGGTCAGTCTGCACATCACCCATCATGACCCTCCCACTAACTACATTACAGCCAGGAAGTCAAGGGCAAGTGAAACGATAAATCGACAGAGCGTTCATGCTGGAGATCCTCAAATAGCATGCATTCTCAATGAATCTTGCTGCTCTGCTGTCCGTCAAGCTCCCTTCCCTGGCTGAGCCTTCCTACCACTCCCCACCAATCTTGTACTGGAAGATCTTAGAGTTGAATCGTCCACCGGTGGCACGCCATGTCTGAGCAAGCCACTGTCTCAGGTTAGGCACACACGGCTCAACCCCCGAATTGCATGATGTACCTACAGCGTTGAAAGAAACTCCGCGGAACATGTTGGCAATGAAAGCTCTCTCCACGACGTTGCGATACGTTCTCCTAGACTGTTGATCCAGATTTTTGTTCACTGGGCGATAGTCTGGGATTCGTCGACGGTCATCTGGCCAATGAGGCGGGTTGTTTCCACGTGAGCCAGAGCTGACCAGCGGCTGCCTCGACGTCGTGTCCCCGGATGGATTTGGCGGTGAGTCTGGGTGATAAATCAAGTAGTCCGCTGGAACAGTAATGTGAATGTTGTCTCTAGTCGTCGTCCCTACCATGGTAGCAGACATGTTTGCGTTCAGGTCGATCAACGTTCGAAGCTTAGAGTTGATTCCTGCGGAGACTGCGGCGTCTTGTTCGCTCCCAGAAGGATAGGCAATCCCCCTCGATCAAAGCCGAGAACAAAATTGTTGTCGCTGCAAATCAGCCCTCGGGTGCTACTCTCATCTTCCGCTCGGCTTCGGGGGAATGTGTGGAGATTGGGCAGCCTGCCTGGCTCCGAGACAGCACTTCGCCATCAGCCTCGGGGGCTGAATCTCCACCGCTCTGCGCGTGGACACCATCGTTGACCCTAGGACTTCTGTGGACTGCCGTGTAAGACCATCACTGGCGGTTCGGCCGAGGCATAGCTTGACCTAGGCCAACGGCAATGCCAGTGTTGTCGTATACTGGTGCGAATCTTCTCAGGTCTTTGTGCATCTGTCAATAACCCTTCGACTGAGAACATATCGTTCGACACAATCCATTCACGGCACGCTATTTGACTGCCTCTGCTCTACTATCGGGAAAGAGATTTGGGAAAAGCGACATGAACACCTTGGCTACGGTAAAGGCAGCAGCTGTCGACGGCCGCCTTTCCAATCCTTGGTGGCGCCAGTCTCAACTGCAGTCCCTTCATCATGGTCTGGTGCAAGCGTCGGATGTGCTTATCAATGCGATATTGCAGGACTCTAACTTCATTACACCCCCGGAAGCCCATGTTGAGTTACACCTTGCTATTAAGACTGTTGAACATCATTATACCGCGTTGAAGCCGGAGAGCGAGGTGGAAGATGAATATCGCATCCTGCAAAGGGATACACCAGATAGGAGAGAAGCCTTTGGGATCGCGGTCATCGTCCCAACATCACACACGTACCTTTTCTCCGTTGTAAGTGCGGTCTCCGCAGCGCTTGCGGCAGGAAACTGCATAGTCTTAAAGGTGAGCCCCGATTTGTTTCCCGTCTGAAGGGCAGACTGGACGGCCTGATTCCCCCAATGTCTCTAACGCTGTCGTACCTGCAGACCGAGAATCACCTAAGTCGCCTCCCTCACCTACTTCAGCAGATTTTACGCCAGTCCTTGGATGGTGATATTTTCGCAGCGGCTGTCAAGATACCCGAGGAGGCGACCCACTCGTCACACCGCTGGCTGCAAGTACTCCAGAACGGACTAGGAAGTGGATCAACATCGGCAAAAGCAGCAATTACTCCCTCGCCAAATGGCAATGCTTTAATCTCTCCCGTACAGTCTCGGGTCGTTGCGGTCGTGGATAGAACTGCCGATACTGGTCAAGCCGCGAAAGCTTTGGTCACAGCTCGATTCGCGTTCGGTGGTTCATCGCCATATGCTCCCGATCTCGTCCTGGTCAACGAGTTTGTCAAGACAAAATTTGTCGAGGCCGTGGAACGCGAGGCGGCTCATTACCTGAATGCTGGTGGAAATTCGGAAAAGACCGTCGATTCCGGCACTTCCGTTGAACACCAGCATGACCCAGGAGATGTGTTTCGTCAAACAATGGTGAAATTGGAGCGTGACTCGAACGCACAGATCCTGACGTCCGGCCCACGAGGAGCTGTCCTGGAAGTGAACAGCAGGTGAGCTGAAGCCACCATCCCTGGCTTCCTTCGTGCCACGACATACCCAGGCAACTGACATATATTACAGACAGTCAGCCCTGTTTCGCAGAAGGCTCGATGACAGGGTGCTGGTCGTACATGACATAAGCAGCTTGGACGACGCTATCGATTCTATCAACATTAGGTGCGTGTGTGGCTTGCCAGGGTTGAGGTTGTCCGGGGCTTTCAGTTCCTGGACAGCCGAGTCCCCAAGAGCGCCGGCTGAAACTACAGTTAACGATTCTGCAGCGATTCCGATGACGTCGCGGCTTTGTACGCCTTCGCTGATGTGTCGTCAGCTAAGTATCTGTGCCAGTTCATACGAACTTCAGCGGCTTTCGTTAACCACATACCCATCGAACTGCTGGGTGAGTGCACTGCAAGCTACGGTGCTGGAGTATTATGACCAATTGACTGATGCAATCCCGCAGTTGGACCTGCGACACCGCTCAACCACCCGATGTTGGTCTCACTGCGCTATACTACCGAATTTTTCAGTGTGCCACGCCCGCAGTACATCTCGCCTCCGGCTGATTCTGCTCGGCTACTGAGAATCATCGAACGTAACACTGAAGACAAGCAGGACCTGCTTGCCACGCTCAGCACAGGTTCGAAGGCCGCTTCTCACAGTCCAAACCGGTCTCCTGGCGGCGGCCTCGGATTTTTCGAGCAAGGTATTGTTATCGGCTTGGTGCTATTCTTCTCCCCGGTTTTAGTGGGTTTGATTTATTTGGGAGTGTCAAAAACCAGTACAGCCTTGAGATCTTTACCTCATCTCTTCTAACATCTGCATCCTTGGCATGGATGTAGGGTTTAAGCCGAGCCGGAGTTGAAATTTGCAAAGCTTGTACTATCTTCACTCTACGTATAGAAAAATGTGTCATACCAAGGGATCCACCTTCTCCGCGAAGGATAAGAGTAAATTTCGCAATTATCATTGTACTACTTTCTTACTCGTCTGCCAATCACCCCGGTAGTTTACTTAGTCCTTAGTACGTATTCTGCTCTTTGCCTGCTCCATAGTCGAGAGCATCATTTTCACAAGCTGCTTGAATGGTACTGTAGCTTCGTGCTAGAGCGCAATGTATCCCGTGGCAGGCTCTAAACTAAGATAACCCCAAGGTAGACTGTATGGTGGAACAAAGTCTCCCGACCCTCGAAGTGATATTGGATTGGTGGTGGTGAGTGCATGCCGATCAATCTGAAATAAATTGGACTGGCAAAAAAGGCCCTGCAATGCTTTCTCAAAACTATATATCACCGGGGAACTGGCTGCTGATGATATACCGTCCATTTGGCGCTCTCGTTACGATCCGACTGACTGGGGTCGATTCCCAGGACCAAGACCAGGGCTATCGATGGGAACGGCACTGCACAACTCTCTCAATCTGGTCGTTGGTTCAATCCAGCGACACTCACCTTCGCTCCAGCATCCATTCCGGGGCTTGGGTCTCTTCATCGACTCAGTAAAGATGAAAGAAGGGGCCAATTGGTGGATACATTCTCCTGTCGCTGTTGGTTTGCACATTTCTATTAGTGACTTGATCCTTGGAGACCAAGGAGTCTCAACCAATTGAAGAATGGCATACCTATGGCCTTTGCTAGCACTGAAGCAGCTCACCGATCTCTTCGAACGCGACTTGCGGTATGGGATGTAAAAGGGCCCGCAAACGCCTGTAGCCAGCGAGACCAGAACCATCAGCTTGAGCAGAACTGTCGGTTCCCCAGAGGACCTGCGATTCAGGTGATGCATTGTGTGACCCAGGGTTACCGGTCTGGACAAGAAATGTCTGCTTAGCCCTCTGCTATTGTTGCTCCCTAGATTATAGTGATCCAACACTCGGTGGTAGATTATCGTCATAATGATTCCTCGATCGAGACTGTCGGCACATAAGGCGGAGTCTGGGAATTTGAAGCCAGAGGGAAATGAGGTTATTGCAGACAGACGTCGTCAACAGTTCCAAGAGATCAAGGAAAGTTGGGGATCGAGTTGCGCATCCACGTTAGCTTTGGTCGAATATCGAAAGCCTAGTGTCTCTGGGAACGCCACAGGACTAGCACCTCTCGAGTGATGCCTTTATGCACCCGCACGATTGCAATTGCGCTATAACTACTTTATGACATTTGTATCGGAATCCTCAGCACAATTATTGGTTCTTACGCAACAGCGATGATGAGAGACCTATGGTGCCACTCCAGAACGCCGCAGCTATCCCTGCCGACGCCCTGGTGGGTTTCGGGGCAAGGGTGAGCTCCGAGGAAGGTAAGTTCGGCGGAGAACCTAACACACACTAAAGCCCCGAAATTATGGGCTGAGAAGGGCCGAGTTTTTGACACTGCCAGCAGCATTGCCCCTCCGATATTGTTAGCGAATACATGCTGAAATGATCCCGACATCCCTAAGAAAGGTGCCACGTTTCAGCTTTCCAACCGTGTTGCTTTCCAACTGATCGACGCAGATCTACAATATCCATGGTCAGATAACATCAAGAGCGAATCACTCCGAGGCATTCGCCGAATCCCACACCATCATCAGCACTCCCGGCAAAAGCACTCAAACGAACAGTGTCTCCGTCCTGCAAGTATATCCTCTCAGATCCGCCTTGTAGAGTGAACGCCTCCTTGCCACCCTTGGTCAGTTCCATCAAACAGCCGTGTTGGGTTTTTGCAGGCCCGGAGATTGTTCCTGTGGCCAGGATATCCCCCGTGGCCAGCTTGCATCCACCCGCGGTCTGATGCGCTATCAAGTGCGCGAAAGACCAGTAGAAGCGGTTAGTATTGGATTCGCATAGTGTTGTACTTGTACCATTGGTCTCGCCGGTGTTTGGGCTCAAGAGCTCTGCCATGCAAGTGATATCATAGCCTACCTTTTGATCTTTAGTGTCTAGATGTGGTGGAACGGGCACGTCCCTTTCTGGCAATTGGAGCTTGAAAGGCTCCAGCGCCTCAAGGGTGACAACCCACGGGGAAATCGTGGTTGCAAAATTTTTGCCATTGAAGGGACCGAGTGGTGGCATCTCGAGCCTTTGGATGTCTCTCGCACTCCAGTCGTTAAGAAGAACGACACCAAATATATGCTCCTCGGCGCGCGATGCAGGTATTCCTCTACCAAGGTCCAGAACGAACTCCTGCCGTTGTAATGAGGGTTCTGGGGGACGACCAATGATGCAGGCCATTTCCAATTCATAATCCAGTGCCTTGGTCGGCCCGAAGACAATACTGCCGTCTTGAGAATCCTGGAAAGTTCCTGTTGGTCTAAAAACCTCGGTGCCAGAGACGTAGATTGATGACGCTCGACCGTCGTATGCGGTCGGGAAATGCAGGAACCCCGGTGGAAGATTTGGTGGAAAGCCCATTGCCCTGGCAGCATTCATTAAGTGGTCCTTACTGCACGAGAAGTCTGTAAACCCAGAGATGTGGACGGGGAGATGCACACAGACACTGTCGACATGGTGCGCCGCCTCTGGAACGCTCGTAGGTTGAGTTTGATGCGAAGCAAAGAACATTGTAAGCAGGCTGCGGAAATACTGCTGTTCTGATTTTGGAAGAGCTGCAAATGCATTCAAGTCGTGTTGCTGGCAGTGACTATTAGCATTCTCCCGAGTCACGAATCGTGAAGGGTGTCATAGCCGGATGTACCTTGACAATGGCATTGGTCGTAGAGGCTGGCACAGACCCTAGTAGGCCACGTTCCAGCAAAGCGGGAATCGAGTAGACATAGTCTTCCAACCGTGTGGCAATGATCCTGTCTGCAGAGCCTTGTATGCTGATGATGCCGTATGGGAGGTTATTTATCGAGAAGTGTTGCGCAAACATTGTTATTGGATGAAACTTAGGGTTAGGGATAACATTCTGTCAGATATACGCAAGTCAATGACCCTATTTAATTACTAGAAAAATGAGTCCCCGACCGCCTGCCCTCGAGACCGAGATGCGCCTCCGATGTGGCCCCACCGAAGCATGACCGAAACCGTTGCGCACGCGCCATCCACATCTTCATCACAAAGCGCCTCTCGCTGAGTGCTGTAACGAACATGGATTGTGGAGATTGTTCGCATCCTTCGACATAACTGTTCGTCTCAAGAGCTCCTGAGGCTGTTCTTGATGTACTGCGCGTGTAAGGGTTCAGGAACTGTGCTCTGTGGAACGACACCATGACCAAACCATAGCGGGTCCTCGGAACTCTGGGGCAATCCTCCAGCAATGATTACTTAAAAAGCCATGGCAAGTTGGAGCGGCGATGAGGCCGAGCCTACGGATGGCGTAAGAGATTTTCTATCGTGGCTCGATAATGGTGATTGTGGTTAGGGTGTGTTTATACTTAATCTGTCACAAATTTCTGAAGCACACAAGGTTATCCCCGATATGAACACCAGAGGGCCCCCGTTAGCCCTTCAATCTGCAATCGAGGAGAACCAAGGACATCAAGTGACGCTTTCGGACCTGCCGATATACACCTAGTTGTCAAGCGATCGATTGCATCAATGGTTTTTTTTTCTTTCTCAGGATTATTGATGGCCGACATGACAGCCTACCCTCGAGCGTCCTCGGCATAAATGGCACCTCCAACTGTGGTGTCACGACAAATATTCGAAATCAAGACCTCATGAACGTCACTTTGTATGATCCAGTCAATATCAATATCCTAGTAGCCAGAAACCTGTGAGATAGGACCAATCTCAGTCTGAGCTCGTCACACCATGTTTCTCATCCCGCTTTGTCATGTAATCTCTCCACTTGGGGTTGAGCAGATAAACTGGAATACCGAGGAGGGAGATGGCCCCGAAGATGCCTGCAAGGACGCCATAAGCCCAGTAATAGCCGCCCCCGTTGACCATCGGCGTGAAGCCATACGTTGCGCCAAATGAGACAATGTTTTTGGTTCCGACAACGACGACGAGGGCCGGGCCAGGATGTTTCGAACTTGCCTCGGCAGCGAAAGTGGTGGACACGATTAAAACACAGATGAAGCTTGATTGGTAAAGGGAGTAGCTGATTACTGTTCCCCAGTATGAGGAGCCGCCCTCAGCCGCGGAGCCGTAGAGGACCAACATGGCCACAGCCAACGCTGCGGGTAGTGCGAGAACAACGAGGCGGTGTTCTGGTCGGTGCACACCACGGTTTCTCTTGGCCAACCACATAACCAACTTCTCCCCGAACAGCGTGCAGTACGCGGTGCCAATAAATGAGCCAACAACCGATCCAACATTGATTAGTCCAATATTCTGCGGTTTCCAGCCGTACTGACCCTGCAATATGGAGTCATATGACAGCGAAAGGTCCACAGAGCAGCCCAGAGCAATAGAACTGATCAATACTGAGTACAATATGCCGGGGGAGGTCATGGCCTGAAGCATGTGAGTCCAGGAGAGCAGTATCGTCTTCAACGGCTGAGGATGTGGAGTTGACCACGGCTTCAGTTTCTGGAGGTAGGTCGTGCGGGTTGCCGTACCATCGACTCCACACGGAGTAGGCCCCCCCGGGCTGCTTTCAATGCCCAAACGATCGTAGTACTCTTGGACTTGGTCGTCGGGAATAAAGTGTGTGACCCCAAAGTCGTCAGTGACCACGATTCGACCGTCGATATTGGCAGCGGGGCGACTGAAACGGGTCTCGAAGGCACCAAAGACCGCGAAGACGAGGCCAGCCGATGCGGTAATGACAAAGACCCAATAATACCAGCGCCAGCCTAAAGCGGCAGTCTCGTAGCTGCTCGACAGATTCAGGACGCTGGTTAAGATGTTCATCACCGTCCAATACAACCCGAATATCTTGCCGCGTTCGTGCAAGAATGTCACCTCTGTCAGCATCAACGGTAGGAGAGACTCAGACGCCCCAGTTGCGAGGCCTTGAAACACACGCGAGGCCAAGTGGCCATTGTAACTGTTTTGCGTTGCTGAGGCTATGGTTGCTGCCAGAAGAACGATGACGGACAGGAGGAAGATCGGGCGTCGGCCATAGGCCAACGACAGAGGGAGAATGATGTAGTTCCCTAATTTGGCCTTGTCATTAGTCGAGACATTTGAAGCTGAGGGCGGATTGCCCGGGGAGGGGAGGACAGAAATCGACTTACCTAGGCCGATGCATAGCGCGGGGACGGTAAGGAGATAGGTGACCTCGTTAGGAGTTTTCCCTTGGGGGATGTACAGCTTGAAGAAGACCGTCAAGATACTACCCAAACCACTTGCGAGAGAAAGGCCCATGGTGGCTAGAATCTACATGTCAACCCTTGAACAGAATCATTGGATACTGGCGGCCGTGGCCACAGCAGGGGAAGAGAACAGCTCGAGATCAAGACAAGCTCAAATCAGCCTGCGAGAGGCGCGACTGGATCAAAGGCCATCGGGGTCTTTCCAAACTTACAAAACCAGCAACAGCAAAAGACAATGGCGTATTTCTCCCACCATCTGAACCTCAGAGGGTCACTCGGGTCGTCGGAGGGCACGGGAAGCTTGCGCACCCTACCATGCTTGTCGACGAGAAAGGCATCGCCTTCGATGTGTTGCGTGGCTTCACAAGAGACAGGAATCTGTGTCGCTTGCTTCGCAATGTGCTCGACATAAAGGCTGGCTGACACCGGCTTCCCTCCATCGCTGGTGGGGACTATCTTCAGTTCGTCCATTTGGGGAGAAAGTACATGTGTCACCGATTTGCCAAGCGTGAGTATCAGCTCAGCAGCGGTGTTGGCGAGTAAGTAAGAGACGTGCGAAACGCCAGAGATGGACCAGGTCATACCGGGCAAATATAAGGACTAGACCAAGACCAGGACATTTGTCCTCCGAGGCGGGGGCAAGGGGTCAGGGTCGGGGGGCGGAGGAGCGGTTCACGACTGAGGGGGCCGAGAAAGACTCCTCTCGGTCGCGGACTTCTGTCAAGTGGAGATGGTACAAATGTAGATGCTTCGAGATCTGGCTATGGCTCTACCGTGCAAGCTTTCGCTCGGAAGACTTCTGGTAACCATCCTGTGTTAGTGTACTTAAGAGACCACTAGGTTGCCGTTTTGTCGGTTTCGGAACCACTGCGAAGCGAGGCGCTGAGCCGTCCTCCACATCCCGTAAATGGTGACAGGGCAGAATGCCGACGATGTTTGTTCTTCCGGATCCCGGCCCAATAAAAGTCCATCGGGGGCCGTGAGGTACCTAGTCATTTTCTCTCCATGCTTGTAATGGATCCATTGTTTCAATACAATGCCCAGATCTGACCGAGCATATAAATGTGACACGAATCTCGCGGCAAAATGACCATTGTCCCTCCGCCTTGGTGTTTCTGAGCGACCCTTCTTTGAATACCCCATCGCAGCTTCAACGGAACAGTTTTGGAATCCCAGCTGGTGTTCCGCTTCCCTCATGTCCTCTGCAGACCCCCTTGCCCGACTGGAGGCACGCATACTGGAAAGTGAGCGCCTGGCGCAACGAGTGAGTACATCGAACTCCAAATCCTCCAGCCCTCCCCTATGGCCTGGGGGCGCCACCAACACCGTCATGGTTACCGAGGCCGTAGTTGCTGACACTGAGATGTTGCTTTGGAGGCCTATGATCGCGGCGCCGTGGAAAATATCTTCAGCAGATATATGCACCTACACAACGTGTTCCAAGACGAACAGATCAAGGCGCTATGGGTCAAGCGCGGCACGCCAGGCATCCACGCGCAGTACACCAATGTCGGCGTCTACACGGACTACGACAGTGTCATGAAGTATCACTCTGGCCGTCCAGCTCCAGCCGGCAAGCTGATTCTCCACGAGACAACGACCCCAGTGATAGAAGTTGCTGCAGACAGCCAGACAGCCAAGGGCTTCTGGCTGATGGCTGGAGTTGAATCGGGCCTGGCGGACCCCAAGAACGTCGGTGCTATGCCCGAGTACTTGTACGAGCCTGCCGACAAGAATGTGGATGGCCAGCGAGTCTGGGCACACTGGGTGTGGTGCCAATATGGACTGGATTTCTTGAAACAAGATGGAGAATGGAAGATCTGGCATTTCCGCTGTCTGGAGGTCGCCAGAGCGCCTTACAGTGAAAATTGGATTACTTTTGCCAACAAGAATCAGTTCGCTTTTGAAAAGGTAAAGCATCCGCCCACACGATAGTGTCTCGATAGGTTGTGGGATCAGATACTGACCTATTTGGCGGATGTTACAGGATCTGGCGTACTTTGGCCACAACGGAGAAGCCATCTTCATGCCAACTCCTGACGAGCCTGCCAAGAAGGTAAGAACAAAACAGGCTGTCGGCCTTTGCCCTAGGCTTTCTGTCAATGAGTTCTGGGCTAACGCATATCGATCATCACAGAAAGCTGACATCTATGGGACTAAACGTTCACGGCAACTGGATGTGCCATTGCCTGTGCCCTACAACACGTTTAGCGAGGTCGAAGAGTACTAGGCCGACAAAAGATTCGACGGCTCCATTGTTTGGTGGGTGCCACGAGCCCGGGGGAAAAGGGCAAAATCCAGTAGACTTTCATAGATGAGCCAGTCTTGCACGCAATACTAGGCGGTCAATCAAACGCATCTCCCTCGGGTGATAATCCCGATCTGGTTCACAATTGCTGAAGATGGTTTGAAAACTGTGTCCAATCAATCTCGCCGTTGGCTTCGGTGGTATCCGTGGCTAGCCAATTCCACAGACCTTCAACGTTAAGCCCTGTGAATGGCACGTTGTCCTCCAGGGATGACTCTCCCCATTGACCCGATCTGGCTTCTGAATATGGCGGGGCCATCTGCAAAGCATGCGCTGAGTTTCCCTGCCAGGAGCCATAACCGAGAATCTCTGCGTCGTGCCCGCAAGGATGTTGGGAGGCATCAACATAAGGCCCTGACGTGCCGACCTGAGGATTCAAATCAGTCCTTTCAGTGTATACAATAGTTGAGAGATCAACGTTGCTTTGTACGGTGTCGGATGGCCGCGATTGTCTGCGCCGTAGGTCTTCCAAATGTGACGAAACTCGTCGGTAGATTGCGAGGGGCGCTGGCCACAAGGTCAGTAAGAGTGGTACCCCATCCCGTCCCAATATCGTAGACCACGCACCTTCCGAGAATCGCGCATCCATGCCCCAGTTGAGAAACTGCTCCGCCACCGACTCAGCAGATGCTCTCAGGAGCTGTGGACCGGTTAGCACTGAGAAAAATGACCACTCATAGGTAGCTCACCTCAAGATCGGCCGCCTGGGATCTGCGAGAAGAGGCCTTCATGAGGAAGAAGGCCAATACTACGCAGGCTAGTAATTGAGGCCCGGCAGAAATCAGGCGACTATTGGTTTTCCGCTCCGCCATTTCGACAGTAAGGCGCGCTATGGCTCGGGCGCTGTTCACACAGATCGATTCGCCCTCTCTGACTCGGTACATAGAAGGGTCATCTGCACAAAGGCAGGTAACCTCGGCTTGAAAGCTGGCGGTCGCAGCGATCAAGCCCGCCCGGTGGAGAGCGATGAGGGCCTGGTTGTATTGGATGGATAAATGAGCCGCCATGTGGAACTCTTCCGGCGGGCACAACAAGTCTGCTCCCGGTCGGAATTGATAAGGGATGTCGTCGACCCAAGAGACCAAGAGCTTGTCCAGGCGGGCAGTGTCACGTAAGAGCCGTAAGGCCGATCTAGGCTCCGATGTCTGGCTGCATATATGATCGCTTATAAGACCTTGGATTTGGGCAAGTCCAACACTCCACTGTAGGAAGTCGTGTCCTTTGGGCTGCTGCTCGGGGCCCATCATTTGATCGCGATCTACGATGGCAATAGCGGAAGGTCTTCCAGACTCAAGTTGCATGATCTTTTCCAGGCAGCAGCATATGCCCCATATCCGTGCGTGGAAAAGCTGCGCCTGCTTCCCCTGGATACCGTGCTGGAATGAGGGCCGGGCTGAGGAAAAGCGATGAAGCCCTAGAGTGTGAGCAATGCGGATCGCCATCCCAGTCATCTGCCATGCCACGCCGTCCTTGTTGCGGCCGCGGTAGGAGATCGCGAACATGAGCAGACACTGGACTGAAGGGAGATATGGCATAAGAAAGACATACACCAACAGGGCTGTTGCCGCCAGAAGATATCTATCCCCGTCGGCCGTCGGGTGCGGCGATCCTTCATCGGCACCCAGGCTGAGGACGAGATACGCCGTGGCCAAAATGGGTAGTTGTTCGGCCGGTAATGTTTGCAGACTAGACATCGCGGCTAGGCGGCAGACGCTGCTCCTGAGTGAATCAACATCGAACAAGGGGAAGAGGATGTGCACTCGCTTGAAGTAGTTGGCCATGTATAAGATGCAGACGTCGATGGTTGGCAATGGCGTCAAGGCCGAGGCGGCGGCGGGAACAGTCATCTCTTCTGCATGTCGCATGCCGTGCACAAAGTATTCGGATAAAGATCCCAGCTTGGCTCGTTGCAAGTACACGTCGAGCGATTTGACTAGGGTCTGGTTGCTGCTGGATCCCATCATCTTGATACGATTGGTCTGTTGGTCGAGGTTGAATGACATCTCATGGGGTTGATGGAACGGCGAAATGGTCGCTGCTTCGTTCGCTGACCCGGCCGGCGCAGAGAGTTCTGCGACCGACGGCGACGACCTTGATGCAGCGATAGGAGGTCGACCACGCCTGTCATTGACTGGGCTTTCGTGTGCTACAGACGGCGCTTGCGGCTGCGCTTCTGATTGCTTTGGACCCTCGATCCACTCCCGGACGACAGATATTCCCGGCCGTCTGGGGTCTTCTGTCAAACACTCATCATTGCGAGTCTGGCAATTACGGCACCGAGGATACTCGGCATCGCATTTGACCTTCCTGCTTCGACATTTGTTGCAAGCGAGGGACAATCGCGGTCGCTTCGGTGGCGGCGATGAGTCCATTAGGTGTTGTAGCTGCAGGCTAGATCACAGGCCCATCTGCTGAAGCAGCGTCATTGAACACCCAAGGTCGTCTGCTTTCGCACTCTGCCTTTCAAATCGGCTTCCGTGCTGCTGGGCGAAACCAGACGGACTGTGACGATGGCTTGCGAGGGGATGCCAAAGCGTCCAAAAAGCTCACGACATGGTGATGCGGTAGAAACTAGGTTGCGGATCAAGCAGATGCGTGGACAGGAGCCTGACGATCTAAGCGAGGTCTATGAAAAGCGAAACGTGCCCGCAGGCCACTGCTGCTTAGTCGTGAGCCAGCCACTGAGAAAATAGCGAGCGAGAGCGAGTACCAGCTCGTCCGCGGGGTCCCTCCAGAGTTTGCGGGTCCAAATTGGGGAGTTCCGCGCTAGGTCTCTTTCCCAACACTTGCAGTATTGGCCAATGGTGTTACTCCATACCCCGGATCGTTAATCTCTTCGCTCTGATTGACTGGAATGGCCGACACCAAAAGTTGAGGCGCTCTGAGCAGGCCTGGAGCGGGGCCGAAGCGCCAAGAAATCGCTCCGAAGACATGCCCCGAGGTCAGGTGACTCACGAGCACCACAAAGGCTGCCTACAATAGTCGGTGTCAAACACGGTATTATTCCACCGCGATCATTTCCTGATTCAGCGAGAACCAGGGTTTCAACTTGTTCACCGTCCCAGAGTATTAGACGCCCATTTTCTATATGCGGCAGCCGCAGATCGCGACTTTACTGCTACTACGTCGAGTCGGCCTGCCCAAGGTCCAGTAAAATAGTTCTTCCGAGAGACATTGCCGCAAATCTCATCTACACAGTAAATGCAACCAGACTCCAAGCGGAAGGTGGGCTAGTGTGGGTAAACGCTCGTTCATTCTATATAAAGGGCAAGATGACGGAGCTCGAGTAGTCTCCGCCAAAATGCACAGTGTGTTTCCCCCGATTGAGTTCATGCTCTGGTCTGGGGCCGGACCACGTCTTGTATTCCATAATACTGGGATACTGACCGCCAACCTGGAAACCAACCATCAGCTGAACGTTTCTTTCGGCGCAAAACACGGTGGTCGGTACTTACTCTGAGACTGATGGACTCTCCTGCGTCAAAATCCACTCCCATGGCCCAAATTCCAATCTCCAGTCTCACGATGGTCCCGGGAGCAATTTTCTCTTCTTTCGTGTGGGGATGGTAAGGGAATTGTGGATGTAAGCTCTTCGATTGGTCAATTGCACGATGCGAGGCTCGCAGAATACCGACGGACCCGAGGTGTAGGTTCGTACTGGAGTAGTCCTTCTCGGGAATTTCGCTGATGGAGTTTACAGGAGCTGCCTTGAGTGGGAAGTTCAGATGCATGAGGTCTTTACCATTCTTGTCCTTTTTGCGCAGGATGACAAATATGGTGAAGTCGTCCCTGTCCTCGGCGGAGACGTACAAGATAGTCTTGGGTAGACCCACCAGCCTGGATGCAGCTTCGAACGTGTAAGTAAAGTCAACAACGCTGTTTCGATTTTCCGAGTCGTATGACAATTGCCGGTGCGTTGCGGATGGCTCCTCGAGAAGCTTGTTCTCGTGCAGGAAGAACTCCTTGTATTGCGTCCCAGGAACAGGGAAATCCTCTAGCACGACATCGTCAATGGCCGCTCGGTCACCGAATTGCAGAATCGACCAACGAACTTTGGGAGTCGTCTCCCAGTCGTTGTCAAGACGGCGGAGATATCTATCGAAGAACCGTTGTAGCTCCTTCCAAGATCCCGGACAACTATGATCTCCAATCAGTCATACCCATCTCGGTGGGATTGCGCATCTCCAACATACCTGTAAAATTCGAACCATTCCTGGTTACTTCCCCACCAGATCCACTTGTCCTTGTGTGGCACCTGCATGTACCCACGAACTGCCCCCATGGTGTGAATCGTGCTGACATCTGAGCCCCGGATGAAGGTCGGAATCTCAATCTTGGACATGTCGGCTCTCTTGTCATTCCAGTACGCATTGGCGAGTCTCGATCTCCGATACATCTCTTCGAAATCTTCAAGACCTGAGTTTGGCTGGCCTCGTACGATGGCCTTACCAATCAAATCAAAGTTGCTCATGGAGAACCAGCCTCCGCGACAGAATTGCTCGCGAAACAAGTCACCCATACCATCCCAGGGAGCAATTGCTTTCAATGACGGGGGCTGCTGTGCGGCAATAAACCATTGGCTGATTGCAAGCGCCGAATTACCTGCCATGCCTATCGAACCATTACACCAGTCCATCTGAGCTATAGCCTCAACCACGTCATAGCCATCTTCGGCATCTTGCGTGCCCATGACACATATTTGGCCGTCACTGTTACCAGCACCGCGTGTATCGACGCTAATAATGGCGTAGCCCTTTGGGCACCAGTACTGAGGATCAAGCCCCTCGAATTTTTCCAGTCCGCTCAGGTCGGACGAAGGCACGCAGCACTTCCACACTACCATAGGCAGCATGTCAAGGGAGCTGTACTTTTTGCCGTAGAATGACCAGCTGAGCACTGCAGGGACCTTGTCGTTGCTGTTGGCGGGCCGATAAATGTCGACGTAGAGCCGTGCACCGTCACGCACCACGATTTCAACATCGTGTTCAATGAGTATGTCGCTTTCCAGGGCCTTCGCGTTGAAACCGTTCCAACCCTTAGGGAGCACTTCCGTCTTTCCTGGTTGGAAGCCTGCGTAGCCGTTTTCCCCAAGCTGTGGTTGTGCCACGCGTTTGGTGGCAATCTGCACGGGAGGGGGCATTTTTGATGGTAGCTGAGTTGTCCAGAAGAATTACCACGAATCTTTAAAAGGCAGCTGAGTCAAAGGCCACCCAAAGCTAACGTTGAAGATACCGAAACCATTCCCAAATTATAAACATGCTGCAAATGACCAGCACAACCCCGGCGCCAGAGCCAAGAAACTGACACTGATATTTCAGCCGCGCAACTGCCGATCCAGCATAGTTAGTCCTTGTCCCAGAATCCCACAAAACTTCGGGGACCAAGCGCCGGCTGTCCTTCTTTAGTTTTAGCCTCCGAGCCAAGTGGACATGTGCTGTCTCGGGGTGCCTCGGATTCCACCGAGTGGTAGACAGTTGCACCTATCGTCCGGAGCGGCGGTCGGTTTGGGACCTTGTGTTCCCGAAGCATCCAAACAATTGCTGAGCTATGACGCCACGATGTTGACAAGTTCGACATCGGTTCTGTGCTCAAAGCGCGACGACACCGGTCGAGGCTAAGGATACTTAAGCAATCTTCGACTTTGCATTGAACTCGCGGCCTTTCTTCATTCGCCTTCAACCAACGGCGCATACGACAATCTCTAGACCAATTTCCCTGATAGCACTATTTGATCCCACTTTTTTGTAGAACATGTCAGTCACCACCGCCGAGACTGGCACCCAAGAGCTCAAGACAACAAAGGACCTGCTCACTTTGGAAGATCAGCCCTATGGAGACTGGCGCGACGAATTTCACGACAAGGGTTGCGTTGTGATCAAAAACGTCATTAGCAAAGAGCGAGCGGCATACTATGTTCAGAAGCAGATAGAATGGCTCAAGAAGTTCGACTTGGGCTTCGACGAAAACGATGAGAGCACCTGGACCGCAGAGCACCTTCCCGTCAGCTTCAAAGGGGGGTAAGTAGCATTCACTCGCATTACGATGCCACTCTCAATCCTATCATCAGAACACATCCGATGCTGCTCAAACCTGGTTCTCTAACTTGTCGATGCAGAATGTACTATGCTTACGGTGCCCCCCACGAGAAGATGGCCTGGGAGGCACGTCTAGAACCGAAAATTGTCGAGATTTTCGAACGTCTGTGGGGTAACAAGGAGCTTTTGACCTCCTTCGACGGCATGAACATCTCACTGCCACGCCGAAAAGATCTTCACTGGAGTCCCTGGCCACATTGTGATCAGAACCCAAATCGAAAAGGGTACAACTACTCCTTGATTTTGCTGCACCAGAGACTAAGGCCTTGTTAATACAGGATGCAAGCCGTGCAAGGTTTGCTCAACTTCGCCCCAAACGGACCAAAGGATGGTGGTCTCGTTCTCATGAAGGGCTCCTCGAAGCTGTTTGACGAGTTCTTCTCCCAGAAGCGAGAAAACTTTAACCATGAAGATGCACCACCGCCAGAGCTCAAGTACATGGATCTTTTCTTGTTCAACGACAAAGATGTCCAGTGGTTTAAGGACAAGGGATGCGAGCTCGTCAAGATCAATATGGAGCCAGGTGATTTTGTCCTTTGGGATTCGCGCACAATGCACTACGCAGAGTTTCCCATGGGAGAACAAATCCGTCATGTCCAGTATATCTGTATGACGCCACGAAAATTCGCCTCGCCGGAATCTCTGGAATTGAAGAAGCAGTGTTTCGAAAACTGGCTGGGTACAACTCATTGGCCTCACTGGTAAGTCGTCGTTTCAAAACTGTGCCTTTTGATCCACTATTACTGACATGAATCAGCAACATCCGCCCCGCCAAAGAGCCGCCGATGAGAAACGGTGAGGTGTGTCCTAAGGCAAGGAGCGAACCTTTCGAGAAGCCTGATATTTCAGACCGTCTTCTCCAACTGGCAGGCGTCAAAGCGTACTAGTGCTCTGGGCTGCGTAAATCAGATATACCCGATATCAACCAATGGCAACTGTGTGCTCTCCTCGAGACCTGCTCTGTTGCCCTCTTCTCTCCTAACATGACTCAAGGTTCTCGATTCACGCTCGAATGCTCGCCGACAATCGACGACACAGGATTAGTGACGTTTGAAGTCAGGACAGCCAAGCTGCAAGTGGTCACTCGCGAATGAAACATGCTGTTTCATCGAATGTGCTTGAGGTACAGCAAGGCGGCGCCGCTCAGACCGGTATGGAAGAAAAGAGTGAGTGTCCAATATAGCATGCTCGACCTCGCTCTAAGTTTATCTCCATGGAGAGTATTTGCCTCCGTCCCTCCTCGCATATCCCTCTTGAAGCTGGGTGCACTCATGTCTGTGCGAGAATCTGGTCAATACACCAGCGACTGTTGGCTGTTGAACCAAGGTCAGGTGTCGAAATGCTACACCTTGTTGCAGAACCATTTCAATTGACTATGTCATTTTACCTGCGCTTCGTACCTACAAGGGCGTTGTATAGAACGCTGGAGCAGCCTCCAATATAGCTGTCGCCATTCCAATGCAATTAGATATTGTCTCAGGCCCCGAAGAGCTCTCGAGGTTACTCTGTAGCTGCGCTTACCGTACTAGCGGCGACTATCGAAGCTTCTAACTTGTAGGGCATGCCCTCGAATATCACCGACACTTCCTCCCATATTACTTGCGGAGCTGCCTCCTAGGCCTTCATGTGGGTGCGCCAGCTGGCCGTAGGTATGGAGGCTATACCATGACAGCCTATAGGACTGGCTGCTGACGCTGCTGTCTTGGTACTAAGCTGTCGACGGGCCCTGTCCCCAACCTCCACCCTACAGAAGCCCCCTACTGCACTGAGGAGGGTAGGGTTCGAAGACGCTGAAATCGCCTTATGTGTGCCCTCGCGAGGTTGTCTTGGAATACCGTCATGGTTCAGCATCAAAGCATTCTGGATTATTTCCTCTTTTGTTTTTTACGTAATCGGCTTCGGAATAGAGTTAGCAACAGGAGCAGGACAAGACAGGCTATTTGCACGATCCATCGCCTAATCAAAGTGGAAACGGTATATTTCAAACGACTATGGAATTGACAGAATACGAACTTGATCATATTTCAATTGCGCCACAGTTTCTCAAGCTGCCTGCTTGATGTATGGGATGCCGGTCAATCGGAAGGTACGCTCATTAAGGACAGGTTCTTGGAATGGTCGATCCCGGGAGAGGGGACATAGCTTGCCGTCACGCAACGCCACATTTGTGGGAGCAACGTGTCGAGCGTTGGGCCAGTGAGTAGTACCCAGACGTTCTGTTGATCGATGGTTAGCGTCGTCTACCGTACGGTGGACCAGTGGGAGAGGAAGGACTTACTCTCGAACGCCTCCTTCTTTCTGATCAAATCTTCTTGGCTGGCTTCAGACACAGGCATGAAGCATGTGTACACGGCCAAGCGATCCTGCTTCGATGTGGGTGGGACATTGTAATGAGGGACCCGGCTGTCCCACAAGATGAGGTCACCGGGCTGAACGCAGACTTTTTCCCACTCAAGACCGTGGTCCTTGAGCCATTTCATACCATTGTCAGTAAAGCCAAACCACTCCGGAGTCCATGCAGGGATCTTGGGCTCGTCCGCCATTTCACGGTGGAACTGCTCAGAGATCTTATGGCCACCTTTGCATACGATGAGACCTCCATCATTTGGTCCGCAAGGGTTCAGGTTGACCAAACCCTGAAGGCCTGGGTTAGGACGTCAGTAAGACTTCCATACTGGGCATGGGTCAAAAGGGACGTACAGCGGAAGCCAGGCTTAGTCGGATCCTGGTCTTGGTGAGGCCAGGGCTTGCTGGGTCTTCTGTCAGCGGACTTGCATGGGAGACTGTCCAAACTAACCCCTTACTTCTCTGGAAGATCTTTGCGGCTTGAGGAAGAAAAATTCAGTATATGTCGATACCGTAGCCCATTATCTTGAGACTTACTTTGCGAACCCAACATTGACGACGTCGAATGACACGATCAAGTCTTTGTCGTCGTACACTTTCTCGAAGGCTTCTATGACGCCAGGCTCTCCGCGAATGTCCCACACCCACTTCTCGTGGGTGACACCGTAGGAAAGGATCATTCCCTTTTCGTTGAGGACGGGAAGATTGGCCCGCTTCACAGTGGAGGGGTCATTCCTGTCGAAGCCGAGTCCACTGAACATGATTAGTTCACGGTAGAGATAGAGGCTGCCAGTGGCATAGAGAGGTTGGTAGCACCTACAAGTTTTCCATGTAGCTCAGGAATTCATCGGCATATTTGTCAGCACGTTCGCGAGGGATGGCGCCTTCTATGACAACGTAACCGTTCTCGTTGAGCTCGTCACGGAAGTCACCGTAGTTGGTCGGTCGTCCATCAAGGTGCATTCGACCTTCCGTCTGGGTTGCGGTAAGGACGGTGGCATTTGCTGTTGTCGTTGTGGTGGTAGCCATCTTTGATGATTGTGGAGTGTCTCTGTTTCCTTTGGCTAGCCAGAGACACTTGTTGCTTGGGAAAGATGAAAGGGAGAGCTTATCCGTCTCGAGATCAACGTTATAAGTTCATGTTTTCCCTAAAGCCTCGCAGCAAAATTTTCATGTGACAAAGACCTCGGACCATTCGCACGACCTTAAAGGGACTATTGCTGCCGCAGACTTCTATCAGTGATTCACACTTTGGAGGTGGCGGCCTCTGGGGGCCCCGAACATATCCCCGAAGTGCGGAGGCTGCTCGGATTCAAGAACCGAGCGGTCAGAGACTCGGCTGGACGCAACCGTAGAACCTTAATCAATCAGAAAGCCAGCAAGGTTGACCGAACCTCATCGTGCCTCCGAAGGTGGGCCGCTGTCGTTAAGCGAGATTATACTACGACCAAGCTCCTCATGGAGGCTAGTGTGGGTCAAAGCGCCTCCAGGACCGTTTTGTCTTGTTACGTGGAGCAGATGATTCGAGGCAGAAAGTAGCAGGAATGAGGAATGCAATGGCAGCACGCATTCTAGCGCATGGGACAAAGAGTTAACTTGGTTTATTGCGAGAATCCCTCCAGAGCTACAGATGTTGGCATGTTGCTGCCATAGCGCACCATAAGACCATTGTTGGTGAATGATTCTAGTGGAGAGATCACCATGTCTGCGAACTTCAAGATTATCATCGTCGGGGGCGGAATTGCCGGGCTATCTGCTGTGCGTCTTCCGTGTGCACTTATTCTATATGAATTTTAAGCTGACTATAACCGGAAGGCCATCGCTTTGAGGAAGGATGATCGTGAGATCCTTGTGCTTGAACAGTCCTCTCTCATTCGAGAAATCGGCGCAACGATATCCCTTCAGCCAAATGCGTCCAAGATTATCGAGTCTGTATGGGACCTTGCAGGAGACTTGAAAAAACGTGGTTCAATGGTCGATGAGGGATTCCAAGTTTACGCGCTGGACGGCAAAATGCAAATTCGTATACCCCTGTCTACCATGGAAAAGTATGGGGGCGAACGAATGCTGTACCATCGCATGGATCTACATGATGTCCTAAAGCAGCGGGCCACGGCTCAAGGACATCCAGGCAACCCAGCGGAGCTTAGAGCAAGCAGTCGAGTCGCCAGAGTTGATTGTGATGGCGGTGTTGTCGAACTTGAGAGTGGGGAAGTGCTCAAAGCAGATTTGGTGGTTGGAGCAGATGGAATCAAAAGCGTTGTCCGGGACGCAGTTGTCGGTAAACACGTTGAAGCGCTGCCCACGGGATTTTCGGCATATCGAATCATGATTTCGGTGGAAGAACTTTCGCAACAGAGAGCCTTTAGCCAGATCATCGATCCAAGAAAACCCTACACCACTATGGTCCTTGGCCCTGATCGGCGGATGATCATGGGCCCAGCTCGTAATGGCTCGGTGTATAGCATAGTTGCCATGGTGCCCGACGAACAGATGGTCGAGTCGTCCTCGAACTCTAGTTGGGTGACACGAGGAGATCTAAACAAACTGCTAGAGACCTTTGCCGACTTTCCCGACTGGGCCAAAGAACCTCTGCAGCTGGCCAAAGAGACTGGTTTGTGGCAGCTTCGAGACATCGATCCACTTCCTACATGGTACAAAGGAAGGACAATCTTGATTGGAGATGCCGCTCACGCAATGTTGCCTACGCAGGGTCAAGGTGCCAGTCAAGCAGTCGAGGATGCAGAAGCACTGGGAGCCTTCTTTACCGACCTTGAGGACTCTACATTGCCAGCAGTACGGAGCATCAACAGTACTATATTTGAATGTCGGCGTGACCGAGCAACGACCATCCAGCTTTACAGTCGCCAAATGGCCAGACCAGCAACGGACGAGGCAGGCTTGACGATCAAGATGAATCCTTCTGAGTTCATGGACTACAATTGCTCTTACACTGGCGCACGGGATTGGTACTTGAGACAACACTCACAGAGCCCTTCACTCATGTCCGCATGATTGAGTGGTTGTTGTCATAGTCAGTGTGACAGAGCTGGAAGATTAGTCACCCTTCACATTTGCATGTATATAGCTGTTCGGCGGTTTACTAGCTCCTCGAGTGCTCCAGGCACTCGAACCTAAGCCATCAACCCCCTTTGTTTCCTGCTCCATCGATTCCTGATAAGCCCCCGCGTATATCTCTACTGTGCCATAATCTATCCTCGTCCTTTTCTAGCATTATCCCACACCTAAGGTAACTTAAATCTAGGGGAGTGTGAGGGAGCCTTAGCAGCACTTTATGATATAGTGTCGGATACGGATAAACTGATAGGTGGCAGCGTTAGGGTGTCTTCCTTAGCCAACAACACGATTATTCTGTTCGTTGGGAGAGACTGAGAGAAGGGTGCTTTCAGTCTGCGGGTAGATAAGAAGTCGCATACCGGCGTGGCGCATCCCGATTACGTAAGCGGGAAGGCTGGGCTTATTCCTTGACAGGGAGTAATGTCAGGGACGGAACGAGTGGGGCTTACGAAGGGCTTCGAGAAGGTTACGAAGGAATATCTGATAATGATATTGCTATTCAATACACTATAGAGTACAAGATGAGAGACGAAGAGCTCGAAGAGTGGTTCGACCCCCGCAAGTATATAGCGACGAGCCCCTTTCGAAGCCTTCTGACCTGAAACAATAGCATTCCTAAAAGTAAGTGTTATGAAACGACCTTGAATGCGGGCCAGCGGAGCGTATAGGGAAGGTCGGACGAGAGAGTCTAACCTGGCCCAAGTGACGATGATACCAATTATGCTATGGATCATATTGAAAACTCTCAACCCCGGACTAGCTACAGCCTCTAGCGTTCTTAGAGTGTGCCGAAATACTTGTGAGGGCTTCTTATTGGACCTGACGATGGGTTATTCAGGAATTTGCCCTGGCTCAGGAAATCATGGTTGCCTGTGGGCTACATGTGACTGGATGGGATAATGTTAACAGCAGAACGCCACTGTGGCAAACCAACCAGTCCACCAATGCTTCAACCGAGGCCTCCCTATAACAGCCTCGGTGCCACCGTTGGTCGATAACGAGGCCTGGACAGATCTGGCCAGGTCCAGATCTATCCAGCTCGCTTGTTGCCACAGTGCAAATACAAGTGGTATGTAGATAGCCAGAGTCTCTGAGAAGGAGGCCGCAATCAAGCGGACAGATCCACTCTTACTCTGTGTACAACAGATAATTTCACGAAAGTGATCAACGAAGAAGTCCTTAGAAATAGTGCTTCGGCCCAACAGACACTCGAACGTTTTAGGCGTTGGAGGTCCATTTCCTCACGACGGCAAATGGCATTACTAGAGCTAATGGAACTATTCCAGGATGCGCGTTACACTGAGGTATGCGACAAGGCTTTCGCGTGGGCTGGTCTTGCAGCGGATGGACATCAGCTATCGCCAGACTACTGTGAGTCAGTTGGTGATGCTTACTTCCGAGTGCTGTCTATGTTGTCTACTGAGAGGGTGTCACGAGCCCACCGTTGTCCCCAAGTACTCTACGCCCTCCGCCCGAATCGGGTGGACGGTATAGAAAGAAAAGGATAAGGCAAAGGATGGTTGAAGCACAAGGCTATCGGTTAACGCTGCCTTACCCTTTTCACGTGACAGAAGAGGGGAAGCTATAAGAGTCTTCTCTCACCCGAACCGGCTGAGAGAGAACTCTTCCTTTTTCTTAAGCGTTGAGTCGTTGTCAATAGGACTACGTGAATAGAACAAGGCATTCAGCTACTCCAATTCCTTTGTACCTACTGCGTTGCGTAGGTCCCTGATAAAGGGTTCTGCCCGTGATCTCTGGATACCGGTGGCCACATCAAGCTGTAAGGAGGGTGGCAGGGTGCATGCAAATTACTGGGTACAGCATACTGTTCATTACGAGTACCTCGACCGATCGACTTTATGCTGCTTTTGAATGCGTAGGTTCAGCCAAGGAGGTGGTCTTGAGCAGCGAGTGTCGAATCGCACCCGATGACGGCCTACCCGCAACGTTTACTTCCTTTCCCTGTGAAGTTGAACTCGGTGTTTCCCTCAAAACTGTCTGCGGCACTATAGGCCTGTTGCCTGGGGATATGGTCTACAGCTTAAGGTCAACGTCGCGCTCACCAGGAAGCCTTTATATGGCCTTTAGACCTTCAACAACAGATCTAGCTGTTATCGGTATGCTCGTCGAAGATCCTAAGCGGCGAGATTTCCATGGACGAACCCTCTTTGTCACCAATTGAGCGAGCGAGGGACCGTGTGGGAACAGAATCGACTTTATCAGGTATATGATCCTGACCGGAGTATTGTGATGTTCTTGTAACAGCCCAGCTTTGTAATCACTGCCTAGAGTTCCCTGTCACATCAACGGGGTTGCACTCATGTTGTTATGGCTGCTTGATATCCGACGACTTGACTACTTCTGGGACATTCGTGAAAAGATTCAACACTGCTCTGTTCAGATGAGTCCGCTATACAGCTGCGCCAGAGATGAAGAAGGACCATTGTAGCACGTTCCCGAGATAGGCGAACTCCAAAAGAGTACGATCGAGGTACTATTTTCCTCGGAGTTTCTGAATGAAAAGTTCTGGCCTAAAAGGATGACACCACCTTGGATTGGCCAAGACCAACATGCGCCGTAAGAGCAACTCCGAGACGAAGATCCTCTCAAGAATATATATATCTTCAATGAATCTGATTCATTTATTATGCGAGGACTGCTCTATAATATGCTACTGAATCTGGATGTCTACTTTTCACGCCTTTGCTCTCAGGTGACAGCGTCACAGTTGACTCTCGAGACGATATGGACCAAACGCCGCTAATGTGAGCAGCGTATATGAACCATGAAGAAGTGATGGAAGCGCTTGTCGATGCCGGGGCAGATGTCAATGCTCAACAAAAGGGGGGATTCTGCGCTAGGGCTAGCATCATTCGTGCCTATGAAAAAGTGAAGAGTCTCGTCGATGCCGGCGCCAATGTCAATTCTCAGGATAATAGATACCAACCGTCGGCACTTCATCTTAACGTGGTGATGATTCACGTTGATGCCGGTGCCAATATCGATGCTCAGGACAGGGAAGGCACAACTCCATTAATTGAGGCATCAAGGATGGGCGATGATAAAGTGATGAAGATTCTCGCTGATGCCGGTGTGAAAGTTGAGGCTCTACACGAGGACTATGACCGAGCAATAATCGAGGCATGGCATCATGGCCATTACAAAGTGGTGAAGATTCTATTTAGAAAAGGTCGGTTGAGCATGCATTAGAATGCATTACTAAGGGGTGATGCAAGGGCAGTGAAGACACTCCTCGAGCCGGTGCCAGATATATAGGGACGAGGTAAGCAACTTGACCACATCTGGTTCCGAGTCTCCGTTGTCCCGTTTCGAGATATGAACAACAGCCTAGGCAATGGAATTGCCGATAAGCTGATCAGAGACAGGGCTTTGATACCTGCGTAGGCACAGGAAGATGTCTGGCTGGGAAAGTCGTATACCGGATCAGAATAGTGTCCCAACGAAAAGAGCCGGGGGGTTCAACAGTGTGTTGATCACGTGATATCAGTTACATAATCAACCCCACGGAATTGTCGCCGGAAATGTTCCGCCGCGACTTCGGAGGCGGCGAGGCGGCAACAATGCGGAGAAATCCCCTGTCAAGGTTCCAAAACAACCCTCATATATAAATCGGACTATTTCGAACCTCGCATCAGGCCTGGATGTCCTCAGTCACTCCTTCTCCTCACCAGAAACACTCCCGTCAATATGTCCGCCAAAGTTGCCCTGGTAACAGCCTCATCGGCAGGCCTGGGAGCCGCAACAGTCAAGGCTCTGGCCCCTTACTTCCGGGTAGTGGTGAACTACCACTCGCGGCAGGAGAAGGCCGACCAAGTGATCAAAGAAGCCTCTGCGATCCAGGCCGCCACGTACAGCGCGGAACAAGAGCAGCCGCGCTTCCACGCCATCAAAGCCGACGTGTCGAAACGCAGCGAGATCGAGCGGCTCGTCAACGAGACGGTCTCCAAGATGGGCCGGCTCGACGTCGTCGTGAGCAATGCGGGGTGGACCCGGCTGACCAACTTCTTCGACCTGGAGCAGCAGATTGTCGAGGACGACTGGGATAGGTGCTTCAACGTCAACGTCAAGAGCCACCTGTGGCTCCTCTATGCGGCCAAGCCGCATCTGGAGAAGACGGCCGACACCGAGGGTGTGGGCGGCGCGTTCGTCACCATTGCCAGTCTCGCGGGCGTCAGGCCCAGTGGGAGTTCCCTGCCTTATTCCGTCACCAAGGCGGCTGAGATCCATCTTACCAAGGGGCTGGCGCTGATTTGCGGGACGAAAGTCAGGTGTAATAGTGTCAGTCCCGGCCTGATGATGACTGAATGGTAAAGTTTGCTCTCTTTTACTTTCTCCCTCCTCCTCCTCTTGATCCTGCTCCTCCCCGTCCGCCGTCGTGTCCGGCGCTATGATGATCATGATGAGCAACCTAACTTTTTCTGTTCGGACCGCCAGGGGCAACCAATTTCCCGAGTCAAAAGTCAAGGCCACAGTCGACAAGGCTGCCTTGAAATCGACGGCCACGCCGGAGGACATCGCCGATCAGATCAAGACGCTGGTGCTGAGCAAGTCTATTACGGGGCAGAATATCGTCATGGATTGCGGTATTGCGATATGAGCAAGGGCCCCCCCCCTTTCCTCCAGAAATCAAACCTAAATGCCATCCATTTTTGGCTTCCTTCTGTTTCACCAGGCTTTCCAATTCTGCATCACGCGCGCCTCATCATCATGATATTGTTGGCATCACAGGTAGGTATCCGTGTTCCAACATGCCGAAAGCACACGCCCTGTATCAATCTTATCCCCGACTCTCGTCTTCATTTCCCCGGTAGAAACTCAGTCTGGGACTTGTCGATCGACCCTTGAACACGGAACCTCCCAAGTTTCATGCGCATCCATTCATGAGAAAGCGATCCCTGTGAAAATCCCGACTCCCTTCTCCACCCTCGCCCTTGGCCAGCATCATGGCATTGAAATATCTTTCCAAAACCCAATCAATCTTGCGCCGGATCCTCTCCGGAGAATCTCAATATCATCCCCATCTTCATCACAGGACCCCCCACTGTGGATGATGCTGTCCTTCTCGTCCCAAAGGCCCGTAACGAGGTCGTCTGGCCTCCTGTGCTCGCCGGCACTGCAGTCGCGGATTATTCCAGCGGTACAGGAGCAGGGGGTGGCGTGGCGCGGCGAGAAAGACCGGATGGCGGTAAGCAAGCGCGTCACCAGCCTCTGCACCTCGTCGCTGTTCAGTGAGATCCAGAAGTCCCCTGAAGGCACCGCGAGGTGCGGCAGCTCTGAGTTCGGTTTCAAGTCCCTCGAGGGCAGATGGACCGTGTTATCACGCTCCTGGAGATGATTACTGCCTGATCGAGTGCTTGTTCCTGTGCCTGCGCTCTGAAGATGTCAGCATCGATGGACCTCGCGCACTCGACAAGCTCGCTCAGCAGCCCCTGAAGAAGGCGGAGCGGATTTTGACAGTTTCTTTCGAATTCTGTTGGATGCCAAGTGAAGCGTGACCGCCTATGACCCCTGCGCAGAAGCGGCCGTTGATCAGATCTATGTTGGCTAGGAATCCGGAACTATTGTTCGACTCGCGGTACGTTTGGGAATGCTTCTATATAAGAGCCAATGCCGTCAAACGGGGTGGAAGAAAGCCGATGGAAACCGGGTAGGGTTGGTCCAAGTTTTCGACCAAACGCGCTTGAAAAGTTTGCACGTCAAGCACATGCTCGTTCATATGCGTCTGCAACTCATCTCACACATCAATCTCCTCGTTCACCATCTCCAGTATCCTCAACGTCTCCAGCGCGATTCGGCATCCTCGTTTGACAGCGTCCCTATCCCTCTTGCCGACCAAATCCGAATTCCGCACATTCTGTTTGATGAAGAATTGCAATCTCTTGACGATCTGTGGCGTCTCAGCTGCGCGCTCAAAGGCTTTGGTTAACGCATCCGGTTTGTCTTTTGCCTCGGTCATGATGATGATGAGCAATAGTTCCACAAACATGGCCGTTCGTTCCTTAACGTAGGCGAGTTCCAGGACTTTCAAGACACCAAGAGTTTCGGCTCCATCCAGGATCAAAAAGGCATATAGCCTCGCCAGGTTGGCTATCTCGGTCATTTCTACTTCATCATCTTCTTCGCTGGCGAAATCTTCCTCAGCGTCGTCTGCCCGAGGGGGATGTTCGCCCATTCTTCGAAAGAAATCCCACAACGCAAACTGAAAGGATTTGCGCATCTTCTTTTCCAGACACAGTTTCCTTGCCACGAGGGTGTAATAGTGGTTGTAAGGATTCTCACCTGCACTGCAGCGAAGCAGGACTTTGGGGATCTCTTGTTCTTGGGTACGTTTAAGACGGAGCTTCAGAAGGCGCAGGTGAGCGTCTTGATAGTCTGCGGCGGATAGAAGGGCGACAAAGATGGCGCGGCGGATGTCTGTGTTCATTCCGTAGTGGCGGGAAAGCGCGAGTAGGTCCACTGAATCATCGTCATCAAGTCCCAGACTGGTCGTCGGTATCGAGGTATCGATGGCTCCTTCGGCTGGCGCTGTCGCAGGATCATGACCTTTCCAGCTAGCTCCAACTAGCCACCATTTCCCCTTCCTGTCGCTATTCTTAATATCCTCCCTTGTGATTCGCAACGGCTCAGAGGCCCTGACGGTGCGGTTGTTGTTCAAAGAACCCAGTACTTTCCGCATTAGCGTAATGTGTTCACTTGCTAAGCCTGCGTTGTTCGTCGCAGCCTTCATCTTATTGTTCTTCAAGTCCGTAATTGTCTCGATCATGAACTTCGTCCTGACGCTCATCTGTTCTCCTGCCGAATTCATCCGCGCCGCTTCCTTCTGCATTGTTTGGACAATAGCTTTGAGAGAGGACGGATCATCTTGCCTCAATTGGTGGCCGCAGTCCCGGACTAGCCGCAGCAGCAATTCCGTGTTGTCCTCGCTTAGTCGCTCGAGCAATAGTCGGATGTAGTCAAAGACTATAGTGCTGCTGATTAGGTGGAATGTGAACAGATTGGAGAGAAGGCTTATCAAGTTTAGTGCCTCTTTACCACCAGCCGCATCGCTGCGGTACTGATCAAGTCGATCGACCAACTGTGAAAGCAGTTCCGCGCCAAAATCCACGCCAATAACTTTGTACACTGCAGTCGCATATGCGGCGTGTAGGATGACGAAGGTGTTCTGGAGAGCTGACTTGTTGCAGAACAAGTTCAAAACGAAATCGATCAGGACGGACGTGACGTCCTGCCTCGGGTTGGATTGGTAGAGCTTCTCGAGCTCTCCCAGTATCGACACGAGATTGGCCTCGGATAGCTTATTGAGGAGGCCCTGAACCTGCCTTTTCAATCTTTCCAACGAGGCACTCTCGGAATTTTGTGCTTTTCTCAATGATGGCGGAATGTATTTCCCTGCGGGCGTTTGGGAGACTGGAGGCATGTAAGGATTTTCTCGGACCCTTTTTGACGGGACCTTGGAGAGTTCTTGCTCTGATTCGAAGCCTTCGAAAGAATCGTCACTTTCTGGCTCCAGATCCACATCAGACTGCTCCTCGTCGGATCCCTCTTCCAGGTCCTCATGCAGCAGATCGTCACTCTCTCGTAGCACTTCATCAAATTCGTCATCGTCGTCACTCTCGCGGTCAAATCCAGACTCGTCCTCATCGGACCCATCTTCCTCAATGTCAGGTTTCCTTCTCTTACTGTCCAACCACCCCTCGCCTTCACTCTTCCTCTTGACACCCAGATCCTCTCTGTCCAGCCCCTCCAGCAATTCATCCAACCCGTCGTCCACAAAAGACTTTGGCACTTTTCTTTTCTTCAACCCGAGCTTTCTTTCCAGCGCCGCAATCTCTGCATCATCCTGTGCGGCTCGCTCTTTAAATGCTTGGGAATTGGCGTCAAGGACAAGACCGGGAGAGGAAGACCGTGAGCTCGACCGAGAAGATGTTTCAGATGGGGATGAGGATGGGGTCCTAGACTTTTTGAGGATCGATTTCAGCTTCTTGGGCTCTGCATCCCTGGCCTTCGGCTTGACAGCTTCTTGCTTCAAGGTGATAGGTGCGAGGTTAGGGTCGTCGGAGTCATCCCCATCAACGTCTCCGTCAGAGAGCTCCTGCTCTATAATCGGATGTCTCCTCCGTGTTCCTGCGCCCCGGATATTCTGTCTCCTCTCCTGTCGTTGGGTTTTGCGCAGCTCTTTCCTGCTTTGCACCGAACCATGGTGCCGCCGGCCGCCTCCAGCACTCGGTCGGCTCCCTTCGAGCCCAAGCTCCTTTTCAAGGGCAAATGGCAGTTTTATGCCATTTCTAGCCCGTGGGTTCTGACGCGACATTGATTCCGGGGCATAGAGCTCAAAGGGTCCCTACGCTTATGGCTGGAGATTTCAGTAATGGACTTTGTAGACGGCACCAGGGATTAATTTTCTGGAAAATGCGGAGATGGTTTAGCCGATGTTTAGGCGATAATTTTCCAGCATCGCTCGCGGCTCCCAAGGCCCCCACCAAAGGACAATTTGGCAAAGCGACTCACTTTCACTTTTGCCAGGCAACAAACATGTCGCAGGAACGTCTTAGCAATGACGAGGTAATTATATTCTCCCTCAGGCTACAAGACATGTCTGACTTGAATTCACGCAGTTCTTTTCCCGCCTCACCACCCTTCTCTCATCAACCCACGCCGCCACTCACGGCTCCGTCTATCTCACACAAAAGCCCTTGAAACTCACTACTGACCAAGCACCCTCGCCTTCACCCTCATCGTCACAGATCCTCATCCGCGCCTCGAACGGCCTCTCAAAACCACACCGGTTGGCCGCCACAAAAAGGTTGAAGTCTGGAGAGGCAAAGAAGGAAAAGGTGAAGTTTGCGACGGTGGTGGAGATTTCAGAGTTGGAGGCGTTTTATACGAGGTATGCGGAGATATGCAAGAAGGGGATGGAGGGGTTGAGGAAGAGGGATAAGAAGAAGGCCAAAGAGAAGGCAAAGGCGAAGAAGAAAGGAAAAGTTGGAGCGGCTGGTGGTACTGGTGGTGCTGGGGAGAAGGCTTCCGGATCGTGAAGGGAACGAGGTGTTTCGTTCCTTTAATGGACGATAGGAAGTCTATCTCTCAGCGCAGAACCTTAGTCAAGGGCGAAAAGGAACTAAATGTCCTGTGTCACAAAATCGCCTGCTGCCGGTCGGATTTGATCAAACCGTGAAGGCGAAGGCAATGTCGTAGACATAATGCAAACGGACGGGGCAAACGAGAGGAGCACGAAGCCTGTCTGGTGCAGTTGGGACGTCCTAACCCCGGGGCCGATGGCCAGTCTCCTTCTTCAGCGAGGCGGGACAGGGCGGGACCAGGACTAGACCGGAAACTGTCTATCTGACCTTGCTCATCAACATGCATGAGACAGGCTTAAAGGCGAAGGAAGATTGTCCCATGTTTGTGACGCGAGGGCTGCAAGACAAACATCGCACAGACAGAAAGCAACTTGAGACAGGCGAATATCATTCAATTCCGCCATCAAAGCGTGAAAACTGGTGGTATCATCAAGCAAAAAGCAAAAGTTTCACGAACTTCCCACAATCTTTTTACATAGGGACCCAGTCATTGCTATGGTCATGAAGGAGCGCCTTGCTCGAATATAAACCTCTCCCGTTGATCAATACCTGGCAGATGGATCTGAATGTACTTATTTCCCACGGGGTGATGACTGCCTGGTCTCAGCAAACTCCATCAGGCACAAGATACCTAATCCAGATCGAATATGGAGTCTGCATCGTCAACTTTCGTCGTCATAGCGCTCGTTGTGCCGGGAGTCATATTCGGATCTTGACTTTTCGTCCGCCCTCTGATCGGCACTCCAAAGTCATCTTCTTCTTCGCTATCATCCCTTGGCGCCGGAGGTTGGTCTGGGAAACTTGTCCTCCTCCGATGTGTTTCGGGTCTGCGAAACAACTCGCCACTAAGTAGATCACTCACCGTGGCACCACCGGCGATGCGGGCTAGAATGTGGACCAGCAGAACAACCGCTTCGATTGGCTTGACCAACGCCACGTTAGCGGCTTTCTGGAGAAATTCGGCAGTAAAGGGGCTTCCATAATTTGTTGGGGAGGGAGAAGATGATAGTAAGGTCGTGGACGGCGGGAGAGGAGAAAAGGATCGTTTGATGTTCAAGCGCCGTCTCAATCCTTCTTTGGGAGGTGAGGATGGGGGTGTATGAACCTCTGGCCAGGATGAATCGGACATGGAAGATTGCGCGAGACCTGGAGTTGAAGACTTGTCCATTGAATCGCTGGTTGAGGGCCGTTTCTTAGGACTCCGTTCGGATTCCACAGTGGATGCCGTGATCGTAAGCTCCGAAAGACCTCTTTGGTGCTGATTTCTATTCAAAAGGAAAGGAGTGAACTCTTCCGCATGAGGCGCTTGGTCAAAGTCGATGACTTGAACACGTTCATTAAGCGGTTCTTGTGTTGCAGAATCTGTCGTGTAGAAGGACTCCACACTCGACACCCTGCTAAGAGCACCCTCGTTCACGACGGCGACCACTTCATGCGCCTCAGAATCCTCTTTCTGGTGTAATGACGGGGGTTCCCCGGTGTCCTCTAAAGCAGCTGTTGAGGCCGACTCTTTCATGGCCTCTACCCCTGCGCCGTCGGTCAATGGCTCAATTGTTTGTGAGAGGGCCATCCCAGATTCGGCTTCAGTGGACACAGATGTTAGGCCCGCTGGTTCCGACTTGTGGGAAGCTATATCCACGGAAGCTTCCTTATTATCCTCACGATGCCCTTCTGCCTGTGCTTCCGCATGTTCCATAGCTGGGCAGGTCCTCTCGTGACGGGCCTGATTTTCCAAGTTCTCCTCTGCTGGCTCTCGTACATTTGCATCGTCCGATATTTCGCCCACAGCGCCTGGTTCGGACTGTATTGAAGTCGCCTTCACTTCAATGCCTGGTTCTGCTCCAGCTCCGACCGTTGAACGATCAGCGAGCTGCGCAGGTGATACATCATCCATTGCTTCAGGTCGACCGCCTTCGTATTCGGATGGAGATGACTGGTGCAGGCACGATGGTGCTTCACCGGTGATAGGCGGCCGCTGCGGTTGCAAAGCATCATCTGTACTTTTATCAAGCCTCTGCCTGAAATTAACTACCTCATGATCCTCCTCGTGCTGCAGTCCATCCTCGCTTGACTCGTCATACTGTCTCCTTTCATGAACGTCCTCACTAGAAGCCACACTAGATGGGGTGGAGGACCGATAGCCATCGATTGCCGGGCGGGACCGAGACGAGCTTGGGCTTGGACTGTAACCGTAGTCTGACCCACGGCGCCCATAAGTCTGAACGGATGTCAAGCCGTTCTGTCCTTGGAAGCTCCACGATCGTGGATTCCTCGTCCTTCCCACCGGCAACGGGTCGGTGTTTGGCGTCACCGGTTCTGGTTGCTGTTTTCTTTTCCATGTACCCTTCCTTCGAGGCGTTATTGCATCGTCTGGAAGATCCACGTGAAATGCGCGCTTGAAAGGACATGGGGTCCTTTCAAACCGGAGTACTTTTGGCAGCGCGGTTTTTAATTCCTCGACCTTCTTCTTGTCCTCTTCTGTTTCCGAGGGCAGCTCGATTCTGTAATATCTGAACTTCCCTATGCGCAAGACGAATTTCGATTCGCCGTCGACACACCAACACTGCGAATTACGCATGATGGTGTGGATGACCTTCTGATCGGCGGATTTAAGGAAATAGCTGGAACCACGGACCTTCTCTATTACTATAGGCCCGGTGGAGGCCAGGATCTCTGAGCGCGATCGCCATGGCAGGGTCTCTACCGTATCAATGGGGTAGTCGGCATCGGGCAATGTCTCCTTGCTTTGTGGAGGGATTGACTCCTTAGGCGGGGAGAAGGCGATGATGCGCGCAGAGGGATGGGAGTATAGGATATCGGCATCGGCGTCTGATTTGTCCAGGCCAGCTTTTTCATGAAGGGAGAGTGCGCGAGAAGGGACAGTAAAGGACCTGCGGTAACTTTGGAGGGGAGGAGGCTCGCCGTAGGATGGAGGTGGACTGGCCATACTGCATTTTCACAGGCTGCAAGGATCACATAAAGATGTTGTCAGGGTGGAACTGGGTTCCAATGGTGAAGATGGTAGGAATGAGGCGGACTTTGGCAATGTTGATGCTCATCACTGCTCTAACAAACCTCGCAAGATCGAATAAGCCACAGCGCCTAGGATTACTGTGGTACCTCGCACAGAGGAGCAGCCACATGCCGTCGGAGAGGGAACCGGCGAGCTCGCCCACAACTACTAGTGTCTTGGCGCCATGAGGCTGGAAACTTCACGTGATCCGCACGCCATCGAGCCACGATCTCCTCCCACCTCCCCAAACCTTCTGGAACGCGTCGGCCCAAAGCCTAGCGGTAGCAAACATCTTGCGACACTATGGGAGATGCAGGCCGCTCCACGTATCGACGCAGCAGTTCGCAAACCACGTTGCTGCCATTGGATCATGAGGCTATGCAGTGGATATTCTTGTGCACAAGGCTGATATGCTGCATGGCGCTCCGCATGCGACGACCAATAACGCGTAAGATTCCTGTTCTGGGATTAATGCCTCGACGTCTTGCACCTTCAGCTCGTCGACATCTCTTCTTGCAATTTGAACCTCGCACCACTGAAATATCATGTCTTCGCTCGCTTCTCAATATGCTCATGCGAGCCGCAGCAACACACGTCGACGCTGGAAGAGGCAGGTCCAAACATTTCGCATTGACATTCAAATTCATTAGCCGCGGGACCTATGCCCGACGAGGCCACAGATGCTGGCATGCTCCAAGGGCGCGTTCGTTGCGACTCTAACACGTTGAAAGCAGCTTTTTCCATCTTTGCAGGTAGCCTCGTCCATCTGTCATCTAGGTATGTTGCCTTCAACTCATCTGGCGCTGGAACTCTCCTCTCTTTGGAAAGTCTATGCAAAGCAACGACTATATAAAGGAGCACTTTTCTTCAAGTATGCCAGCCTTAACATCTTCAGACTACCTTTTCTGTGAGCATAAGTACCCCCTTCCAATTCACCATACCGCGAATTCGTGCATCGAGCCAATTCAGCTCTTTTGTTTTTGGTAATGGCTTCCAACGGGTCATCAAGCAGCCCTGGAGGCCTCCCTCCACTTCCGTCACGCAGCAAGGCGAAGGGATACAGGGGCCATGTCGTGGCACCCGCCCAGTCGACCGCAAATCTCCGCCAAGCCCAAGCCACAACGCTCCAATTCGAGAATGACACCGTCAATTGGCTCACTTATGAGTCCATTTATAATATGACGAGGTTTGGTTCTCACAGACAGCATGTACAGCCATTTGGCCAGCGGCTAATCTCGCTCTAGTACACTCATACGGACGAGGTGCGCCCCATGGGCGTTTACAATATGCCTCTCAGCAATCTAGGCATCATGGCCGCTAGCAATGTCGTCGATGTGGACACAAAGTTGAATTCCTTGAGGGCAATTTTCTTCCCCTCGGAGTCGTTGTCAAACGAGAACCTGAAGCTGCTGCTCTACAGACCGTGGGATTCTAACAACCCGTCCTACGATGCCGAATGGAATGGAAAGCTTCCTGGCATTGTCAAAAAGATCGAAGATGAGGCCGAAAAGAAGAGTCAACACCCTCCTCGAGCCCGTCTCCCTGCGAGTATTCTGTTCATAATTCAAACTCAAACAGAACTAGCCCCATCCAAGTACAATGTGGTCAACAATGACGTCTCGGCAAGATGCTTTGGTATGCGCCACAAAGATTCGCCTGCTGGTGTTGATCCTCTCAATGACAAAATCCCGCCGGAAGACCAGACATGGCAAATGCGGCAGACAGCCTCCAGAAGTTGTTTCTCAGGACCAACACCCCCCGGCACTTCTCTCCCAACTGGTCTCAGCCCCGCTACGGACAACGGGAGGTGGAATTATGTTGATCGCAAAGAGAATGTAGTCCCCGGCGGCGCCAAGAAGCCATCCGCCACTGCTTGTGACATTCGTCGGAAGGATCAATGCTATTCCGTCAAGACAGGTATGCTCCGGTGGCCAAATTCCTTGAACCTGTGTTTTTAATTATTCGGCAGGAATTGTTTTTGTTGGGAAAGACAATCAAGGGGCAAGCAAAGTCAAGAACTTGGGTAACAAAGCTACGCTGGAACCAGATACGGTTGTGGCCACTCTGCGTACCGAGTTCTTGCTGGCCATGGATCGTTACTACGAGACCCGAGGCGTAAAAGTCCAAGTCACAGACGCCAAGAAAGCACTGGTCATTCTTCCCTAGGCCTTGACAGCTACCTGTCTAAAGTCCACTCTCGTGGAGGACAGTATCCCAGTGGAGGTCAAGAATGACGGATTTCAATTCCGTGACCTCAGTCGCTTGGATCCAGCGATGCGCTATTTCCCTGCTCTGAGCATGCCCTACGTGAAGGGAAATGGCAATCTCACGACTTGGCAACCCCAGCAGGAACTCAGTGGGAATGATTTCCAGGCTTGGAAAACTTACTGGTCGACGAAATACGCCGCCCGCATCGGCGAGACCAAAGCACTGCTGCATCTTCTGTACGGCTTTGCGCCTCTCACCTCGAACATGCAGAACTTTGTGCTCGAGGTGGACCCGAAGGACCCAAAGACGCTCAAGCGGGCGGTTCTACTGGATGTGCTGGACTTCCGTTTGCACACGAGCTGGGTCCGTCTCGCACTGAGCGCCGAAGGTGGGCAGGAGAAGGCGCTGCAGACATCTCTGTGTGATGTCAACTCGCCGCTCAACCTAGACCCAAGCCTTCCCGATCGGATCAAGAATTTTTCTCGTACGAGGTCTCGACAAAGGCACCTACGTCTGAGTCAGAGGACGTGAAGATGCTGAGCACCTCAGAAACGGGAGCCTACGCTCCCCTAGATCCAAACCACATTATAAAAGTCCAGCAAACCCAGAACAACACCACGGTCGAAGTTGAACAGATCAAGGAGGCCAAACCGAGCGAAGTGCTCTAAGAAAGGGAGTCACGCCACCCTCTCAGTGCGAGCCATTTTAGAGCATGATGTACTGACGGCCCGCAACTAGACTCCAGTTCTTCAGTGGGCTACAACTCAACTTTTTCGTCTACTCTGCACCTTATCGCGGCGACCGAATCGCCGCCCAGGACACAGATCCCAAAGAGTGGAAGCGATCTTACGCTGCGATGCTGGATTGGGGCCTTGTGCATGCCATGGCGTTCGTCGATACTGTCAATAAATCGAACACTCACAGACTACCCTAGCATACCCGTGAAGCTCAAGTACCAAGGCAAGGAGCCCAAGGAGTATGCAGGCAAGGAAATCACGAAGGAGTTTCTGAGCGAACTAAAGGTCAATGACTATAATAAGACAGTGGAAAATCCTTATCCCCGAGCGACCACTATGTTTTCGCTTACAGGTTTGAAGGCCCAACTCGACAAGACGAACAGTCGCGAGGATCTGGGAGTGATGCACAAGCAATTTGCGCGTGGGACTTTTTGGTATCGGGCATCACTGAGGACGCAATATACAAGGACTCTTTCGTTCGGAAAATCCTGCGCGATTTTCTCCGAGAAAAAACAAGCACAAAGTGAATGAATTGCGATCTGGTGATGCTGACGTCCAGCCCGTTACTGCGTCAATAGCTCTCTCAGTATTATGTAGTGACTGATGTGGTTAGTGACTGATGTGGTTATCAGAAGCGTCAATCCGCGTTCATTTACATATTATCAAGCCACATACACCACGCTGTTATAGGCTCCAGGTTGTGCAGAGAACGAGTACGTGTAGCGATTCTCCCACCTCGGCGGCGGGACGGTTAGTGTGCTTCAACTGTCATCGGAACATGGTTGTTCCAGTCCTTTTAGGTGCAGCTCGGCAGGCACGAACAACCTTAGTTTAAGCTTACTTTACGTTGTCCAACTGTCACAGGTTTACTTGAATATCCAGAGCACTCATCGTGTTCGTGCCGTCCCAATGCAGCTCAGCCCTGCTAGAGCTCATCGACTCAGCCAACCAACAAGTCATTGCCCACAGCGCCAGATGATGTGTCATTGGGCGGCAAAGCGACACATCACATGGCCGACAGACCGCCCGCCCAGTGGTAGGCCACTCAAAGTAGGCGACCGGTGAGGGCGATGCGACTGAATGCAATGGCAGGCCGTCCGATAATAGGCCGGCCCGTGATGCGTTAATACCTGCATATTAGCGGCAGCATCAGCGGTACCAGCAGTGGTTATACCTGGTACCTAGCTTCGTGAATAATATACCTATACGAGGTACAGAGTAGAACGTTGACCGACGACAACGGCCTGTAAAGGGAGGGCAGAGGGCTAGTGGGCTGCGCTAGAGCGAACTAATTCGGCATAGCGATCGTCATATTAGTACAGTATGTTTTAGTGTAGCGGCCCAGGGGGTGGCCGTATGTATAAGGGAACTACCTAAGCGGAATGCAATGGCCTTCAAATTCTTCGTTCCTGTGCAAGTTTCGAAATTCTATGTTCGTTGGCGGACTTTTCTGTGTACATAGCTGAGCAGCGGGCTCATGTTGGTCCGTGCACAGATCAAGTTCGCGTTGTGGCTTGCCTAGGGGTGAACTTCAGCTTCAGCGGCGGCAATGTCAGTGTGAATGTGTCGAGGACCTCAGTGTCGAACTTGACGCCATCTTCCCCGTCGGCAAATGCAATGTCGAAGCTCAGAGCAGCACGTGACAGGACCATGCGAAGTTCCATCATTGCAAGCTGCTTCCCTACGCAGCTGAATGCCCCTATTCTCACGAATTAGCACCCCGTGATCCTACGCAGCAGGGAGGGCTCGAAATTGCAATCCTGGAGATTTTTCGAACGTACCTTTCGAAAACGGGAAAAAGGGCACTTTTTCCACGCTGATCTGTCCCCATCTCTCGGGGATAAACTCCAAGGGTCGCTTAAAATACCGGGCATCTCGCTGCAGTGTGTGCACGGGGACGCCGACGACAGTGTCTCCGGGAATGTACACCTCGTCAATCTGGAGCCCTTGCGGAGGCGTGATTCGAGGAAGACCACCTGGCACAGGAGGTTTGAGGCGCAAAGATTCGTTGATGATGTTGTCCAAGTACGCAAACTTGGCCTTTTCGTACGTCCAATCTTTCTCACCCTCGGGAAATATGGTGTCGAGCTCTTTCTGAAGTTTTTGCTGCACGGCCGGATTCTTTGCCAGGTAGAAAAAGGTGTTGGCGAGAGCGGCGGCGGTTGTATCACTGTCAAAGCATTAGAAAACAGGACTGCGCTCAGGGGCACCGCAAGTTGGTGAACGATGGTGGCATACCTTCCAGCAATGATGATGAGGCGAGTGTCCTCGCTCAGTGCGAAATCTGATGGCGGTGCGGACTGGTCGTTCTCGTACTTGGCCTTGATCAACCAAGAAATAACATCACGAGGCTCTTGGTCCTTGCCCGTGGACTGAAAACGACGAAATACAACGCGTCAGCGACTTTCACAAAGCTCCTAGATTTGGCGGAAGATGGTCACTCACCCTCTTCTTCTCTTCGAGCTGATCCCGGCAGTATCCCATAAAGTCCTGAAAGGTACCGGCGATTCCGGGAATGGCACTGAAAAAAGCAAGGAGCCAGGGGAGGGTACCAAGAGTGCCGATCGTGATCATTTGGTCATGCAACCCCTTAATGGCTTTGTGTTCACGGCCGGTGGTAAGCATTTCAAAATCCTTGCTCAACCCGATGTCGCCCATGACATCAAAAGTGTAAAACATTGACCACTCAGTGATGTTCATCGGCGAACCTGCTGACGCAGCTATCCGAGATAACAAGAGATCTGTTTTGGCTTTGACGCGGGGCTCGTATGTTGAGATTGCTATCAGAACAAAAATTAGCATCTGTAGGCTAACGATATGAATAGTGAGCCACCTTTGATGCTAAAGCCGCGGTCCCAGGCCCGTCGCCTTTGTCGTTGGATGTGCATATCGCGTGTCGAGTTGATGGAGGTCTTGTTGATGTCGTCTGATACTTGGCTGTACCAGGGAGACTTCGGCAACTTGGAAGGAGGTCCATACACGAGTTCAATGGCTGAGGCACGATTGATTGAGATCTCGCGAGGACCTGGGGGCAAGCGTCAGCAGTGCACCTCCAAAGGGACGATCACGTCCTGCGTACCGATCCGAACGAAGTCTCCGTACTGCTTGTGCAAGGCCTCCACTTCGTAATTGAACTGGACTTTCTTCATAGATCTTTTCAGAGCCCAAAATCGAGATAGCTTCGCCCCCCAGGGACCAGGAAACTTCCTCAGCCGGTGGAAAAACAGCCGATAGATGGCAATACTGCCATACACGCCGACGAGGAACGCGCCATCCACGATGAAAAGTCTGAGCGCTCCCGCAAGTATCCCATGTTGTCCGACAAAGGCGTAGCCAAAGAAAGCCGCGGTATTGAAGCCAGAGAAAAGAATAAGGAGTGTCCATACTCGATTGTCGATCTCGATTGGGCGTATACTGTGGTGGAAGATTATCCCCAACACAAAAGCGGTCGCAGCAGTAACTCCGAGCTCGACGTTCAGGGCATATCTGAGGAGGTTTATGGTCCCTGGCTCAACCTCCATGCTTGGGCGAAGGACTCCCCCGGGAGGAATATGTCAAGGAGGAATCAACTATCACACGCGAAAAAGGAGAAGCGGTAGGGTCTGAAGGGTACCAGGGGAACATGCCGGGTAATAAAGCGTATTGAGACGGTGATCTCGACAAATGATAGATGCTGCCAGGAGGGCTCCACGAGTGAAATGCATCCTACCGAGATCTATCTTTCGAATGCCACATCAGCAAAGAGATACCGGAGGACATCCAATTTGCTGATATCTCAGTGGCTCCGACTCACCACCATGGGATCGACTTCGCTGGGCGAGTCGAGTGGTCGGGGTACTGCCTGACTGGTGGTATGTTAGTATGTACCTAGGCAGAGTTTTACTGGGCCCAAAAGAGGGTCCCGAGCTGGGCAGCAAATGGCCCGCCTAGTCTGGGTCTCGCTTTGCCAGGCAGGGGCACAGACGGGGTCAAGTCTAGACTTTGAATATTGACGATCTTTGGTTCCAACGGCACAGTCCAGAGACGTCTAAGTAAGTACGTACGGAGTATGACTTACACCATCCATGTGTAGGCTGTCCGGGTTGTGGGGTCGCGCATTCTTCATGTGCTTCACCACCGTTGCGAGGTTTGCAGATCTCGATTGATGCTCGTAAAAGAAAGGTGGTCGTTAAGGCGTTTATGTAAGTGGTCTTATTCCCATACCAGCGTGGGAACGGAACCGCTCTGTCGCAGTTAATTCAGATTTGTCGTTAGAGTCGGAGGCTTGGAGACAGGGATATGGATTTTAAGTACTTAATGTGCAATGGCCTCCATGGAGAACCAGGTTAGATGTTGGGCTTGCCTGCCTCGCGTGCTGCTGGCCCAGTCGGCTGGCGAGTGACGGTCCATTTTGCTTCTCCTAGGGCGGAATTTCATACAAATGCGCAGAGGCTCAACGCACATCAAACAGGACTTCGAAGGCTTGGACGGAGAAGGCCGGGGAATTGAGGGCCATTGCGTCTCCTCCTTCGCTGATCAGTGGAGTGCATTAGTTGTATAAGTAGGTATACCTAGCCTTGGGCCACGTCGATTAGCCCACCGTAGTTGGCAAGCTTTCAAAAGAAGATTCTGTTTTGTTCAGCACACTCCGTACAATACCAGGTGGTCGTGCTCGGGGTAGTCCTCCCAGGTATTTTGCTTGTCTCCCCTTGATGTTCCATCCAATATCACGATTGTGAGTTGGGCGTTGAATCCAGGAGGTCCACGCGTAACCATCTCCACTGTTGTACCGTATTATGTTAGTTTATGCAGATCACAACGCTCGGCGCCACTCGCTTCGAGCATGGGAGATGATGAAGGGGCCCCGAGGGCTTGGACACGATTTAAGACCGACTCTGCTTGCTTCACGCTTGCTGACGGTAAGTCACAATATAGGGCTCCATGTACTAGAGGGGAAAGAACGTAGGTCGAAAGGTCCAAAGATTGATTGATTGTATCCTTGGAAGAGAACTACCTCGTAGTTAGAGGCGATATTTGTGGGAGGAAATGCTACAGTGACAGTCATGTGATCATCGGCCAACCTTCCCTTCAAAGTCGGGCCCAGTCTTCTTCAGAGGACACACCAACGGAACGTCCCCGACGAAACGACACATCTTGATCTTGTTAGCTTCCTGTTGATCTTTTTATGGAGGTCGCGAAGGACCACATTTTAGCTCCAGCAATACGCAAATAACGCCATTCCTGCAACGACGTTGACCAGAATGGCTGCCGTTGGATCGTGGCAACGTTGGCGCGATTTCCTGCTCCGCGGCCCGGCTCGCCTCAAGTTGATGCCATCAAACTGTCCAACGTATCCCTGCCGTACAAATAACCTTCCAAGAGGATGATTGGATGCAAAGGCTTCCAGTCCGGCTCGTATTCAGGACCAAGTCACACGAAGAAAGCACCATTGCAAAAGTCAAATCCGGTCATGTTGAATACCCCCATTTTCTATCGCCATTTTCCAGAATCTCCCCCCGAAAGGGGAAGTATCGCTTATTCTGGGCCGTTTCAAGACTTGGGCCTACTGAATCCGGATCCGCGTTCCCAGGGCCTCGCCTCTACCTAAGTACACCCAAGCCCTTCTGGCTGGCACGAATGTTTCTCGACGGGCAATGGGCTTTTGTCGATCACTCACTCTGCTGAGGATACATGCAAAACCTCCTTCCCCAGGCGCCCTTGTTCGCGTTTCATCCTCTTTTGGTACTCTCGCACCGAGTATGTCCCATCCTTTCCCCTGTCCATCCATATGCTCCATTCTGCACCTGTGCGCAATGTAAGAGCAAAGCCAGGGATCCCTGCCCGTCCGGAAAAATTCTCAACAGCTGGCCTCATAGCTTCTGTGTGTATTTTGGGATTGCGTTCTCTGTCTATTCCCACATATTGAGTTCAAATTGCTGTTTGTACATCAGGCAGAAGGCGTTTTTTTTGCCCGTTGCTTCTTCCTCGATAGTTGTGACTGAGCCACGATCTCTACCAGCTCGATAATAGCTCTAACTTCAGTTATAGAGACGTTTCTGAGCACCAACAAGGGCTTGCATGAGTATCCTCTACTGCGCACTATCCCAGCCTTGTTGGCCGTTTCTTCAGGCCCAAGCGGGGAGTGGCAGGCATTCAAACCCAATTTGCGTCAGGGTTTAGGCTCTTTCTGAACAAATTTTTCGCCCTCCCCAATTTTCTCTATTAGGACGATTAGAACTGGGTCAAGTTTCTGCGAACTTGCAGGTTCCCTCCGGTGCAACGGTTTTTGGGTCCCAGGAGTGTGATCGACGCTCGACGATCTTTCAACGACCCACGGATTGAGCCTTGTCCAGGTATTCCCCGAGGATATTTCTAGGTTATAGTGTCTCTTCATCTCAAGAATATATAGACTGATGAACTGTCATCGGGAGACTTCAAGCCTGCCGCCCAGAAAGGCTTCCTGTCAACGGCGCCGCGTGACCTGAAGAACTTGATTTGATATCCTTCTTCATTCAAAATGGTTCAGCCACACAGCCTGCAGTTGATCTGCCACGTCGTTATCAATATTCTTTTCGCCATTGGCGAAGGAAGCATCCTTCTCCGACTATGGACAAGAGGCGTTATTTTGAAACAGCTGGGCTGGGATGACTGGGCGATGTTCTTTTGCCTTGTATGAACCTCTCACTTCTGCCTTGATCGATGTCCGGACGAGAACTAACGCAGTGAAGTTCTTCAACGCTGGTCAACAAGTGATATTGTATTTGTTCCTCAATCACGGCGGTGGCCGGTAAGGTTCATGGTTCAGCCGGGCTTCGTCTGTGTTTGCTGATATCCCCCTACAGACAAATGCAGGAAGTCCTGGCAGACGACCCCAACAACCTGACTGTCTTGCTGAAGGTCAGTTTCAACTTGACGCTCTCGTTACAACCCCAGCTAAACATGTGTGTTAGGTGCTCTTTGCCGAAGAAATATACTACATCTGGATGCATTTCTGGATCAAAATCTGCTTCCTGCTCTTTTACCTCCGTCTAGCCAGCGCGAGAACGTTCCGGATGCTGGTCTACTGCACGATTGGACTGACCGCTGCAATCACCGTCACCATTTGGCTGATATATTGCCTTCAATGCAAGCCTCTACAAGCCTTTTGGTATCCAACTCTATATCCCACGGCAAAATGTCTTCCGTCAAAAGTGACATACTTTGTGCCAGGAAGCTTAGTAGGTCGACATCTTCAGAAGACGCGTGGTCTTTCCATGGGCTGACAATGACGATTATAGGAGCTCTTCCTCGATTGCATCATCCTATTCCTTCCAGTCACCGTGTTTTGGGGCCTCCAGATGACCTGGCGCCGACGACTTGCCGTGTACTCAGTCATCACGATGGGAGGAATTGTTGTTGTCGTGTCCGGCCTGCGACTGATCGTGGTCAATCAATTTGCTACCAACCCTGATTTCACCTACATTCTCGGACGGATGATCCTCATCTCAGCAGTCGAAATCCAAGTTGGCATATTCGCCGCAAATATGCCGGGCATCAAAGCATTTTACACAATTTGGAGGAAAGGCGAACTATCTTCTAATGGAACAAAGAAATCCCAAGGTAGTGCAGGCGTTGTCAGCAGCGGCCAGGCACATCAGCTCGCGACGCTCTGGAACAAGCGTAGTGACAAGAACAAGACGGTCGAGGATGACAAGACCACTGATGGTGATGGCGACGGCTCTGAGCGCCGCCTTACTCGGGCAAGGTCGTCCGAAGAGTTGTCTACTGCGGGTGGAAAGGGTACGATCACCGTCGCCACAGAATACAGCGTGGCAGAAGATGAAGAGTATAGACGTCCACGGCGACACTCGCACTATCACAACACAGTCCCGGGCAATTTGAAATGAACTCTGAGTTCAGCGGTGAGAAAGAGCCTGATGCAGCAAGTCGTGACAATACAGAAACTTGGGACGAGCACACCTGGAGCCGATCAGCGACAGCTACATTACCAAGTATTAGCAGGATAAGGATATCGAAGATGGAGACCTATTCAACTTCACGGCGGGAGGGTCGATAGCAAAATGTAAATTAGGGATATACCGACCAGCGTGTTGGCTCCAACAGTCCCCGCAAGGTGCCGCAAGCCCTCTTGAGGCGAGAAAAGGTGTTACAAACTAGCCCTTCTGCGGCTAATTGGGTCCAAGGGCTGGCGGCAGACAAGGGACCGGCAGGTGTGGAAAATCAGCAAACAATAGAAAATCATGTGATGGTGCTCGAGTAAGTCAAGCAGTCAATACAACACGCGTGGTGGTAAGGCCACTTCTCGGTGCTTGCAGTAGAAACAGGGAGCATTCCATCCCTTTCCGCGCGCCAAGTCTGGGGAGCAAGAAAAGCTCCTCTGTTTCTGTACTACACAGCATCTGGCCTACTTGTCATTGATACCGCACTGTCCGCCCCCCTCGAGATCCAGTCTTCCACGAGCAGCAACGAGTATACTCGTGGCTGGGGAAAGGGACCTCACAACGATGGCTCAGAGCTTCCCTCATACGGTGCCAAACTCGATCCTGCGCCGAGTGACTGACATGGCATCACCAGGTGTGGCTTATGCGCATGGCCTGTAATGCTGCTGGTATCTGCCGGTTATCGGACATTGCAGTCCGAATCCTATTTCGAAAGGCTATACCGAGATATAATGGTAACTTCTATCGTCAGAGAAACTGACATTTATAACAGCTATTTACCGCAGTATCCGCCATCAACAATCAGACATGCCCCTGAGGTGAAAGTATTTGATGGAGCGGCCAGAAAGAGCATCGCGGGTACCAGATCTCGAGGTTCACCCCATCTTTGCGCCGGTACTCGGCTCATGAGATATTCAATCATCTTCGGGTTGTCTTGGTATTGAGCGGTCATGGAAGTCCTCATAAATCCCGGGGCTATGCAATTCACCTGGATACCTTTGCTCGCCCACTCATTGCTAAAAGCTTTGGTCATCTGCAGCACGGCGCCCTTGGTGCTCGAGTAGACGCTCGTGTTGAAACCGGCTTGGTAAGAGGTGACGGAAGCAATATTGATGATTTTGCCTCCTTTGCTATGGGCCATGAGTTTACGGCCAACTTCTTGCATAGAGATGTAAACTGCTTTCGCATTTACCTCGAACAACTGGCAAAAGAGGTAAGTTCCTGATACTTCTTGTGATACGAATCGGGGCCTATTGGGTTTAGCCTCACCAGGTCGATTTCATCGTCGGTTGCATCCTCGCAAAGATTCCGCCGCATAACACCGGCGACATTGATCAAAATATCGGGCTCAACCCCGGTTTTCCATATCGACTGATAGCATTCTCGGAGATTCTTGGCGTTTCGTAGGTCGCAATGGAAAGTTGTGATTTTGCCTCCGACTTCTTCGACAGCGGTCTTCAAATTAGAGGATAGTGGGTCATTGGGGGCTTCAATGGAAATGATATTCGAGACCCCTGCCTGGGCCAGCGCGCCAGCCAATGCGGAGCCCAAGCCTCCTGTTACGTGTGAGTAACTGGGCAGGACAGGACTTTCAAGGGCTTTGGAGAAACGTGGTATTACCTGTCGCACCGGTCATGATGGCGATCTGCCCATCGAGGGAGAACATGCCGGTGAGATATTGTGCTGGCGTTGTTGCCATGATTGCTCGAATACAGTCGGGGTTCTGCCGGATGGGGAGGTAATTGAGTATAATTTGCGGATAATCCGTACCGCACAGGCGACTCCTAATATGGGAACTTCGGAGGGAAAAAGTACATTTCCCAGATGCCTCGTCAGATGAGCCGAGAAATATAAGGTACCTCGTGCCAGGGGTGAGGAGTAGCCAGTACAGCCGGGACCGGTGCGGAGATGTATGGGGAATTCATCAGATATCCATACCCCGCTTCACGTCTTTTTTTGCTTCTTCAATCACTTACAGGCGTGCAGAATCAGCGAGTGCGCTTTTAATATTTGGAGGAAAATATATCTTGGTGATCTTGTGCGACAAGGGTCAATCCCCAACGATACTGCGTCTAATATCCGAAACCCCTGTGGCTGTTCACCTTCGTCAGGCTCTCTCTCAATTCTTAGCGGGAATTGAGGAGAAGATGGTATTAGGTGACTTCCTCGGCTCACGGAGAAGAATTTACCTTTAGGTATAGGAGCAGACGGGGCGTAGGATGACAGCACTCCCAGGCCTCCTTTTTGATGCAGCCTTGCCACCGGGCAGCCCGGAGTCCATATTTCGCGCCAAGCCCAGCCTTGTTGGAGACCCCTACAATGACGAAAGTGCTCTCAGCGTCATCTCTTCCTTCAAGCTCGTGTAATGTGCCTTCAATTTATGTCGCAGCTGTCGAAGAAAACTTGCCTGCAATCATCAAGACATCGGGACTGACTGCCTCTTTGGCTCACTCAGCGTCATGTCTAACTTTGACCCAAATGCGATCCTCCGTGGAGCGCAACTCACCTTCGTAGGCGCCCACCGAGCTTTGCAAAACCCAGAGCTTTTTACCACGGCACACTACCGGCAAGCCGCCATTGCTGTCTGCGCAGGCCTCGCTATCCAAATAATTCTCAATATCCCGATTTATGTGGTCAAAATGCTCATCTGGATAATATCGTTATTCGTCAATCTCGACCACGAGACGTGGGACGACAAACTCATAGCGGGCTTGGACTTCATCTCGAAATCCGTGCTCCAGATTCCATTCTTCCTAATGATGGTCATGGGCTCTTTAACCCCGACTCTGGACAACCTATTCATGGAGTCCTTGAAATGGGTGGACACCACATACGTGCAGAAGCACAAATCCGACGATCCGGCCACACTGCGGGGAATGTATTACCCAACGCTCAAGATGTATCCAACGCACGGCGGCAAGGAGAAGAAAGAAAAGCGATCACTCGTTGATGGAGCCATTATCTTTCTTACGAAATACGGGCGACGAGCCGCAATCTCTCTGGCCATCTACGCACTCACCTTCCTCCCTGGGATTGGCCGCTTCGTTCTCCCCGCCGCCTCATTCTATACGTTCAACAAAGCCGTTGGGCCCGTGCCTGCCGGTATTGTCTTCGCATTCGGCCTCATTGTCCCGAAACAATACATGGTCCACTTCCTCCAAACGTATTTCTCGAGCCGCAGTCTGATGTCCCGCTTGTTGGAACCCTACTTCCACCGCATCCGCTTCACGAAGCAGCAGCAGAAGGTTTGGTTTATTGACCGCAGCGGCGTCTTGTTTGGCTTCTCCGCGGCTTTCACAGTCATGGTAAAGGTGCCCCTCCTAGGCGTGCTGATATATGGCATTGCGGAAGCGAGTACCGCGTATTTAATCACCAAGGTCACGGAGCCACCACCGCCACCAGGGCCGAGTAGTCAGGAATACATCGAGAGTGAGGTGAGGTGGAAGAATAAGCATTTGTTCTTGAACTTGCCCTTGGAGCGGTTGGATGAGTTCAACACGCGCATGACGGGGGCAGGGAAGGTCGGGAGAGTGGAGGGTACGGAGATCCCCAGGAAGAAGTTTACATGAAGGTGGATGTTGCTTCAAGAAAGGTTGAACGGCTGGTTGGAGCGCTACACACGTGGGAATTTCTCGTGGGGGGATCAAGCTATAGCAAGTTATGGAAACAACAGCAGGTCTGAGGGGAAAAATAGATGAGATGGCGCAATGGTTGACTAGGAATACATTTTGATTGATCATTGATGTGGCCTTTTACATCTCCGACGTAATCCGCGCACCAGCGCATGGGAATCACCCATTGTAGAACCCAGGAAAGATAGACACCTCCGCCAAAGGAGTGCCGCCCAGTCCAAAGAATCTCGGAGCAATCAGCTCACTTATACTCGTAGAAACCCCTGCCGGACTTCTTGCCCAGCCATCCAGCATCCACGTACTGCCTTAACAGCACGCTGGGTCTGTACTTGCTATCCCCTAGACCAGCATGTAGCGTCTCCATGATTGCCAGACAAGTATCTAGACCAATAAAATCGGCAAGAGTAAGCGGGCCCATGGGGACATTTGTACCATTCTTCATTATATTGTCGATGTCCTCTTTCTTTCCAACGCCCGTCTCCAAGCAAATGATGGCTTCGTTGATATAGGGCATCAGGATTCTGTTGGCGAGGAAGCCGGGACTATCCGCCGAGACGGAGCAAACCTTGCCCATCTTTTCGCAAAATGCAACGGCGGCTGCGAGCGTTTCTGGAGAGGTTTGCAGACCCGAAATGATCTCCACGCCTTTCTGAACGGGCACTGGGTTCATGAAGTGTGTGGAGACAACCCGCGACGAGGCAGAGGTATCTGTAGGATCCTTGGTCGTTGCCCGCGCAATCCTGGTGATACTTATACTCGATGTGTTTGTAGCGAGAATGGCATGCTTAGGACATATCTCGGCCAATTCTGCGAAGATCTTTTCCTTCAATGAGGGGATCTCGGGAACGGCTTCGATGACCATGTCCACGTCTGCTAGATCCGACATCTGGGTGGTGGGCTTTAATCTCTCCTTTGTAGCTTTTGCGATCTCTTCGGTAATCTTTTGCTTCGAGACATCTTTTGCGAGGAGTTTGTCGGCGAATGTGAGGCCTCGGTCGAGAGATTGTTGGGATGTGTCCACGAGCGTTACAGGGACTTGGGCTTTCTGAGCGGCGACGAGTGCAATTCCGAGACCCTGTGTTACCGTTAGAAAATCGTAGATGTCCTTTTACATTTTCCCATACTAGAAGCATACCATTTGACCGGCGCCAACCACACCAAGCTTCTTCACCTCGAAGCCCATTGAGGGCGAGGAGGAGAATTGGCGGTTGAAAGAGGCGAGCCTCTGCGAGGCCACTGTTGACTTTGAAGAGGCCATCACCCTGGATGATAACCTCGACCACGAAGCCATTGTGGAAGGATCTGTGCGCTGTC